TCCCACGAATTTATGTATATGAATATCATTACGACGTTACGCCACTACGCAAAATAATAATAATATATTGCCGCTTTTACTTCGCCCAAAAACCAAAATTGTTTATGCGAAAAAAAATACTTGAGTCTGAAATTTAAATATTTCAAAAGTCGTAATATACATAAATAATATTTTAATGTTACGCACCAAAATAAAATAATTCTATTTCGTTGATAATTTTAAAAAGCCCACTGGCATACTTCCCACCGTGAGTATAGGACCGACTGGCCTGTTGACTCAGCGCCGCAGACAGGAATTTAATGTTGGGGAGGGGGTTCATCATAGTAATTCCATTGAGTTAATTAAAAGAAAAAAAAACACAAACAACATAATATTATATTATTTGTGTTTTAGATTCTGAGCGGATTATTATTATTATTTTGTTTTTTTATCTGTGAACAACTTTTCTACCGGAAATTTCGCACCGATTTTCAATTGTAGCACTTTTTCTGAAAGGAAATTGTTTAATTTTCCCAGAAATGTTCATAATAAATGGGAAAAACGGGAAAACTTACGAAATGTATTATTTTCAAATCATAAATATTACAAACTTTCAAAACTTGTATAACCGAACCCCGCTTAGAATCGTTTTTCGTTAACAATCATTAATCGTTACGTACATTAAATTGCCGCCTCTACCTTCCCAACTTCTCACCAACAACAGTAGCCCACCCATCATGCGAAGTATGTCCGTCTATTTTTATAATTATGCTTTGGTATTCTATTATAACAAGTATATAAATTATAATATTAGTCTTATTTTACAAAATTCTTATCGGTTACCATTTACCACAATAATCAGTTACTGCCCATCACACTGTCGTCGGTCATAGTTATTTCCATGGACAAAATATAAAAGACTTCACTTATTGTAACCAATTATCATATACAATGTTTATTGATAATATCAGAAAATATCAGAAATCATCCCATCGATCAATACAACCACACTTCTTATATTATTATCTATGGTTAACAATTTAACATATAATTATTTCAAGTTATTCATTGTGTCAATTAGTGTCACGGTTTAATAGATATTTCATCGGTATTACTATTTATTTGTTTACGTTTAGGGAGTTTGAACAACCTAAACCTCCCCCCCCCTCATCCGTGTCTACGGCCCTGTTTGTTGTATATGAGAAGTTTGGTAGTCATGGAGTATGGGGCGATTTAATTAAGGTATATTTCATATCGAAAGTAACAATCAATCATTGCAATCGAAAAATTCCGAGCGGAACTATATTATCCGGTAAGGCTTGTAGTATATATAAGTCGTGTGTTTTCCCCCCCTTCAAGTCAAGATAACGCAGAAAGCGACACAGAAATCCGACAATTTTGGTAAGTTTGCCCCAGAATCTCTATTATTGCATATCACTATTATTGAAATGACGCCATAGGATTACCTACATGGTTTTTATTATAAACTAAATCGGCGTCCGTTGTCAATTTTCCCCGATTTGACTTTCGCATTCCGACCACTGCAGCTAATGATACGTGCACATATATCGATCTCAAAAAATATTGAACATTTGTTTTTTTTTTTTTTTTTTCGATCAAAGTCGTATAAATATTTAATGTACTTTTTGATACTTTTGTTCGTTAGATAGTCACTAATTCACTATAAAACTCAATCAGTCGAGACAGATCGTTCGGCTTGTATTTTACAAATCTCGCTCGTAAAACATTTCTTACGAAAGATAGGTAGCACGTTATAACATAAGTATACAACTGCAACTGTTGTCGTATGGATTATTTTTTAGGTCGCGGTTCGTTAAACGAAATTTTTTTTGCAACCGGTTTAAATCATTTATTGTTGTCCGTCTATAATATGCATTTCCGTTTTGATTTGAATTCGTTTTAAACACGATCAGTACCTACCGTAGCCGGAATAAAAAAATCCAGGGGGGGGGCATTAACAATTTTTACCTACTATGCGCGCACAAATGTAAATTACATTTTCCCTTTGTGCAACACTTTGCGGTTTTTATTACGCTAAAAAAAAAAATCGTGCAGAAAAGCTATATTTTATATTCGTTCTACCACATACTATTACACTTAGGGTTGTTTATCGAGATTTCTAGAATATCAAAAATACATTTCGAAAAACCAACAGAATCATTAGTGACAATAAAACATTTTTGGATAATCCACGTCTCTACTGCATTGTACTGTCATGAAAAACTATCTTATTTGAGTTCAAATTCGCATCGTAAACACCGCGCAGATAGGTCTGTAATTTAAACGTGTATTATAATTAAGTCCAATTGACTGTCCGGGACGGCAATCGAGTGCGTAATTGAAGGCCGCGGACGGAAACGTTCAATAAAACGGCCGCAGAAAATAACAACAACCGTAAAAAAAACGACCATAGGTGTCGTATAAAATACACAGAGACAGGGAACTTCACCGAATGCGTACCTATACAATATACAAGTTAATAAATATGATATAAAGGGACCATAGACTACATTCTATGAACTGTACTAATGAATGCAGTAGATAAAATTAAAGGAATTAAAAAGGTAACCAATTGAGACAATTACCTATAGCAGTTAATGAAAAACAATTTTGTCAATATTCTGAGTCTCTAATAATAAATTCACAGTATTCAACCGTTCAGTTACTTTAAAAATCTGAAATCAATGTTTAAACCAGGATATTTTAAAGCATATAATAATGATTGCTTATCGATACGGATAGGATTTCAATTAAATGACCTAAAACAAATCAAAAAATAGTCAGATGCTTTTTGACCGCAATAACATACTTAAAAAATGACCCAAAAATGAAAAAACAATAGAAAATGTCACACGTATCCTGAGCAAAGCGAGGAATGTACTGGTTGTCCAATGATGTTTATTTTTTTTTTTTGTACTGTACAAAAATTCAACCAGAAATCTGGTCCGATGTATCAAATGTACCGTCTTTTCTGAAAGAAAATTTTATCTAGTTGGTAGAGAAGTAATTTTTTGATTTTCTAAATAAATTGATAATAAATTTAAATCATAAAAATTGATAAAAACCGAGAAAATTTACGAAAAATACTGCTTTTATTTTCTAATTTGTTTTTTTTGTTGTGATTCAGTAAAAAATATTCGTAAATAATTTAAATTTGAAAAGACCTTACATGTGCCTTTTATAAGCATGGTTCAATTTTTAAAAATATTGAGCCATTTTTTTAGCTATTTATAGATATTTTAATTTAGCGAGTTTTTTACGTAATTTTTAATCGGTTAGTACTCTATGGATAAAGTTGTTAGACCAAACAAAAATGCTTAAAAAATGCTTAACAGGAAGTTCATTATAAGTTTTACTTAATAGTCAACTAGAAAAAGTTGAGTTTAATGTAGTCATTTTTTTTTTTTTTTTATAAGAAATTTAATACTTATCAAATTTTGACAAAGTATTATGGCCTTTTAAAACATGTATAACTAAATTCCACTCAGAATTGTTTTTGGTTAGCATTAGTTAATTATTGCACACAGATAAACATTAAATTTCTCTTTATACCCTACCTACAATAGTGGCCCACCGATCGTGCGAAGTTGTCTGTCTTTTTAAGTATTAATTATATGATACAAACTATGTATATATTACGAATGAATATTGTCTTAGTACAGAGGGAAAATTAAAGATCACACTGAGTAAAGATTATAGAACGATTAACAATAATTCGTAATAATAGGTGCCTTAAATAACTAAAAGTTAATATAAAATACTAGCTGTCTCGCCTGGCGTTGTTCGTGCTAAAAGAAATAAAAAAAATTATCATTCCTATCACCGAGGTAACGCGCTAACATACTAATAACAATAATTAAATTATTTATTTTTTCTTGTAGTCGACCGTATTTTGCGAGTGATTTCAGATTCTAAATGGAGCAAAGAAGTTCCAAAAGTTTCTGGTTTTAATAGGTTTTACAATGATGTTTATTTTTTTTTTTTTTTTACCTGTGGACAACTTTTCCACCTTACTCTGATTTTTAAATGTAGCACATTTTCTAAAAGGAAATTGGTGTGGGGAGGTACTTATAGGTACTTAATTTTTCGATTTTCTCAAGAGTTTTCAAATCAAATGTGAAAAACTAAAAAATTTAAACAGGAAAATGTACTAGTAAAATATTATACGATTTTTTTCTGTGCATACCTTTACTACCCGCAATTTTACTCCGATTCACAATGAAAGCACTTTTTCTATAAGGAAATCTGACTGGAGAGGTACTTTAGAGAGATTATTTTTCGTTTTTCGAAGAGTTTTCCCAGCAAATGTGAAAAACTGTGAAAAACATGGGTTAACCAGGAAAATCGTAAGAAAAACGGGAAAATCAGATCAATATTAAACAAATATTATTTAAAAAAATTATATAATGCCTATTTATTTATTTTATCATAATGTGATGTCAACTAAACTCCGCTCAGAATCGTTTTTTCGTTAACAATGCTTTATCATTCCCTTCTGTATCCTATCTTCCTAACTTCCCACCTACAACAGTGGCTACACCCATCCCCATTATTCTAGGACAGTTTTTTGAAATTGTGATAACTTCTACCATAATGATTTAAATAAGCTGTAAAAGGCAATTATGATCTACACGCAACTAACATATTTAGTTGGATAAGGGTTAATATTATATTAGTCAAGAAAAATAACCTATTTTATGTGTAAGACAAAAATAATTACTGAGAGTTTTCAATAGATAAATACAGTGAAACCTATATATAGTGCACAGCCATAGGGAATTAAAAAATATCCACTATAGGGAGTTGCACACTATTGTGAAAACTGTTACACAGCGGACATTTGCGAAAAAATTACAAAACGTCCATTATAGAGAAGGGCTATAAAGAATTGGTTATACAAATACATACACATTAAAATTGGTATTATTTATTATAATTTATAAAAAAATATATTATTGTTATACTGTAATATATTAATTGTTAATTATAAAATGATTAATATTAGGTTTAATTTGTATTTATTATTTATTATAAACATAATTTGTTTTGTATTATTCAAAATATACAGCTCAATATAAAAGATACATTTTTTTTTTTTTATTTTTTACTTTTTAACAGTTCATAATTCAAAAAACACCCATGACATTCCCTCTATAATATTGCTCTCTGTACATTTCATAATAGGAACTTACACTCTAAAATCAAAATTAAGCTAATTTTACTTATTCTGAGTAAGTATTGTTTTTGTATGTTACCCGGTAGTTGGACTGAGACAGTAGATGTGGGATAACATCCTCTTAAGATAAGATAAAATATATATGCAATGTATAAAAAATAAATATAGTACTTTTATTACTTAAACATATTTGGTATATACATATATTGTGTTCATTTATAAGAAGTAATTTTTAATTTTGGTACCAGTTTTTAGTATCCACGTCCACTATTAGGAGTGTCCATAATTAAAAGGTTATAACTTTATACCTTTTATAACTTCTATTAAAAACATACATTTTTGGTGGGAAATTTAAAAGTGTCCACTATTGGGAAGGGTCCACTATTAAGAGATATCCATTTATTGAAGTTTCAGTATATTGCATCACAGACTTTTCTGTAGGACTTCGATGTACAATTCTGTAGTACATTATTTTAATGTATCTCATAGGGTTTATCTAACATTAGCAATATTTTATTTTTTTATGACTTATTTACAAAACATTGACTACTTTCTACTTTCTACATATATAATACACATTCATTATATTAATATATAAACCTTCCGGAATGAATTCTCTAAATCAACGATACAGCCCCCTGGGGAGGACGCTGGTGGGTTACCGAGGAGCAGTGATCTAGTTTTGGGTGGTAGAGGTATGATGAACTTTTTGAGTATGTATTTACATTAAAACTCAAAAACTGAAAGCAACGCACCAAGGTTTATCTGTATACTGTTTTTATATATTGATTCGATTTATTTTTTTTATTTATTGCTTTCCTTTCCTCTTACCTCGTTGAGTGAGGATTCAGTGGAGTGACAGATCTAATTACAATATGTAATCCTATGTACTATTGAATTTAAGCTGTATATTTTAAGGTATTAATAGCGTTTATCCACTTGTATCATAAATTTAGTAATGTTTGTACATTGATAAGTATGCTGTCTTTTGGCCATCCCCTTGATGAGCAACTCATCTTAAACAAAAGTTGTTCTCTCTATTGTCACCTTTAAAATGGTTAGCCATTTTAAATAGTCCAAATTAATGTATAAGTATGTGTATGACCACAAAATAAATATTATGGCTTATAACAGACTACTGTCACATACCACATACCACTAATAATAATGGATATTTTAAATTTAAGATTTACTTTTAGCTGATTAATAAAAAGCTTATATTGTAAATAGAATTATTAAACAAAAATTAAATAATCTTATATAATAAAATATACATAGCCATCATGGTGTACCGTGGTAACAGTATCAAATAATATAATAAACCGGTCAGTCACACAATCAATAAGTTACAGTGGATATCGTTCAGTTAATAACAAAAATAATAATAATAATAATAATAATAATATTTAATTAATATTATAATACTCTTTTCTAGAGGGACACACTTTTTTTACACATTCAAATTGGTTCTAAAAGATTCTTCGGAGAGCGTTATTTGAGCGGGTCCTTCTGCATAATTTTTTTGTTGATGTTGTTGTTGTTGTTGCAACTGTTGTTGTTGTTGCAGCTGTTGTTGCTGCTGCTGCTGCTGCTGTTGTTGTTCCTGCTGCTGTTGTTGTTGCTGTTGCTGTTGTTGTGGGGATGGCTGTCCTCCACCTACAATCAACGCGGCCGTCATCGCCATGGGATCTGGTATCTGTTGATGTTCCTGTTGTTGTTGGTACTGTTGCTGCAGTGGTGGCACTCCTCCGCCCACATTCTTCGCCAAAGGATCAGGTTGCTGTTGGACAGCGTAATTTTCGTTCTACAGGAAAATAGAAAAAAATATATTAGTTTTGATAATTTGGATCAAAAAACAGAGGAAAATATTATTTGTATATACTGAATGCATAAAAGATAAATTATTTCTAATGAAAAACGAATCTGTGCAAAGTTCGGTTAAACATGTTTTGATAAACTTGAATTGAAAATTTTACTAATTAAAAATAAATACCGAGGTAACAACTAAAACTGTACTTTTTAGTCCGAAGTATTTTATCATTTATACGGAGCTAAAAGGTGTCATCCACATAAAACCGAATAAAAACTCAAACATTTCAAATTGCTATTAATACCACAAAAATGGCAAAAATAATTTGAAAATGTTACATCATCTAGAAAAGATGACGGAAAGTATTCCTTGAAAATCGCAGGTCTCTCGTAACAATTGTTTCTAAATAAATTGCAATGAAAAAAAAAATCGAAAATAACAGAAGAGAACTCCGAGAGAAAAATGTTACCAGAAACCACCCCCGAAGCCGCGATCATCGGATTTACGTATAATAGAAATATTGTTTACACAGAAAAAATAAAAAAAATAAAATTACAACTGACGTCGTATTAAAAAGTCAATACATTGCTCGTTACGCTATAAGAATCCAAAATGTTTGTAGAACACGTTGTAAAAAAAATCAACGTTTAAAAGCCAAAATTCGACGCGCCGATCAACATACTAGGAAAAATACCCGATACACAATACAGACCGCGTTAACGCCCCCGCCCCCCCCCACGAATCTATTTGTTTTACTTCATACTCGCGATTTGTTCAACGCGGCGAAATTCGGGTTTCGAACGCGGTTCTTTCCCCCACCCCCTCCATCGCCACGTCCGCGGCTCTAAAACAATATTATCCGCGCGTTATAACTTTACCGGGCATTGTGAAAACTCCACGTCACCTCCGCTCTGCGCAACATCTCATACCTACGCCGCCACCCGTACGTATTACACGGTCTGTATATTATTGATTCTGTATACGACACAACTTTCTCTATTTAAACTTTTTTCGCGGAATAACGGACACGCATACTACCACCACAACAACAACAACAACAACAACAACAACATAATATCATAATGGAAGTTTTTCTTTACGTCTTATGGCCATTTATCCCGCGCGAGTTATTCGCTTTTATTTTCGCCCTCCGCGTCTCACCATACCAATACGCAATGTAATGTTATCGTCCGCCGCCAACGCCGCCATTTCTACGTCCGCTCCGCCGTGCCCTCGCCCCTACACAAAAACTTGTACTTATATATTATTATACACGAGTCACAATTATCCTTTCTATTCGCCGGTTTTTAACGATACGCACGAACAAAATACAAAATACGTCATTATCGCGAATATTTTGTCGCGCGAACGTAGTTCTACGTAATCGTGTTTTGGAAAAAAAAAAAAAAAAAAACCGTCAAAATTGACAATTGTATAATTGTCACGTATAAAACTAGGGATCGTTTTTTGAATCGTTCGTTGTCCCCACTCCCTACCTCTCGATATTTTAAAAACGAGATGTATTACACCAGATTCCAGAGGGTTTTTCTTGACAAGACCGAACACAGGAGCCCATCCGCGACTTTCGAAATTTTCAATTTCCACATATCGGCACTAATACTGGCCGCTGACGCATTTTTTGTCAGACTATCTTCGGCGTACCCGAAAGCATACAAGCAAACCCGTACATTGTTATAGAACCCTATAGAAATCGTGGTCTCCGATTGGCTCAAATCCCAACGAAATAACAATTTCATTTTCAGTTATCAGTTATGACTTTTGAATGTTTCAGTTTGTTTTATTAATTACTTTTAAAAAACTGAAAAATATGCAACCTGTCGTGAACCGGTGGCATACAAGCAAACCGACAAACAAATTGCACAAACTCCAATAAAATGCCTAAAACACCAATCAAAACATTCAATATACCAGCCAACTAAATATTGTTTATACTATCTTTATAAATAGATCTTTTTTTTTTTTTTTTTAGTAGCAACAGAATTACGTGTTATTGATAAATTAATTGTGTAGCACACAACGGGTATAAATGGAATTTCTGAAAACGCTATCCTAAGATAATGGGGACGGGGGGTGCAGCCACTGTTATAGGTGAGAAGTTGTTAAGGTAGTAGAAACGAAATTTAATGTATTTCTGTAAGCAACGATAAACCATTGCTAACGAAAAAAACGATTTTGAGCGGAATTCGGTTGATAATGTTGCTTTGTCAATAATATATATAGACATATCATGGTAAAATAATAACATAATGTGCATTATATTTGTTTAATATTGTATCTATTTTCCAGTTTTTCCTACGTTTTTCCCGTGTTTTTTTCTCATTTATTGGGAAAATAAAAAAAAATTACCACCCCGATCAGATTTCCTTTCGGAAAAAAATGCTATCACTGTAAATCAGAGCAAATGTGCTGGTAAAAAAGTTGCTCATAGAAAAAAAAAAGAAAAAATTAACATCATTATAAAACCAATACTTTCCTCACTCCAGTCAGAATCTAATATCTGAGTTGATTGCACAGCTGCACTACAAATTTTCCATTTTATTTTGTGGTAAAAAAATATAAGGGAATTATTCGCCGTGTGCTACGATCTAGTGTCAACTACTAGATCTCACTAAAACAGTTTTCAAATGAAAATGTCATAACAGATTAGAATTAAATAGGTACAAGCATCCACAACAGATGTTAACATACACTTAATATGTCGCTTTACTGCCAAGTGTCTAAAATTTGTTTATATCATTCGAATGCTAGAACAGTGATAATATACTATAATAATTATATTAAATACAAATAACTTTAAAATTGACTTTCTAGAAGTCAATAAAATTCACTTAAACTCCTTGTGTTCTAGGCGTCTCATACTATATTATATTTTGTTCGCTGCCGAGGAGGGCGGCGAAACGACGACGGGACACGACAATATTTGTGACGCCAACGGACGAAAGACATAAAAAATCGCTCACTCGCACGCGTTTGTAATAATATGTTTACATTATTATCATTATTATTTCCTATCGCGAGTTCTAGAATATTCGCGGTTGCCGGCCCCGCATTACATATTATACAAGGTGATTATTTTTACATCGCGGACCTGTTTTCACCCAAAATCGACCTTTTGATTTTCGCTTGATTCGCTTTTCGCCCAAAGTAATAAAACACACCATAAACTAAACAAACATTTTAGTTACCACTATCCACGAGAAGTCTGTATGTTACGAGGCATAAAAAATAAAATGCTTTCAGTTTATTTAAGAAACTCCAATTCTAAATTAAATTATACACCGTAATCTCATCGATAAATTAGATAAGTTATAACCGAAAATTTCGCTGAATTATTAAAGCTCACTAGCTTTAAAAAATTACAGATGTAACTTGTAGAGACTAGAGGCGAACAAACAATTTGTTATCCTTTGTTTTCGCCCAAAATAGACAGAGTAGCTAAAGTTGCTATAGGTAGCGATTATAATTCGGACATAATATTGTCGGGCAGATTACATTTTGGAATCTGTCCAGTCGTTATCATGATTAGTAGGTCCCGGATTTAAATGCACTTAAACTCATTGTAAAAGACTTTAAAAAAAGCTAAAAGTGTCTTTAAAAAATTACATATACATTTTTTAATTGTGTAATTCATAGTATTTTTACTTAGTTTATAAAAAAATAAAAATAAAACAGAAATTTGAAAATTTGACTTGTGATTAGCGACGATAGTGTTGACTAAGGGGATGACGGGCTGTATTTCACTGATTTACTGGAAAACTTGAAAAACATGGGTAATATTTTTAATTAGCTAAATTTTTAATAGATTTTTTGATAGATTATATATCAAATATATTTAATCGATTGTCACATTATGTACAAAAACTATATTATATTATACTCGTAAATTGTACAAAATATAAAGAATAAAATGAAAAAACATTGAAAAATGCCAGAAAAGGCAAAATAAAATGTTCACCTTTGAAGTATCTGTAACACGAATAAAATATGTTCTTGGAAAGCATTGCATAATATCACTTAAAAAAATGCATTTTGGATTGAAATCCGGGCCTTAGCGATTATGTACAACCGCGCGGCGAAGGGCAATCGATTTTCAATTTCATCGCGTTCGGGTCGTCCTTTCGGGTCTCTGATGAAAATAATATAATGGAACAGTTTCCGTTTGAAAAATCAAAAGTCGATTAACTCAAACCGTTCGATCGAGTGTACATCCATTTTATAAATGCCGTTGAACATACGATCCGCTCAACCGTTTAAAAATATTTTCATAGTTTCATCACTTGTTAATCATTTGGCGATGAGTTTTTTTGTATGTAACCTGCAGATGAAGGCATAGGCCGAAACTAGTAGTTATAAATATAAATTGTGTACACTTTGAGCCTTTGAATGAATTGGTTTTATTTTCTATTATATATATATATAAGAAATGCAAAATAATCTCAAATTAACAACGATTAAGAAAAAGAAAACCAAAATCTAATTTTTCCTCGAAATCTTCGTATCTATTAAAGCATATGATCGTTGGTTCGCGATAAAATAATCACTCTGTATGATACGGGGCACGCTATCATCGCGTGTGTAACAAGTTAAGTCTATCCGTAGAACATTCTCGAAAATATTTTTATATTTTTAAGGCGTGTGCCGCAGCGGTGTAGTAGCACATTTTGAACAGCAATAGAATAATATTATTATACCTATCTGTGAACGATTGGGTATTGGAAAAAAAATGTGCGAACGATTCTGTGCTCGAGAAATACAATCGCCGGGTATTGGGCTTAAAAATAATATATATATATATGTACATACAGAGTGTAACAAGACTATTTACCACTTGAGATAACTTTTGTTCTATTCAATATTCTTAAATTTTATTATTTTTTTTTTTTAATGATTAGTATAACTGCGTTACAATTACAATATTGTTATTTTTTTTTTTTTTTTTTGATGAGGAACTTGAAATTTTACCATATTTTTTTTAAAAAAATTCTAGATAACCATTTTGTAAAACAGATTTTTAGAAACGGTACCTAGATTCATTATCTTGAATATTAAATTAAAGGGAATTTCAAAAAATGATTCCTCTGAAGTACAATCCAGAGAACATTTTCTCTCGGAAAAGATGCTATACTTGATAATCAGAGGAAGCTTTCTGGTAGAAAAAGGGTTTACATAAAAAAAAAATAAACATCATTGTAAAACGAATACATTCTTCACCTCACTCAGTCTAAAAAAATAGTGAATTAATTCTAATTTTGTCATCGTCCTTCGTGATTTGTTTATTTGGCCCTGATAGGCGTGAAATTCACGCGTTTGAAAAATATTCAAAATTTTTAATCTACTTCAGATGGCTGGATTTACAAGCATTTAGTTGGAATAGAAAAAAGTTGTATTTAAGTCGTCGATTGGCAAAAATAGGGCTACTTTCTTTCTAGATTTTAGAGAGACGTTTTGGGTTAATGAAATGCGGGTTAAGCATGCGCGCACCCCAAGGATTTAAGTTTTGAAAATAGGCTTAAAACTCAAATTTCAGTACCCCTCCCCCGTCCTAAAATCAACACATTTTTATCCGAAGTCCATCCAGCTGAAAAGTTTCACGTTGCTTACTGTTTAAATGAAACGCATACTTTTATAATAATTTTAAATGTACCAATAATACCATAATGCGAAATAATCATAATAGTGAGGATAAATCGTAACGAATTTTAAATCTCAAGTTATTATTATTAAGATATTAGAGGGTATTTTTTATTTTAATCAAAAACAAGTTATTATTCGATTATTTTTTGTGTGTCATTAATTATTATTATCCGGTACAAAGAAGAGTTATTATTATTTTCACCATTTTGTTTTTTCTGCGTCTTTGAACTTTTTAAATTTGTAATTAGTCATCGTTAATATAAAATTTATATTTGTTCGCCATAGTCGTCGTTCCCCGCTTTAATATAGTGAAATTAATTAAAAACTTAATTTATAAAAAAAAAATATATAATAATAATAATATATATTTTAAGTATAATGTATATATCATTAACGGGCATTTCGAAATGCAAAGAAGTTTTTAGTTATTTTACGTTTTAATATTTAATAATTATAATTGCATTTTTCTGTATAAATAATTTACAGTCCAACGAAAATAATGATTCATGGAAATCATCGTCGTTGACTCGTTTCTGCCATTTCCGCAGGAACGAATATAATATAAATCTTTATTTTGTTTAAATTACAAGACTTTAATTAGTGACCTTATATTCTATACAAAGTGATTTTATTTTTTTTATCACAATTCAGCGATTTTATATATATATATATATATATTTTTTCAATCCTTATGAAAAATGTTTTTAAGATTCTGAATAGAGCGAAGAAGTTTATAGTTTTACAAAGATGTTTATTTTTTTTTTTCTGTGCGCAACTTTTTTACCAGAAGTCTTGCTCGGATTTCTATACGTAGCACGTTTCTGAAAGGAAATTTCACTAGAGAGGTACTTTAGAGAGGTCATTTTTCGATTTTCTTAGGAATTTTCCCAGCAAATGTGAAAAACTGTGATAAAACATGGGCAAACAGGGAAAATCAGTACCACATTAAACAAATATTAAAGAAAATATATAAAGCCTATTTAATTATTTTATTATAAAATTACATATATATTGTTGATAAAGCATCACTATCAACTGAACTCTGTTCAGAATCATTTTTCTTAAGCAATGGTTTTTTGTTGCTTACAGGTATACATTAAATTATCAATAACAATGGTTGCACCCGTCCCCATTATCCTAGGATGTCCTTTTATGCATTATTTTAACAATATTTTGAAATATTCGCCTCAAATCCTTGAAAGAGTATTAATTTTAGAGCGTAGAGAAGGAAGCTGTTGGTTTTACAGTGCTGTTTATTTCTTTTTTCTTTCTTTCTTTTTTGTTCTAGTCTGTGGACACGTTTTTTCCTAGTAAACTTGCTCAGATTTTTACATGTTACAACTTTTCTGAAAACTGAAGTTATTTAGATTGTACTATATAGAGGTTATTTTTTTTTTATTTTTGTTGCCATTTTTTAAATAAAGGCATTTAAGTGTGAAAAAACGTAGAAAAACGCATAATTTCACTATTTCATCATTTTATAAAATCACGGACGATATTTTCTACCAGAAAAAATAATTTAATCGAAAATTCACAAGATACTTTTTTTGTTGCCTTTTACTTTCTTACGGTATAATCACCAAAACATTTAAGCCATTTATGAGCTTTTAAGGAGTTTTAATTTTTTTGCTGTAATTCAATTATAAATACACGTAGACTTGAAACTTGGTAGTTATACTTCTATTGAAGTTACCTAGACGTGGTAAAATTTTCAAAATCACCACACAACTTTTTTTTCTTTTTTTTTGATTTTTGTATTCTAAACAGCGCTTGGAATCTTCTTTCATCAGCAATGGTTTATCATTTCTTACAGATATAAATGAAATAACTTTATGTATCCCACCTTCCCCACTACCCACCAATAACAGTGGCCGCACCTATCCTCAGTATCAACTCTTTTTACATTTTAAAATGGCCACTCTGCAGAGAAGAGCGAAAGAATGATACGTTTTATCCATTTTTAGATGATGAAATAAAATAGTCTACTGCTAGGGTTGGGGATTATTATAAACGGTAAATTCAATTGTATTATACATATTGAAATGTATAGAAAAATATTCTCTTTCAAATCTGATTTAAAACGAATGGAGAGGAGATGGTTTCTGTTTGAAAATCTTAAGTTTATATGTAATTAAAGTGTATGAAATAGGGGTGACATTTTTTAAAATATTGTATAAATTATGATTACTAAACAATTCTAAATGACTAAACAAAACCCAGTCAAAAAAAAATAGATAAGAGTAGATTCAAATGAAGAAATTTACTTTTACTTTTTCAAAATCACTGCAATAATTTTTCTTTTAAAAAATTTCACTTCTATGTTATTATCACTGTTATATCTCCTAATATTGTGATGCACAAATTAACATGGTTTTTTTTATGGTATTTTATAAATGAAAATTTGCCAGATGCCAAAAGGAAAAATATTTCTACATCTATTGTTATATTAATATAATTTAAAAAAAAAACAACATTATTTCAATTCTTGGAAAATATCTTGAAAAGTCAGAAAACCAAAAATGAATAGTCAGCTTGAAAATAAAATAATATAAATATCTAAATAATGAGATTTATGGAAACTTAGAAAACGGAGATCGAAGGAATAGATGCATGAATCATACTGATGCACACAGTGGTTATTATCTTTTAATAAATAAATAATTATTATAAAATCACCTACCCAGATCCCATGCATTTCCAGTAGTCGTCGGTAGGACTCTAGTTCATTTTCTTTTTGCTGGTAGGCCTCTATGAGCAACACATGTTTTGATTGGAGTCTGAACAACTATATGCAATTACATAGTTAGTAAAAACAGTTAATTAGGCAAATAAAAATAATAATAATAATAATTACTTCAGTTTTTAGGCGTTCCGTGTTATCGTGGAAATCATTCGTTAACCTGCACAGTTCTTCAATTCTGTTGCTTTTTCCGGCTAATTCGATGCTCAGACTTTCGACAGTAACATTCAATTCTTCAATTTGCTTTTGATTGGCAATCAATTTCTCACCATCGTCCTGTCCGGCAGTGTTCAATGCTCTTATAATCATACCTAAACAATAAAAATTAGCTCTTTATTACACACAAAATTTATCAGCTTTTTTTATTACCACATTTTATGAATAAAAATCGCATTGTTCTGTTAGAAGAAAAAAACAATAAATAAATCATTGATGATGTACTGACAAGGATGTTATAACATTCCTGCCACTACTGGGAAACAGGTAGTTCATTATTATTTTTTAATAATTCAAATATTATTTTGCACCCATTTGTAATTATTTTGCACAATATATTTTTATAGTGACATTTTTGTATTTTAAAATATATCACTGGGATTTACAATAAAAATATTATGTGTATGATATTGCTATACAAATTCACAATAGATGGTGATATTCTACTATGATTTTTCAAATTAATTTCCAGTAAAAGCTAAGAAGTGACAAGTTACAATGTTACTAAAAATAATCAACTTTTCACTTGTACCTAGTTATAAAAGTAAAATTATTATTTTGAGCTTTATATATTTTTAATGTGATTTTTTTCCAAGGGTTTTTACATTTTCAGGTGCTTTTTTGTGGATTTTAAAAACATATAAAGCCGGTCTCTAGTTATAATCCATTATTATTATACGCACCCTCTAACATTTTAAACAATTTGCAAAATTCATAATCCAACAAAAGACTATGAGAGTTTTGAGCAGTGGGTTGTGGATGTTTACTTGCTCTGGTATACGATTCGTTTCTTGATACATCATTTAATTTGTCCACAAATGTTTCCACACCTATCCGTTTGGTGATCAAATGTTTAAGACTGTCCTGATTAAAGAAAAAAATTCTTTATCAGTTTCTATTCTTTAACAAGGAATCACAAAAATTGAAATTGATTGAACCTTTTTAAAGTTATCCACAGTATCTGGATTAAATGCCAGACAAATGCCCATTACGAATGTACTCAGGCCGCTAACGATTTCTTCAATCTCTTCATTCTCAAGACGATTAGCCTATACAATCAAACGTAAATTACACAAATTATATTGCCATACAAAATTGATAAGTTTAAATGTTAATTTAACTAATGTAACTGTTACAAACACAGAAAATACAAACCTGAGTAATAAAATATGGTATGCCATTGTTAATTTTCAAAAAACTCTCGATAGCTGGAGAGCAATGAGCAAACCAGGTAGATAAAAACATTAAATAACCAATTTTGAACTGTGCTTTATCAGTCTAAAATCAAATTTTAAAAAGATATATTACTATTGTACTATGTTATTATAAAAAAAAACATACAGCTTGGATAGAACTTATAATTTGTTGCAGTAATGTGGGTGGGTCTTGGTCATTGGACGCCAACTTAATGTCAAGCAGTTTTTCTTTACCATCGGGATTGTCAATAAGAGCATGAGACAAAGCTACAGCTGAAAACCAACTACCCAAGGGTTCCTTATTGAACAAGCCCTGACACAGGAGATGACTAGCACAAGTTTCAGTTACTATAACATGAGAAAACAAAATTTGGTGAATCAAAAAAATAACAATATAACATTACAATCACTGTCACAACTAAATGTATGACTAGCAGAAGCACAAAGGTTCTTTGCACTCTCAGTTTTTTGAGATGCTGATTACAATAATACATACCTTCTTTTTCTGATGGCAATAGTTGCTGAATGATTTTCATCTTTCCTAAATCATTTCTGTATAAATAACACTGAAAACAATACAAAACGGCACAACGAATCTCAAATGGCTGCTTATCATTTAACATTGACCACAACAACAAAACTAAAACATCCCTAAAAATAAAACATGATAAATTACTTTTGTGTGCCTATTTCAAAATTAATTAACCCTGAATAAATAGGTGTTTACTTTGAAGGAATTCCATTAGATTTAACTGCTTCAAAATACATTTGATTATCGGTGTGCCCACGTACAAGTTCTGCAACTGTAGATATGGCTTCAGTCAGAGGATTCCTGGGAACACCATTAGCAACCAACAAGTTGCACATTGCTTTTAAAATACCAGATGTGTGCATGGCTTGTTGACATGAAGAAGTAGCTTGAGCTGGATTGGTGGGCGATACTAGTGTGCGTATTATTTGAAAAACAGCTTGCATATTGTTTATCCGCTGTATGGACCATTCATCATCAGCGGGTAATTGCAAAAGTGGCAATATCCGTGATATAAAATTCCCTAGAAATTAATTGCCATTTTAGTTACGATTTAAACTTTGTTTGAACACATGACAAACCTTCTTTAAAAAAATTTTGTGTAGAAATATTATTTCGCAATAATGTTAACATGAAATTAAGACAGTCTTGAACAACGATTCCTCCATCTGCATTGCCTTCTTCTAGTATAACATCAAACAGTCGATCAAAAGCATTTTCAAATGCTAATATCTTCTGAATATTTGCATTACTTTTAGTCAGTAATGTTAGTAAAAGAACAGACTAAAAAAAATAATTAAATTTGTTACATTAAAAATAAAATATTTTTTTTAAAAAAAATAGTAAAAATTGCTAATGGGTTTAATGAGCCCACTATTGTAAGTAGGAAGTTGAAGAAGAATAATATATTTGCTGTTGCGCGTTTTTCAGACGGAGACAGTAATGTTTTCTTTAACATGTTTTGAAATGTCATCAAAAATAAACAAAAATTAATCAACTACTGATCTATTATCTATTCTATATCATTTGATGGTGGAACCAATGAATTCCTAGCTACACTCAGGAACTCAAACTATTTTTAAAATTGATTCATAAAAGAAAGTTACTATTAATTAGTTCAATTTGTAAACATTGTATAGCAAAATAGATTTAAAAAAAAAAAATTAATTTTATTCCACACAATTAAAAAAATAATAATACTAAAATTAACAAAATAACAATATTACAAATTGAAAATTAATAACTAATATCAGAATATATTATATTAATTTATATTATATACTTTATATTGTAAAAGGGCCAAGTCCTTTTGAATTATTATAAATAAATAAATAAATATGCTTTGGTAATTAAAACAAAGATAACATATATAACATAAATAATATTTGATAATATTTTACAAATTGTACTTTTATTAATTTAAATGAATGAAATCATATAGATAACTGTTCTTATGTGTGATTAGTAATTACATTATTATAATTTGAATTTGAATTATATTTTTAAATAATAATAGAATAAACTAACATATTTATAGAATAAAAACAATAAATTATTTTTGATTTTATTCTTAGGTACTCAAACAAGTTATTTCCTTCACTTTTAATTGAGCTGACAATTGTTCAAAAAAATATTGACATGTTTAAAACAAATGAATATCAATTTATTTGTTTGTTAAAATGTGTTGTGGATTGTTAATTAAAAAGGAGTGGTCTAAAACAAAAAATAATGTTGTAATATAAACCACTATAAAGTACTTACATTATTTCGAATAACTTCCCGACTGTCACTCAACATGTCAATTAATTTCGAAACTCCCATTGGGCTCACCAAAATGATTTCTTGGACGTCTTTAGCTCTATATTAACAAAATTTACCTTTTCAAATTTAATTTAATTTAAAAATAAAATAAGATAATATACAAAAACTTTTAGCAGGTTTTTTTTAAAAAAAATATAAAAAACAAGAATCAAGACAGATAATATTAAAGTGTTTACAATATATAGTACACCAAAAATATATAACGTTGCATCTAGAGACAACTTTTTTTATTATTTATATCATAAAATAATGGTTTTTTTTTTTTTTAATAAATTCATCTTCTCTCCAATTGTTATTAAACATATAAAATTTTATATTATCACCTAATAAAACTAAATATACAAGTAAACTATTTTAAAATATTACACATTAAGCGTAAAAATATATATAATTTCTGAGATAAAAATATGTTCATAGTAATATTCTGATACAACAAATTAAAAATTTCAAAAATACATTTGAATAAAAAAAAAAAATATATTACTTAACACATGTACTTTAGAATTTTAGATAATACATAATAGTTTGTTTTATGTATTTTCATTTAATCATTTAGTTTTCAATTGAAATTATTTAATGAACTTACTTATTTGTCAGCAATAATAAAAGTAATTGAAGAGCAGGCCAACGTACATGAAAATCAAATTCTTCTAGATAATCTAAAACTAGTCCAACATTTTCTTGTTTTTTTATAAATATTTCTGTAAAACGTTCACCCAATTTATGGGAATCTTTAGCCGTTATATCAGGAATTTCTGAAAAATAAAATACTTTTTATTTATTGAATACCTAAAAATAATACTAAACATTAAAACAAATTATACTGGTCTTGCTATTATATTTTTATGGATTTATGGATTAATAGTAGTGTTAATAGCTAAATGAAAATAAACCTAGTTAAGTATTGGCATTGCATACATTTTTTTTATTGTTTTAATGAAACAAAAATATGAATTTTCGTTTTATTAATATGTACAGCAAATTAAGAAACAATTCTTAAATGTATTTTTTTTTTTTTTTATTTTTTTTAATGATTTTTAAAAACTATAATAATAGTATGAACTATCTCAAAAATTTTCAATAAGTACACACTCATTTTTGGTACAGTAAAGACTGTAAATTTATAAATATCATTTACACCAACTTTTGTATGATACAATGTATGATATAATGTATGATACAAACACAACTTATTTAAACACTATTTCATTAAATTAACGAATCAAAGTAAAATTAAATTACAGTAATTGTTTTGAGATGGTTTTTGCTAATATTTAGAAAAATATTGGTATTTATCAACTGTTTTGAATAATAAATTGCAATCAAAATATAACTATAAAATAAATAGATTTCACAATTAAGTCAGAATTTAAAAATTGATTTTCTACAATAAAATATTATGGCAAGGAAATAATAGATTCTATTCTACATTAATATTTCTGATTAATTTGAGATTGATACCGAGTAACTAATCAATAAACTTTTTTTTTTCATTTATTTTGGTACCTTTCTAATGAAAAATTGTGTTTAAAGTATTTATTGTACACCTAATAAGCTTTAATAATTTCATAAATATAATTCACAAAATATTCGTGTTTAGTACTAAAATTGACTAATAAGCGCTGAAGTTAATATTAGAAGGTACCTACATGGATATTGTTTAATAAATCAATTAAATAATTAATTCTGATTGAATAATTATCCAACTATATTCACATTACAAGTATTAATAATTGTTATACAATAATTTGTCAATTAAATTGTAAAAAAATGAACAATAGGTATAGAGATAAAAAAAACAATTTTAGTGATAAAATTATATCAAAATTTGTATAGAATTTATAAAGTGGAAGATACATATATAATATGAATTTTCAACTAAACTTGTACCTACTAAAGCTCAATGAATAGTTTATCAAATTGATATCCTTGCAGTTTACCTTCTTCGTCATAAATCTCATTGTTCATAATAAGTTTTAACGTGTCCAAAGCATAACTAGCTATTTCGGCATCCGCTCGGTCGTGCTGTAGTACTTGACACAGGGCATCCATACCTTTAGCACCAACTTCGATACGGTATTTGCGCGACATTGCCTTAAGAGCTCTGCACGCATCGCGTCTATCCGCCAACAATGTAGAATGGTGAACTCGTTCCACTAAACGCTCTACCTGAAAACAGCGTAAAGTTTCAAAAATTAAATAAAATTCAGAATTTGTTGGGTCGTTCGTACAATGTCTGCACCGGAAGGCTGTTCTTCTACGACGGGTGTGCCAAGCACCGATTTCAAACCACTTTTGAAATATTCCATCAATAAAAAGTATTTCACGGCATTTGAAAAATTAACAGAATTAAAACCGGGGATTAGTTTTTTGATGAGATAAAAGGAAAACGTATAATATAATCAGAGAATATAGCAGAAAATTATATTATTATTTGATATTTATTATAAGTAGGCATTTACTTCATATATACACGGAAACGGTTCTTATCAAAGCCACGTGCTTATCGAAATCAACATACGTCACCCACTAAAACATAATGGTGTAAACCATGGAACCTTAGAGTAAATATTTAATTTATGATAAAACAAAGGTTTATATCACGGCCGTGGTACCTAAAATATTAGTGAACAGTTTTATCTAATCTGTGATTATATGCTTCTCATTTAACGCGTCTACTTAATAGATAATAAAAAATCTATTATCTATAGTAGCATCAACCCGTTAGACGTCAAAAATAAAAATTACGAATTTACAAATCGGTTTTAAAACTTGAAAAACTCGATATACATTTTAACGAAAACATACGCAAATGGATAAATCGTTAGAGCGAAAATTTTTGAAAACTACTGTGGCGGGGATTCTATTAGAAATTGGTTTTAACGTAACAGAAGGGCCCGCCTTGGAGACTCTCGTCGAAATGCTTTATTCCGGTTAGTACAACAAATAATAATCTGTTAACTAATGTGATTTTGTATATGTTTTACATTTATACTTACCTATTCCATTATCATTGCATCATCACCATTGCAATCATTCATAAAACGAAAGTAATAACTCGTATATTAAAACACAAACTGCTATATTAGTATTTATAATAAAGATATTTTAAATTATTTGTTTTTGAATTTTGATAAGTATAGTAAACCATCTGTGTGCTACAGTTTACAAAATCGGCATTCATATTTCAATTTGTGTACACTGTTTGATTGATAATTATGGCAGTAGTAATTTAATCTACTATGTATAATAATAATATAATAACATATTTATTCAATTTCAGTGGTTTCCCAGTTGGGAAATAGTAGTCGGCGTTATGCTGAAGTAGCCGGACGTCTTGAGCCTCTTGGTGCCGATGTAATGATGGGCCTGATTGACATGGGCTTGTTCAAAAGTGCGTCAAGTCTATTAGCGTATGCCAAACGTTCAAATCGAGCTGTTCTTCCTTGTCCCTTACCATCTATACAGCCTCGTCAGACGAGTAACCTTCAAGCAGGTACTAGACTTCCACATCCGCCATACATGCCAAATTATATGCCTCCTTTTCCCGACCCTCACGCATACATAAGAACACCGGTAATATACTATGTTCAATGTACTTTAAATATTGTGATTTTATCTTATTTTTGTATTTGTATAGACCCACAAACAACCAGTTACCGAATATGAAGCAATCCGTGAGAAATCGGCTATTCAAAAGCATGAGCTGGAAAAATCTCTTATCAAATTTTTAATAAAAACCGGACCAAACGAGAGTTTATTTCTAAATCAAGAAAATGATTGTTTTCCGTGTATGTACATAATGATGGTTTTAACATTCAAAAATAATTTGAATAACATAATAAAACACTTTTCTTATTAGTTAATGTAATATATTTAATGTGTTTTTAGTGATAGCCAATAAACCACAACAACCAGCTTACCTATCAGCATTAATACCTAGTGACCAAGTATTTGATGATGATCCTGATGATATGGAAATCCCGGTACCTAGTAAAAAAATCAAGATTAAAAAAAGAGTTCAGATCAAAGAAGAATTTGATGAAAACGAAGAACAAGATAATGAAGAGGAAGAAGAAGAAGTAGTGAACAATACTGATGAATCGGATATCAAACAAGAAGAACCTATTGATAATCCGTTCTTGAGGTCTGTCAAATATCCCATTGCATCTTAAGATTATTTTTTAGAGACCAGTTTATATTGACTTTTTTTGCATTTGGTTTCTATAAATGTTTACTTTGAATAGTGGACAACTTAGAATAAAATTGTGTTTTCGTGTAATCCTAAAACAATTTTGTCCCGAGTAAACTTATTCATGACATTATGACATTTCATATATTGCGATTGATCTTTTTATTATTATTATTACTATAATTATTGTGTACAATTTATTAAAATTTTGTGTTGCTTTAATGAAGTTATGGAATCATTTGTTTTTATTTACTGTAAAGTGTTTATTATTTATTTTTATTGTTTTAAAATTCAACTTAGACAAAATACAATAATATTTTAGTTAAAACATGTGTAATAGCCAATTGCCATTAATTATCAGCATTAAAATATTTTAATTTTCTGGTATTGAAACATAAACCACAACCTCTGATGTCATCTAAACTTTTTGGTATGAATCCAGTTTAGCTTTCCATCAATTTTCAACTTTTTTTAAAAAATACTGAATATAGTAGTACAATCAGAATTTAATGATCAAACTTACTTTCTATGTAATAAAGCTTCCAAGTTTAATAATTTGATATAATCTGATAGTGGAAAATTTTGATTTTCACAAATTGTTCACTTTTTTAAAAAAAGAACCTTTACAAAATTATTTTTAAAAAACAATGATTTAGTGATAATTTTATAAAAATTCTTAAGTTTTATTATTATAGTTAGTTGACATGGGATCGTATATGGAAGCGGCAGTCTTGGTTATGCATAGCAAAGTTTAGGTTAACTTATAGAACACTAAATTTCCAGTAGTATTCAATTGGAAATTTAAGTTTGGGAAGTAATTATTCTCCGTTTGTTTGCATTTTCAGAATTGGCATTGAAAGAAATTTAATGGGACTAACATAAATAACCAATCTTATAATTTAAATTTACACACAATTATTGATTGAATTGAACGCTTATAATTTACGACTAAACCTGTAGTTTTATATAGTAAAAATATGATTTTTATAAGTGTATAAAATAAGTATAGCAGTCTTGATTAACATTTATTTTTACATATAATCAGCAATATTTTATATGAGACAAAATGAAACTGAATAAATTATTGTTAATGATTTATTTTAGTTATAATAATTAGAGACCAAATTTATATTCTTTAAAATCCATTATAAGGCAATTTAAAACATCAAACAATCCTTGAATAAAGTGCTTTCAATCATTTAAAAAAAACAAAAATAATGGACATATTTAAATGTATCCCTCCCCTTTAATGAATTTATTAAATTAGATTACAAAAATTTCTTTTAAATAAAATTATACGCAAGAAAAATTTACTTTTTTTTTAATAATTTTTGTAAATGTTAGAATATTTTATTTTTAATTTAAAAACGTTAGAAGGGGAAACTTTTAAACCTATTTATTATTTTTAATTTATTAATTTTAATATATTTTAAGTGATTTTTTATGGATTTTAAGGACATAAAAATCCAGTGTGATAATAATAAATAAAAAGTTAAGTCTATATTTAACCAAATGAGTTCTTTATTTTACTAATATTATTACTAGGACACTGCATCTTTTTGAATGATATTAAACAATAATTTTCAAATACATTATTTAATTCATGTAACAGACTTCAAAGGTGAAATTTTATTTTGCCTTTTTCAGTCATTTTTTTGTTTTCTTGCATATTTGTACATAATTATGATCATCAATTATATAAATCTACAATAGGCCTTAATAATTTAAATTAACCAATTCAAAATATTACCAAGGTTTTTCGGGTTTTCTAGTCAATCAGTCAAATACAGCCATTCAGTTAATACCATTGTCAATAGGTACAAATCAAATTATTCAATTTTCTGTTTTTTTTAGAGCATTTCTCAATAATTTTAATGCTTTTAAATTCGGGACCTAATTATTACAATAGTTCAAATTTAAATTTCACTTTTGACTCTAAATATTATCTTGTATAAAATAAATGTAAACATGTATTTTAGATTCTGAGTTTAACCTAGAATGTATTGGTTTTACAAAGATGTTTAATTTTTTTTATGTGAACACTTGTTTTAACAAAAAGCTTACTCTGATTATCAAGTATAGCGCCTTTTCTGAAAGGAAAACCTGGTTCTTTAGGTTCAAAAAGATTGAAAGATTAAAAATAAGGTTGTCATTGGAAACCGCCTTTATTTATTTTTTGTTATTATTAAATTTTTTATTATTTTAATCTTTTTTAAACAATCATTGTTTTAATCATTTTACCTTAATATGATATATATATTTTTTATAAAGCAACAGTATTAACTGAACTTTGCTCAAAATCATTTTTTGTTAGCAGTGGTTTATTGTTGCTTACAGATATATATTAAGTTCCCATCTGTACAAAACCTTCTCAACTTCCTACCTACTACAGTAGCTGCACCTATGTGTTAAGTATATCCATCCTTTTTTTCTAACTTGAATATTTTAATCTAACCAGAATTAATTTAAAATGGTTTTAAAGCTAAACAATTGTGACTAGTAACCACTAACTAAAATACCTTAGTTTGTGATAATAACAGACTGAAAAAACATGGTAGTATATCATTACATTCTACCAGCAACGGATTCTGAATTTTAACTGGCCTGGGAGAATTTTGTTTCGCCAGTCCAATTATTTGCTTTATACATCTGTGGACACAACACATTTAATCACCTTATCATAATTTGTCAGACAATCATATTATTTTAAATCGTGATTATTTTTCTCTTCATTTTCAGACATTCACAAAATATTATAAATAATAACAAATATTCTTTATCAACAAATAATATTAGTGTAAAATTAATGTTTTAAAATGATAAAATGACCTACTGGGAAACTTCCCGGCCTCCCAGTGGCACAATCCACCACTGCATTACACTAAACTTGATTTATTAGAAATTTGAATGTACACGATCCCTCTAAGGATAATATTATGTCTAATAGACATATTTTACCTTAGTCTTTATTTATTTTTATTATTTTATCCATAGTTAAACTACCTAATTAAATGTATTTATTTGATGTGTTTCTTTTTTAAACAAATAAATATACAAAACTTGTCATGTTTTTAATGTTTTACAAATATTTAGTTTATTTTGAGGATTATAATAAATTATTTATTTATTTTATCCAGATATTATTCTTCTCTACCAGTAAGGGTAACCCCTGTTTGTGCTCGGTATAACTGGACTTCCAAAATAGATATTCACCCTTGTAATTAATATTAGCAAAATGTAAACAAACACAAGCTCTAATTACACAATTTTTTTATAGAAAAAACATTTGTTCCAACTAGTTAACCAAATAACACTAACTTATCATTTAGTATACCTCTAAATAAAAAAAATTTGAACGTATTTCAATAATAGTAATAAGTAGCCAAAACACAAATTAGTTGACCACCTTGACTTGTTGCTGTTGTTTACCCGTTTCTGTAGTCTGTTTTTCTAATTCGTTATTATAGTAAATATTACCAGCTACATCTATGGCATACTTATAATTGACTATATTGTCCAAAGCTTTATCAATAGCTTGATCAATATTTTCAACAGTAATATAACTTTTTGATTTTTCCTAAAATAAAAAATATTAAATACATTTTTTAAAATAATAATCATTGGCGTTAATATTTTAAATGAATACCTTTTCCAATCTAACAATTTCTTCAATTGCTTCTAGTTGTTTCTTTTTCTCTTCTTCTTTTTCTATCAATTGTGCTAAAATTAATTTACGCTGGGCTTCACGTTCAATTGCTAATCTTTCATCTCTAGCTAAAGCCACTTCGGCATTCCAATTATCATTGATTTCCAAACACTTTTTCCACAAAGCTTCCTCCTTGTTTGCAATTTCTTGTAACACTTCTTGACCAGTATACGAAGTCTCTAGTTCGTATTCTAATTGTTTTCTAAAATAAATAATTAATGTGTATAAATATATAAACTAATGTTTTAAATAAATTTATAAGAAAAACTCACTTTATTGACTTCATACTAGTCCTATAAGTGGTGAACAATTGGAAAAGTTCGTTTCTCTCTTCGGTCGATATCTTTGGTCGGACTGGCACACGGAACATTTTAGACGGCGCTCTTGGCAACCATCTGGGTTTCCTGGTAAACCTTACTGGTTGCTGATTGACAGGCTTGGTCTTGCATAGTAATTTACCGAATAGCAATTCTTGTTTACAAAAATGTTGCATTCTGTAAATGTGAACCCGACAAAAAAATATTACCTATTATAATAATATTGTATTCCAACTTTTAAACCAGTCTTTGAGTCCAAACCAATCTCAATGAACAGAATGGAATTTATAAATGCAAACGAAAATATGAACCTCACTTACAATTTACAATTTTAGAAATTATGATAATCAAACAAGAATAACCATCGTAAATGCTAACTTCTAAAAGGTTCAATGATAAAACAAATCGTGACAACGAACTCATAAACCGAAAGACCGGTTATCACTATAGATAATATATGATCAACGGTAACCACGGTCAAATACTCTTATCATTATATAGCTAAAGTAAGGTTGCCAACCATTGGATAATAACTTCATATTACCTATATTATAATTTTCAAAAAATTTGTGAAATAATACAAATTTGAATATTATGACTCGTTGCCAAATAAATAAAAATAATAACATAACATAAATTAATTAACTATAATATTCTACTAATAAACATGTTATTAAATTGATAAAATACTATTTTTATGTTTTAAAAACAATTCTGAATTTTTTTTTTTTTGTAATTTGTAACATACTATAAGTATATAAATATAGAGGTATCCCACGACAATATTAGTCTATGTCCCGCATCCAGTATATTTTAATCCATTTTTACTGCACGGTCAATATTCAATAGCCTAGAAATATTACATTATTTGCATTACACTAATTAACTAGATGTCTAGGTAAGTACCTACATAAATATTTACGGGTATGATGTTAGGGAACCAGAGTCAGGGGAAATTTTTGATCAAAAATGAGTTATGTTACACATTATTAGATTATAAACATAGGAAATTGTTGCACTTGTTACGTCAGTTTGATCATGATAGATTTATTATAAAAGTTCATAAAAATGAAATTAAAAAAAAAAAATATTTTTATTATTATCCTAAAATAAATTAGGTCAAACATTTTCATTATCTCGCTAAAAAAATGTTTATCAATATTTTAATTTCTGCTAATATTAAAATTAGGGCTCGGAAATTATTGCACTTAAAATCCACAAACAACCACTTAAAAACGTAAAAAAAGCACTTGAAAAATATTTTTAAAAAAGCAAAAATGGTAAAGGGTTTAATTGTTCCCCTCCTACAACTTTAACTTATTTAATACAATTTTCTAACACTACAAAACTTAAGTTGACCCAAAGTTATTTGTTTAAAATACGTACAATTTTATTCAAACAAAATAATTTTTTATTAATAATTTGTGGAATGTTAGAAAATTATATTTAATAATTTAGGCGTTAGACAGGGAACATATAAATTCTTCTAATATTTTTAAGCGCTTTTTTGTAAGACTTAAGAAGACAATATTTATTCATGTAATATACTAGAATCAATATAAATATAAAAATTAAATTAAAAACCATTTTAAGTGCAATTTATACTACAATTTTTGGCATTTTTTTACCTTTTTAAATACATTTTTTAAGTTTTTTTTAGTGCATTAAATTCGCAGCCCTAATCATATGTTTTTTGAATTATGAATTATAAAAAAAGTTAGTTTTTAGTTAGTCTTTTATATTGTGCTGTATATTTTAAATAATACAAAAACCATATGATATTCCCTCCAAAATTTAATAATTGATACTTTTGTTCTAAAATCAAAATTAAGATAGATTTACTTATTCTGCGTAAGTATCAATTTTAAATATAGTTGGACTGAGACAGTAGATACAATTTAATTTAAGAGTTACATTTAATATACCTCTTAAATGTAGTATATTTTTTGTAATTTACTTGTTAGACTAACAGAGTAAATATGAATATAATATCCTCTTAATCATTTATAATACATATTATGTTTTTAATTAATTAAATTTACATATTTTAGGTTCCATACTTAACAAAAACTTAAGTAAAAAAATGAATACAACTTTCACTCTATTACAAATTATTTTGGTTTTTCACATATTTTTCTTAATTTAGATTCATAATCTATTATACACTGGTTCATTGGTTTTGACAACATCAGGATATTTTTCATTCAAATTTGTATAAAAAAAGAACAATAATAATTTATTAATAAGCAATATTTTTAATTAAATGAATTTAACATACACATTGTGTTTGTGTTAGTAACATAAAAAATACCTATGTCAGCAATAGTTAGTTTTGTAAGCAACACATGGAGCATGCAACATTGAAGTTTGATAGCTGAAGAGGCTTATTCATATATATTGTTTATATCTGCTAAAAAGGTATAAATAACAAGCTTGAAATGAATCACCAAAATTTGGAACATTAGTTGAAGGGAAAAAAGTTTAAAATAATTATCAGTACATAAATCACTAAACAGACAAACTTTTTTCCGGCGGCAGTCTACTAATATTAATCAAAACCAAAATATAACCCTAAAATTATTTTTGCATTCAGCGAATACTTATTATATGTTACTTGGGTTTTAGTCAGAAAGTTTTAATTACCTACACGTTGACATAAAATTTATTAACATCAATAACAATAAAAGGAATAATTTACTTATTTGAATACATTGTGCAATGAATTGAAGATATTTGTTTTAAAAAGCATAATATTCTAATAATGTTTTGATCATGTAACGCATTGAACATTTTTGAAGTTGTAAAATAGATTTAAATTTAGAATAATATAACATTAGCATGAAGCAATGTAGCATGTAGCAATTACATTTCACCACCGTAACATTGGGCTAATAAAATCTACTCCGAAATAGATTTATCAAAATTCAACATGAAACTTTGCGTTTTGTTACCTTCGTGTTGATAATCTGTTGTATATTTTGCACAATTTATAAAAAAATATAAAATCAAAAATACGATTGTTATTAATTATTGTCATTTATATTTTATGCGAGATATTTTGCTTTTAAAGTAAGATAATATGAGACATATTATTTTAACGCACACTAATCATCCTCAGCAACATTCTAATATCAGTAACATTTTCGAAAATTATCATTAAAAAAAAATAAAACTAAAATATAAATTTTAGTCGCCATGTATTATTGCTATGTGATCATCTTGTAGTAAACGGCGTATATTTTTAAAATAAACTAAAATATTATTATATAGGTATTTAGGTATTTTTCAAAATAAATTGTCCAACACTAGACTATGTACTTTTATTTAAACTTACTTCAGCAATAGCTATAAGAACTATTATAAGACGTATTTTATCATAACACCGTTCTTGTTCCTGGGCAGGTTAACTTTGACCTTATTTACTTAGTCTTATAAAATATTATTGGATACGGGTCATACTTCTACAAAACATAATGACAAAGCATAAATAAAAAAGGTCGAACATACATACATGCAGCCACTGTTGTTGTAGATGGGAAGATGGGATACAGGCGGAAATTTAATAATATAATTTTGATTTTGGGAGGGGGTAGGTGGGTGGGTAAAATTATGTCTTGCCATACCTGAAAAATATATTTTGGGTGCCACTGGTATTGTGCGGAAAAAATATTACCACACCTAATTCCTAATAATAATTTATGCAATTGTCGATTTACAATAATTATAATATGTTAAATTGGGAATATTTACCCGAAAACTTAAAATTATTAAAACAAAATAGAAACGTGGTTTATCCCACTTAATTCCCCCCAACGGCAACAACAAAAAAGACAACAGTATAGATTGATGCATAAGTATAAATTGACGTACGATATCTCTGAAGTAGTTAAAGTTCACGACCGAGCTGCAACGACTGTTGAACAAATACAAATGTATTATAACCAACAGAAAAAATACTTTCCGGGAAATATGAAAACAATTTTTTTTTATACATTTACGACGAGCATGTACAAAAGTGTTATGCGAAAAAAATAAAAAAGGACCACACCTAATGCCTAATAAAAATTTGTTTGCTTTACTTGCTTGAGAAAAAAAAAACACCTTGATGGGCACCAACGGCTAGTAGTGGCTGTTTTGGCTTAAGCTTTTGGTTACGCGTCTTGCGAACTACGCGATTCGCACGCGCGCGGTGCGTCGGAACGCGCGTGTTTGGGTGTTGAGCGTGGCCCTTGTATACGTAATCTCTCTGCGAAAAGGCTCTTTCGTTGACAAAAAAACGGTCGAGGGTATCGACGCGGCGTATAACGACCTCTTCTCGGTTTTTCCCGGGTTGATGGCGCACGTACGCAAACGTGTGCAACGTGCGATTGCGCGCATCACTATCGCTCTTTTCTATTGGACATATTTTGCGCGCCGTCAACAATGATTAGGACGCCGTAAGTACAACATTTGCGCATCGGAATGTTTAACTGCAATTTAAACGTGTATCACGGATTATTATTCCAGCGCCACCTAAATGGACGATTTGCCGCATTTCTGATATTGAAAAGAAACTCGATTTGTGAAACAGCTGATACCGCGCGGTAATGAACCGGGGAAATATATTTGAAAAAAAACTCACTGAAATTGCTTAATCGGAAACAAGAAACGAAACAAATACCCTAATCGTGATTTATTTATAATCACAAAGCAAACAATTTACTACAGAAGGTACATATTTTTTTGGATTATCATTTGACAAATTTTTCTACGGGTACCTAACAATTAAAAATAAACCGTTTAAATTTTATTCATACCACCATGCATAATATCCCCAATAGATAGTACTGACACTAATGTGCTAGTAATTTTTCAGTAATAATATTGGATTGAATATAACTTATAGGTAGTACGCAGGTTTTTTTTCAAGGGGTTTTGTTTATAATTATTTCCTAGAGAGGGTATAGCACATATTATAGGTACAGAACTATCACCATTATTACTGAATAAATGAATTCTGATGAAATTTTATTTTATTATGTGGTATAATATATTGTGTTGTTGAATGCATTATAAATTAAATTTTCATATTTGTGAAATAACTGATAGGTCAGATAGATGATAGCAAGTAATCATGAAAAGAAATGTTCCTATCTTAATCAATTAATTGAGACAAAACAACTTCTATTGTTTAATGTCAAATATTTTAATTTGAAAGGTCTAATAAATACTTTTTTAATAATAAGTGAATTTTGAATTATCATGTTAGATGTATTCAATTTAATGTATCAAAGATAAACCATTGTTAACTAAAAAACGATTATGAGCGGAGTTCAGTTGATCAACAGTTTTTGGAGTTGGTCAACAATATATATATATTATGGTATATATCATATTAAGGTAAAATTATTATAACAATGTGCATTTCCATGACAACAATGATTGTTTAAAAAAGATTAAAATAATAACAAAAAATACATAAAAACAGTTGTTAATGACAACCTTATTTTTAATCTTTCAATCTTTTTCAACGTAAATACCGAGGTTTTCCTCATTATCTCGAATATTAATGAGAATTTTAAAAAATAACCTTTTAAGTACCATCCAGAGAAAATTTCCTTTCAGAAAAAGTGTTATAATTAATAATAACAGTATGCTTTCTGGTAGAATGTGTTCACACAAAAAAAAATAATAATAATAAAATAAACATCATTGTAAAACCAATACATTCTTTGCTTCACTTAAAATCTCAAAAATAAATTTAAAAATAACCAGTTAGACAATATTACAAAAATGGAGCACCAATATTAGTGATACAAATTAAAATATTATATTTTAATTAAGCTAATAAATTAAGAATCTCAATTCAAGATAACAAATCAATTCTTTTATTTATTTCAAATGTACCTAATATTTTATAGATTAAATCAAAGGATATATCAGGAAGTGATTGGAAATAGTAAGAACTACTATATTTTGATTCAATAGAAATGAAATTATTGAAAAAAAGTCAGTTCCAAGTTGATAAATTTGTCAATATATTCAGTCCCAGAAATAATAAAATAATAAATTCATTTTGGTAGCAGTTGTTAAATGTGGATTTTATCTGTGATCTAAGGTGTGAGTTAGATTTATTATTATTAAAAATATCTAAAATTTGGACGTTATTGATATTTCAATCTTAATTATTCTTATAGCTTACATTTTTATTTCCAATTGTCATATTTGTGTAATATCTCTATAAAATATCCAACATAAATTTTTCTTAGATAGTTATTTTCTTACTTGAATAATTAAGTCAGTTCCTTATTAATTTGTCCTTATCCCAATTGTCTTATTCATAGTACTTACAAATCATACAATTATGTTTAGAATCAAGAATTTATTATTATCAACGTTTTGTTTAATTTCTTTGCTTCCTGATTTTTTTGTATAATTATACTGTCTCATCCTCATTGTTATATACATTTTAACAATTTTTGTTTTTTGTAGATTACATGGAAATGTTATGGATATGTTCTCTCTTTAGAAGAACTCTTCATGTATACCATCAAAAGGACTTATTCAGCATGTTTCATAAAGTTTAATTCTAATGACTCCAAAAGTTTGAATAAATAGTGATTTGAATGGGTCAAAAATCCCTTTGTTTTCAAATTCACTAAATCAGCAGCTGAATTTGATAATGTTCCATAAATGGTTTGTAAACTCATAAGGCATGTTTCACATTTTGTAGTTTTCATTAATCTCTTAGTTATATATCTATAAAATAATAATATAACAATAAAAATAAATATACATTTTTTTCTAATTATTTTATAATCTTTAGGTATAATATTCCTACCCGGCCATAAAATAAACTGCACACTCAAAACTGTAGAACTAACATCAAATTAATTGTGTTTACTAAATACATCTTAAAAATTTCATTAATCATCTTCAACAATCTTATCAATTTTTTGTTTTAAATTATTTATTTTATCTTGGCTTACATTTACATAATTCTCATAATTTATAATATTTTTCAGATCGGTTATAGTAATAGGATATTTTCTACAAGAATAAATATGTAAATGTGCTTAAATTAGTAAACAAATTAATTGTTTACCTTATATTATACAACAATTTCTCGATTTGGATGGGCTTGATTATTGTTTATACTGATAGCATTCTGTATAATTGTAAAAATGTCTGTGTAGTAGGGTAATCATTGAGACCAGCTACTTGTCTTATGGTACCAAAAAATGTATGAAGAAAATAAATTCACATACAATTAATGAACCAATAATCACATATTTAGGAAATTTGATTTTTTATACATATAATAGGTACATATTTAAATATTACTTCTAAACAGTCTTGATTAGGTTTATTTATCAACACATAAGCAAAATCACATTCATCAAGAAGATAATTTGTCGAATTCTACTGTGATCTTAATTGTTATTTTCAACCCTTCTGCAGTTTGTTTTCTTAAAAAATCATCTTCTGACAGTAATTTATTGGCCACATTTAATTCCCATGTATGTAAAACTGTCAGTACATTTTTCAGTACCTTTAATCAAAAAATATATTTATGTACCTAACTATTTGATTTTACTAAACAAAATATAGTACATTTACAAAAATTATAACTACCTACTCTACTTTAAATTATTAATTAGGTAATAAATAAAATGTTTTCCTACGATTTTAGTATCACAAAAGCTTCAAATATTCACATAGAAACGAGCAATACATAACATTTAATTAAACCTCCAAATCTTTATTATTTTTTATCCCATCTAATGGATTCATTACATTTCCCTACATTTTAGCAATATTAATAAGTGTATCATATACCATAATAAAACAAAAATATATAAAAAAATTATATTTCCGTTATTGAAAAATTGATAATTTTAGTTTAGATAATATTAGATACATTTCATATATATTATTTATGAATAGCAGTCCATACACACAAACATGATACACCAATTAAGTTGAACTGAGAAAAAGAACACAATACCCTGTTCCTGTAGTAATGGGTTATTAATATAATAAGCTGTTTCAAATAAACAGAACAAATTACTATCCAATGAAGATAAAAATAAAGATAATTATTAATATTTTATAGTGCAAGTATGTTTTTTTTTATTATAGACTTTTAACAAATAGTATTAAAAGAATTTAAATCTATCAAGTTTAATCTGAAACATTTAGATGAACAGATAAGTACTTTAGAAGATAGTTAGTTTCAAAAAATGTATTCAAATTCTCAAACTGAAATTAACATATTCGAATATTTCCACTTATTAATGATTTTAGAATCTGTTGAGAAGTCTTGAGTCTACATAATAAGACTTACAAAAATAGACTGGTAAATAAAATAATTTGTTAATATATTTTGTTTTATATGTATTTCTACATTCCATTGTATCATAGTTTGATACATTTAAATATAATTTCAATTATTGTATATTATATTAAATATGTCCAATTTTTGTAATATATTTAGTATAATTCATGATAATTAATATATTATGATTTATAACCAAACTATTTAAAATATTCTTATAAAATTTTAATTATCCATTTAATATTATTATATACTCCGTTCCAAATAAGAACACACCAGGCGGCGGACGATAATCGGTCAAAACTCGCGCAGCTGACTAATGATGGCCAATCATAGAGCGAATAGACTCAGCCAAGGGGGCAGGACGTCGCCCCGTGATACATTTGGATGCGCCGGGCGGTGCGTTCTTATATGAAACGCGATATAGATGAATGCTGTCTCTAAAATTGACTGATCGAAAATGGATAATATGACAAAACTAATGTTAAAAAAACTGTTTATTAATGAATTGGCATCATTGTATAATTGGACAGGAGCTAAGGGCAAAAAATCACTGTCCACTTTTTTAATTTTAAAAATAATTATTGGTAAAATTTATAATTTGTTTTAAATATTTAATTTAATTTGTATAATTAGAGTATTAATATATGATGCTATGCATTCGCAAATGCCGTTTTTAAAAATATTAAATTTTTTTTAACATTTTTTCTTATGTTTTTAAATGTATATAGACGTTTTGGAGCCATATCGCACTGTTTTTATAAAATACCGCATGATGCACTCATTGGTTAACACTACTACTACAGTGTACAGTATACTGTATACTAGATATAGGTATACTGATAAGTTTACTATAACTGAAAAAACATTAAATAATGGTTGATTCATTTAGCAATAAGGATGACTACAACTATCGTGACGAAGAAATGGAAATACGAAAAACTGTGTTTGACAAAAAGAATCATCACTTAGTCAGGAAAATAATTTAAAAATAGATTTTGTCAGTTAATTATTCAACTTATTATTTAATCATGACAATGATATTATGGTTTTTCAGCCTAGTTTAATAAAATACAAACATACATTATTGAAGTTTCATTCTGGGGCTATCCTGAAACACATTATTGGAACACAGAAACACCATACTTTAAAACCGATACTATCCCAGTCAAACTGAGATGTATGGCAACCCTAGCATAGATGGTATCCAGTTCGCCACGCATATCATTTCTAATACTACCTGTTTCTTCATTCTTATAAATATAATAATTAATTACCATTTGTATAATTTATGTTACATGATAATTATCATGTTATTATTACTATTTATGTATAGATTATCCAAAGCGGCCATTATTCAAGAAAAAGTTATCCATGAAACTTCTGAAAACTCCTGTAAATAGCTATTATTCCAACAATAAATTGTTAAGTTAATAATTATATTAGCATAAAATAAAAACTGACTGACATTTATATACATATTTTGTTATTTTTTTTTTTATAAATAAAATGTAATACATTTTAAATCTTTCAATAATGTGCTATGTATTCTATAATAATATAATTTGTAAACAAATATTTCATGGTTATTCAATGGATATTTATTGGTTATGCAATATCTTATGGTTATTTACATATGATCTATGGTTTTCAATAACAAAGATCCAATGGATATTGTTTATGAATATCCATAAATGTCTTGAAAGCGGACATTTGGATATCTAATAGATATTTATTGGACATACAAAAATATCCATTTGATATTCTGAATATCCAAAAAGTATATCCACTGGATGTATTTGTGCTATGGGGGGGGGGGGGAGGGGGTGACAAAAAATAACATAAATACAAAATTGTAGAGCAGCTAGAACCTTCCGGAAAAAGCTTCTCGAGATAATGAGTGTACCTACTTAAATGGATCACCTGGTGTGTGTTATATACCTAATAAAACTTAAGAGTGTGATATAATAAATATTTTATGAGTACTTATTATAATTCAAAACTAATCTCCACACTAATCAATTCACACAAAAACCAACTCAAATAATATTATTATATAATACCTATTACAATTATATATTATGCATAATATATACTTATAGTGAGAAATGGGAGGAAATCTATTGAGTTTACAATAATGCTTGTGCATGGAGGTATTTATTGTTTGATTGTGTATATATGGATTTTCGGAATGCAAAATATTTTCTAGGCTAGCCAATTTTCTTTAGTAATTTGACCTATTAAACATAGGTACTGTAGAAATGTCGATTTTTTAATTTGTTAATAATACGTCATTATTTTACAAATATCTTACTGTAAATGTCATTAAAATGATTTATTACTAGGTACCTTAAATAAATTTGTTGAAACAATTTAAAAATTTCTGATACTGTTACATAAAATTTAAAATAAGTACCTACCTTAAAAAACAATGTGTACAATTTTAATGAACCCTGAATTTTTTGTTGGTTTTTGTTTGTTTGTTTTTTTTTTTTTTTATGTACCCTAAGAAAATATTAATGAAAATGAAGTATTCGAAACATGATCAAACTGCAAAATTTGAAATGAATCATTCATTTTTTAATTGTGCCCTAAGTTCTTGAAATTAGTTTTGTCAATTTTTACAAACAAATCTAAACATTGTGCTAAGACTATTTTTCGGTCAAAAACCATTAAACATCAAATATCGGGTAGCAAATTTTATGAATATTTCAAAAATGTCACTTATAACATTACCTGCAGCCCATCATGAATTACCGATATAGTTACAATTGTATGCAAAATATAAATAAAACAAAAATTCCAGTTAAATGGTATTTATGTTGGATTTTATTTATTATTTTTTTAGTATTGTTATAAACAATTTAATTTATAACTATTTTTTCCATTTTTATGTATTTCTCGAACTGTTAAAATTACTGGTATTTATTATAAAACAAAAAAATATTATTTAGCCAGATTTGTTGAGGTTTTGTGTATTTTTAAACAAAATTGTAAATTATGTCAGCAATAAACTAATAAAGGTGTAATAATATCACAAGTGACATTTTTGAAATTTTCATAAGCTTTATTACTGGATATTTGATGTTTAATTTTTTTCTATCGAAAAAAAACGTTAAAGCACAATGTTTAAATTTGTCAGCAAAAATGTCGAAACTACTCAATATCAAATTCCCGGGGTGGGTCTGAAAATATTATTCGGTTAAGTAAGTATAGCTGGTACTATTGATTATAGAATCAATCTATTCTAAAATAACCAATGCTGGTATAACTTCTTTAAATATGTAATCATAAATCTATTAATGTTAATTAATATAAACCGTTTTTTAATAAATTGTTATCTAATTACAAGGTTCAAAATATGTTAAAGAATAAATTTTAACAATAATTATTACGTATTTTGCACTACGCACTGAAAATTGTACTGCCAAAGCCAAATTATGCTTACCTGGATAGCTGGTTAGGTTAGGTATACCCGATTGTCACAAATTAAAATAATAAATTATTTCCACAGACATAAAATGTGATTTAGGCATATGTTATTATTTTAAAATAAATAATAATTATTATCTACAGATGATAATGATTTGGGTACAAATAATATGTCGGTATATTTGAATAAATGTACAGAATAATAATAATAATATTTAACTTAGGTATTAATATTTTAATTTAAATGTATTTGATTATCCAAAATAATTAGTGAATAATAATAAAAAAAAACAAGTAATGTATTGATATCTATTTAAGTACCTATAGATAATGATAATATTTTGCATAATCCATGATATTTTTGTATACAAAACATATTTTAATATTTTTGTGATAATCAGATCGCGTACGACCAAAATATGACATCAATTTATTTTGTATTTAAAAAATAAAAATTATAACGAAACGAAAACCGACTTCAACAAAAAATCGAAAATTTGAAGAAAAAAAGAGTAGGTTATAGGCGGGTACTTCTAAGGCTTTCTATACGTAAAATTCATCGACTTCGGCGCCACCGAATGCTTGTATTGAAACACCCACGTCAGATTATATTCCGATGAGTTTTATTAAGAAGTCTAAAATAAATGTACTCACCTACCAATAATTATAAGATTTTTTTTTTTTTTTGTAGTATTTGTATAAAAAAAAATTATATATATATATCTATATATATATATAGATATAAATAGCCGTTAAAACCGTAATTCAACGATTTTATTTAAAAAGTATAGGCAGATACGGGCAGGTACATACCGTTCGCACGAAATGTGCAATTTTTCGCCAAGTTAACCTTGCAACAAATTGTGCGCGAGCGCATTTCACAGATTGGACAAAGAGTTGCACGTTTCGCAAACGGACGTGCCTACCTATACGCAAATAATAATTGCGATCGACGAGAATTCAGCCACTTCGCGGGTCGCGCGGCTCTCTGACGGCATGTCCGTTCGGTCTCGCGCGTATCTCCATTAACCGTACCAAGTGATAGTAACTGGTTTCCTCGGTCGTTGCATCTTGTTCGTCACGTAAAATCGCACTGAGACGTTTGTGGCCGGCGACCGCCTCGCCCTTCGCCAAGGAGGCCTCGTTAGTCGTTTCCTCCCCGTCGTCCTTCACGTCCACCCCGTCGTCCTTCACGTCCTTCACGGCCTCTCCGTCCTTAACCGCGTCCGGCTCCTTCTCCTCGTCATTCACCGTTCTCGGTTTTTTATCATCTTGGATTTCATCGACGTGTCCTTCGTAACAGTCAACTATGGATGGCACGGCGTCGTCCTTGAGTGAGCCCGACTCGTCGAAATCTTCCGGTCCGAAGTGATCACTGCAAAGCCGTTGTAACTCGTGACACATGTACTCCGGCTTACCGATCAGGTCGAGACGATTGATCAGCCTGGCCCACTCGTTACACCTGCACAAATAGTGTACCTACGTTATAAACTTAAAAATACAACGGGTATTCAGGTAACACATTTGCAATACCACCGAATATAGATAATGAATCTAAATATTTTAAGGAATATCAACGTTATAGAGGAGTCTGTAGGAGAAATAGAGTTAGGACAGTGACGTGGTAAAACAAATAATTAAATATCACAATTAATTTTTGCATTCACCAGGAAGTTGAGACCCACTCAACCTCAAATATCCAAAAATACTTTGGGCCATGATGTTGGCGGATTTACGAGGTGGGGATTCAGGGGATCTGAAACCCCCAGAACCGATACAATTTTAATAAAATATCGTATAAAATAAATATATATGGTTTTTTAGGACTCCTCCCGGAAAAATGTTGAAAATCCGCTACTAAATAACACTATAGTCACGCCACTGAGTTATATATAAGTAGAGTATGTATAAGAAATTTAAAAGCTGAAACTAAAAAAACAATTTTTAAGGAATACATCAAGATGTTCCTTGCAATCTGGCTGAAATATATACATTTAAAGATTGAATTACTAAATAAATTATAATCTATAGATAGATCAACCTGGCACACACTATGCGCACGCTTATGTTCACGTTACCTTGCGATGTCTGTGGGAAATCTGTGTAACGTCAGTTTGGAGTCGGACCGGATTCCGCAATACGTGCACACCAACACCACCACCATGATTTCGATCTGCGTATGAATTTATTACAATATAAGTCTCCGATAGTAATAATTTACTTATTATACGCAATGTTTGAATTTGAAAACTATTAAAATGGTGATGCAAAGTGTGATTAAAATGTGAATAGGTACCTTTAGATTTAATTTTGTCTTTAATCTTTATGTCCATGTATATAATATCATGTTCGTAATGTCCATTCAAAATCAGAGATCAGTGGTGTTGTAAAAAGGAGGTTGATGTAGGTGATACAATACAAAATATCAAGTGTAAAACATCACATTATCAATATTTGTTCGTTTATTGTTAATCAAATTATGTGATACTGTGATATATTATACGTATAATAGTTATGATTTTTTTCTTGATATTTTTAAAAAAAAAAATACTCAAAACCACCAAAGAAACGTCATAGTTACGTCCATGCCAAAAATAGAAAGTGCATAGACTATTGAGTCGACAATTTAATGCGGTAATTTAATTTTAAATTATATTTGGAAAAACTAATAATTTATTATTTTTTTGTTTGTATTTAATTATGAATAGTGATTTCCGATACATAATTATTACTTATCAAAGGACAAACAAAAATAGTGTAGAAGTTGGTAAAAATGCAGGTACCTATTTGGGATTGGTCAATTTTTAATCACACCTCTCCGTTGATTTTTGTTAATTATGCGTTCGGCTCTATGTTCGTTAAGAAAAATTAAAACGATAAAATATTTTAACAAAATCGTGTACATATTTATATATATATATATAAACATATAGTATACATACACAGTATATCATTGAAATAAAATATTGTTAACTATTGATTAAGTATACTTATAATTTATAATAAATGGTAATACTTTTGGTACACAAAATTATGTACCTATATAGAAAAAAATTATCAATAAATAATTGTAACTACAAAAGTTATATGTCTAAAGATTTTAAAAATCTTAATATTCATATATTATTTTTAAAATTAAATTGTATCCAGACACTCATTAAGGTGGGAGCCCCAGCATCATCTAGAACAGTAGAATATTTGGGACTGAAAAATCTGGAGCCAAAAAGTTTTGCCAGGTCTTTGTCGTTTTAGATTTTGCCATTCCAGATTTTGCCTGGTCAATTATAAAAATTTTAATTTTTTATTTGTGTACATGTTCCAAGTCTTGTCTCTCCAAATAGAAAGTATCGTTCCAGTTAATCCATTAATGTCATACGTCCATTTTTAAGACGAATTAATTGGAAAAAAATAAACGGCCAATGGGGGGGGGGTTTAAGCTCCATACCTCCCGTGAGTAAAGTCAAATTTCTTCTCAGAAAAAGTGCTATAATTGAAAATTGGAACAAGATTTCTGGTAGAAAAGTTGTTCACAAAAAAAAAACGTTGTAAAACTCTGCTCAGAATCTAAAATTATAATAATAAGTCAGTTTTCATTTTTTTTTTTTCATAAAATCGTTTAATTAAATCAACAAAAAAATATCTTTTTCTCGATTTCAAAAATGTATTTATAATCATAAAAATAATAAATTGAATATAAAAAAGCAAAACAGCAAAAAACTGAATTTATAGTATAATTTAAGGACTCCATCGAAAAATTAGCCCCAAGCCCCAAAATTCTCAAATAGGTTCTGATGAGTAGATTCTATAATATTAGTTACCTATTTTTTTTTTTTTATCATTATTTTGAGTTGATTTAGAAAAAAAAAAAACAAATATATTAATTTAGCCTCTTTGAGAAAATTTAAAACAACCTCTTTAATTAAGGATAAATATATAAAAATAAATAATTTAATTTAAAATCTAGTCTGTAAAAAAAAAAAAAAAATGGGCTTTATTTGTCTTTGTCCTTAAATGTTAATATATATAAGAAAATGTAAACTGAGATTAATTTCCGAGTGAACAGTTTTCGTTGAAGTGCCGATTAAAAGTTCCTCCCTCCTCCCATAAAACACTGAAATTATTCCATTGTGAGGAGAGGGAGATGATGATACCTATGATATAGTATGGTTTGATATAAAGTGTGCAGTACAAAAACGTATATATTTTAGCCACTGATCGGGTACAAACTACGGTCAGTCAAATCGATTATTAACTGGGTTCACTTAACGATGTCGTTATATTATTCTCACAATCTTAAACCGCGACTGATAATTATGAGTTAAATAATAATTAATTCGTGAAACGCACATTACGAGTGTCAGCAATCCCGTCAGTTTACCGGTCACGAAAAAATCGGTTATCACTAGTCGTCTAACCAGTATATTATCGAAAAAACTGGTACAAACACAAATAATATTCGTACCTTCGAGTTAGATGGTAGACCAAGGTACTCGAATATTAAAATTAACAGCACTAAATCTACCGAACGAAAATTCAGCAATAATAAATGTTCAAAATTAGCCGTAGGTAACACACTAACACATATATTATAGGGCGATCCATTGAGCACGCTCACCCCGTTTTTTATGATTAAATTTTTGCAAGTATTGAATATTCCGATTTCCGGAATTTGTGAGTGCGCTGCGGTTAAAGCCGATATTTTCGAACACTCGGATTATTCGCAGCGTTTCAGGAGAGCAGGCGCGTATATCCCGCGGCGATTCCGACTTTCGTTTTTTTTTTTCTGTGAAACGAAAACCTATAATAAAAAAAAAACTCCATACATAGATGGAGTGTCCATTATCGAATGAATGTCGGCGTCGACATATTTTTGTATTCCCATCAACCCGCCGACGAGACATTGCGCTTTTAATTTTGCGTATAGGGGTGGAGGAGCGTACCATACAGTATGTAGTGTTAACGGCGCTACGAAAACGCCGCTATTAACACACCGTCCTATCCTCGGTGTCTTAAAGCGGAACGACCCCTCCGACGGTTTCCGTAGACATTTCGATTACAATGCGTCAACGTTGCCGGGAAAACGTTCGTCCGACCACCGACCGTCGAACGGATACGATTGGTGGTAGGTTCGCGTCGCGGGGGACCGCCGGAGTCGGCGTCGCCGCCGGGCACCTACCCCCCTAACGTCGTATGACACTCCGCCGTAGACGTTGCGAACAACAATGTTCGAGTATTCGAAAACATCGGCCCGCCGGGTCCGGCGTGCTCGCGGCAATATCAATCGCCCTGCGTATACGTCTGCGTCCTACCTCTTTGTCCGCCGGGAAAATGTCGCGCGATGGCGTACAACGTTCACCCGCCGTTCTACCGGAACGACCGGTTCGGACACGCTTCGACACGAAACGGAGGTCGCGGCGAACAGACCCACACGACGCACGGCGCGTTTTTAATGGCCCGCGCGGATCGCGCGTGATAGTCGGTCGAAAACGGACGTAATGTCGCACGAGAACGGACAAACTGAAAATCTATGTCGTTTCCGGTGTTGTCGCGCAGATGACCGCCGCCGGAACCACTGTGTACTGTATGCCCGTGCACGACCCGCCGGCGTCCGCGTACGTTCGCACCGAGTACGCGAGGGTTGGGTTTTAATTCGCCCTCCGCAATAGCCGCCTCCCAAAATTATTCCAGCATCTGCCGCGCGGTGTTATTACTGTATACCGTGTATATACGTTTATGACGCACGCTACTACCCCTTACCTTCCCTGAGTACAATCAGCTGTTGCTGAAACGCTTTTCCTTTTCGTTTCCGATACGAAGCGCACAGCGAGCGATGATCGATTGGTTTCACTTGTGGTGTGACGTGTGCTTTCCCGTCCCCCCCGTTTGTAAACGAATTTTCGAAAAGATATCTCGTTCCGATGTACAGAGTACCTACACCGCGGTACTCATTCCGAAAGGAGATTTTTTTCCAGTCGGTGCGTTATAGAGAGGCGATTTTTTCGATTTTTCAGGGGGTTTTCGAAATACTCGGGGAGGACCCGAAAGAAAATCGTAGGTGAAACGGTACATAAATATTTAAGGCTCAACGACGCGCTGCGGCGTTAAGTAGATGCCGTTTTCATTGTTTTTTTTTTTTCATTTGTTAACATTGAAAACATTGTTTTTTACACCAGGTACTTGCTCCAATCGAAAAATGACAAAATATCAATTTTGTTCCTTCTATTATAATACAACAAATTTCGTTCTTAGATATCTAGAGTATTTTTCATAATAATTGGGAAAAACAAAAAAGGCAAAAAATAAAATTTTTTTTTTCAAATTGTATGAGTGTAAATTTATTAGGTAGGTATAGTTATTTTCATTGGGCTTCAATCTTATATACCGCATGTTATATAGGATAACACTGATTTGTGATATAACCTAAAAGTTTTAATCATACATTGATATACATTTTAGTTGTTACCACCACGACGATAATTAACGTACGTGTGTACAGCATATAGTATCAGTATTATTTAAAATGTAAGTATACCTTTAATTAATGTAGTGTTGTTATTTTACAAATAGTGTTTATAAGTTTATTGTTAGTAAGAACATATTACAACATGGCTCCGTTGAATGCACAACACGTGGTTCCTGCTCCGTCACCACTGGATATCAGTAAGCCGGCAATGACAATAAAAATGTAAAATTATTTAAAACCAAGTTTAAGCTGTATTTGATGGCCAATGATTTGGATACGAAACCAGTTAAGTTAAAAATTGCTATACCACTAAGTATTATTGAAGTTTTTGAGTTTCTGGAATCAATTAATATTACAAGTGAAACGAATCCAAGTTCGCTTGATAAAATTTTTGAAGAAATAGTAAATTACTATGAACCCAAAACAAACGTTATAATAGAACAATTTAAATTTTTCCGTAGGTGTCAGGTAAAAGGCGAATCGTTTTATAAATTTTTGCGAGAAATTTGTAATTTAGCCAAACGTTATGAATTTGGTGATTTTGAAGACAATATGGTACGAATTGGTATAGTATTCGGTGTTAATGACATTGATCTTCAAGAAAGGCTTTTTAAAAGTACCAGACATAAGTCTTACTAAAAACTATTGAACACTGTAAGTTAGCAGAAGTGGCATGTTATCAACAAAAAGTGTTAATCGGTAATGAAAAGTCAGTCGAGGAGAAAAATAGGCACACAATTTTTCGTGAAAAAAACTAAAAATCAAAGTAACTGAAAGAAACAGAATACAGAGAAGACAGAAGAGAAGTATAATCAGTTCAATGGGCAATCTATTCAACATCACAAATCACCGAACTTTATGAGTGCAAGAAGTGCAGATATCAACATTGTCCAAGAAGCTGTCCTGCGTTTGGAAAAAAATGTAGCAGTTGTGGAAAACTAAATCATTTTAAAGTTGGGTGTAGAATTAATAGCCAGCAAAGAGTAATGAATTTAAATATAAATAATAATAATAAAAATAATGTTGTTAATAGTAATTCGGAGCATAACTTATTTAATATTTAAACTGTAGTATTATTGAATGTAAGTGAACAGGAACAACAGTTCAATGATAAAAATAGTAATAAAGGGTGGTTTAAGGGTACAAAAAATAATGACTGTATTGTTGTATTTAAGTTAGATACAGGCTCGGATATTAATATTTTGCCTCTAAGTCATTTTTGTAGAGTAATAAATAATGAAATTATTGAAAAAATTAATTAAAAGGTACAAGCATATGGTGTATATGTACTAAAACTGATTGGGACTGTAAAAATTAGTTCTAAGAAATGTTATGCTCAGGTTCATAAGTGTAAATGACTAATTACAAAATAAATGTGTTCCTATTGTTTGATTAGATGCATGTGTAAAACTTAATTTGTTCAATACAAGAGAAATAAATAGTATTAAAAGTAATAATGATGTAAAACAAATAAATGATAAATATAAGGAAGTTTCCTAGAAACATAGAATATTAAAACTAAAGAAAATAGTAGGAGCTGGATTAATCCGCTAAAAAGAGCTCCAGAGTCTATTAAAATTGAGTTAAAAAAAATATCTGAAGAAATGACTAGTAATTATTATTCGTACGGCAACAATAACACAGTAATATTTAAATACAATAAAATAAAATTATAAGTGATAATAATAACAGTACATTATATAGTATTTACTCAAATCTAGATTTCTATGTCCAAGGCCCTTATCCATTCACATGCTTCCTTCGTAACTTCATTAATTCCATTAATGCCCGACGCGAGCCTTCTATTCGGACATTCGTCTGTAATATATCTCATAGTCTTACTGTCATTTCCATAATCACATTCTGGGGGTGTCCTTTAATTTCCACTTGAACATCATATGTCCACATCTTCCATGTCCAGTTCTTAATCGGTTAAGGATTACCCATTCTTGTCGTGGAAGTTCGAACCCTTTAAATCTTTGTGTGGGATTATTTATCAAATTTGTATGTAATACCTTATTGTCCAGCCACTCCTGCCATTTTTAAGTGCTGCAGAACTGTGTCTAGATTAGTTTCCATGACTTTTGTTTTATATCTGGCACATTTTCTAAGTATTTGTGAAGAATTGAGTTTTTGTAGGCATCAGTCTTAGTAAATAGTCTCACTAGTGCTTCATTCTTCTGATTTCTGGTGGTGTGATATTTAAAAGAACTGGTGTTGATTGTACTACTCGACTTATTAACCGCATGGCACTATTTAAATGCATATCTACCTTTCCTGGGTGTACACTATTCAACCAAACTGGAGCTTCATATTTCGCTGTAGAATACACTAACGCGATTGTTGCCATTCTCAGAATACTAGCATCTGTCCCCCATCTAGTTCCAGCCAGTTTCTGCACTAAGTTCACTTTTGTTTTAAATTTTTTCTGTAGCTTATCAATATGGTTCCTAAATGTCAACTATCGGTCCAATGTTACTCCCTAATATTTGGTGTAAAGTTATGGTTCACTTTTACTCCCTTCAAGTGGACATTGAGTTCCCTGTTTGCTTCTTTATTATCAAGATGAAATCCACATACTCTGTCTTATTTGAATTTGGTCTTAGTCTCCATTTGTAAAAGTATCTTTACAAGATGCTTAAGTCATTTTTTAGGGTATTCTCACCTACTTTCATATCTTTACAAGTGTGTGCTATGTCAATGTCATCTGCGAACTGAAATTCTTGGCCAGTGATTATTAGTAGATTGTGTATGTATAAGTTGAATACCTTCGTACCTTCGTACCTGAATAGTGCTGGGGCTAGTATGGATTCTTGTAGTAGTCCGTTATTCACAGAGCACCACCTATTTTTCTTTCCGTCCATAAACATTTGGAACCTGTGGTTGACTAGCATGTTTTATAATAGTTGACCCATTGCAAGGTAATATATTTATAAACTTCTGCATAAGTCCTCTCCACACAGTATCAGCAGATAAATCAATAAACGCAACATTTGTCTTCAGCTTTCTCTGAAATCCTGCCTTGATCATTGTAATGAGCACTAAGATCTGGTCCAGACATCCACGGTTATTTCTGAAACCTGCTTGTTCAATTAGTATGTGTTTATCCAGAGTTGGTTGTATTCGGTTTAATATTAATCTCTCTAATGACTTGTATGATACACTAAGAAGTGATACGGATCGATAATTTGATGCTTCTGTACTAAGCTTTCCAGATTAAAGTATAACTATTATTTTAGATTTTTTAAAAATGTTTTCGTCATCGATTTCCTTGTTAGGATATATAGATCTGGAGAGTAGTCATTTTGCCATCTGGCCAAAAAAGTTTCCTTTTCTTTAGCGTTGTATTTAAGTTCCATGTTGTTTAGAGTAATCCAATTCATAATGGTGTCCCCATTGCTGTCATTTAAGTCATATCTCCACATTAGGCTGTGACTATTAAAGTCACCAACATAAACCATCATGTGCTCAAGTATTTTGATTGGAGGGTATCTCTATGCTACGTTAGGTGGTTTGTAAATATTTATAAAGGTTATTCCATATACTTCTATCATTAAGAATTTGATGTTCCCACTGCATTCGCTGTCATCCTTGCACTGACAATGTTGTCTCTCACTAATGTCACTACACCATACTGCTTATGATGAATTAATCCATCAATTACATAACCAGCTATGTACCCTCTTCTGCAAAGATGTCAACTGTATGTGTTTCTTGAATAGCAATTACATCAATACCCTTTTGTCTGCATATTCTTCCTAACAATTCTTTAGAGGAAAAAAGAAACTAAACAGCAGAATAAGAGACATAGACGGAAACTTGATACTGGACAACGACAAAATAACAACAAGATGGAAAAAATATCTTGAAGCTCTATACCAGGAAGGAGAAGCAGCTAATCTTAATAATAATAACAATCCAGATATGCAAGGAGAAGTAATCTTAAGAGGCGAGTTCAACAGTACTTTAAAATTAATGAAAACAGGTAAAGCAGCCGGTACAGATGACATAGCTATGGAACTTATTTAAAATGCGAGTACAGAATTACAAGACGAGCTATTCAAATTAGTGAATGATATATACACTACAGGAGAGATCCCAAAAGACTTCAAGGAAAGCATTATAATACCTATACCTAAAAAAGCAACGGCAGATAAATGCAATGAATTTAGAACAATAAGTTTAATGGCACACGCAGCCAAAATCCTAGTAAAGATAATATGCACCCGAATTGAGAGCATAGTAGAAAAAGAGTTAGGCGACGACCAATTCAGGTTCAGAAGGAACAAAGGTACTAGAGAGGCAATCTTAAGCTTAAGATTATTGATAGAAAAACAAATAGAATTTAATAAAGACACATTTATAGCGTTTATAGATTTGGAAAAAGCTTTCGATAAGGTACCATGGAAAGGTCTATTCTATACTTTAGAAGGAATAGGAGCTGACTACAAAGATAGAAGGATAATATATAATTTATACAAAGACCAATCAGCTATAATAAAAGTTACAGACAAAACAGAGACGGCGATAATTAGGAGAATCCACTCTCGCCAGCTTTATTTAATATTGACGTCGAACAGCCTATCAAAGAAATTAGAGAAACACTTCTCAGAAATAAAATAGGCATAAAAGTAGGTGAAGAAATAATATCCTTCTAAAAATTTGCTGATGATATTGCACTCCTAGCTAACAATGAGCATGATTTGGAAAGAGCACTGGAAGAAATAACGAGGTGCTTCCAAAAATATCAGCTGATTATCAACTGGCAAAAAACTAAAGTTATGATGTGCCAAAAATCAGACAGAATCCGGAGAATTAATATCCAAATAGGGAATCAGCTGCTCGAACAAGTGGAACATTTTAGATACCTAGGCAGTCTAATCGNATTTATGAATAAGAAAAATTTGTTATGCTCCAATAGCATGAGTATTAGAGTGAGGAAACGCTTCATTAAAGTGTATGTATGGAGTTTGGCACTATATGGCTGCGAAACATGGATTCTGAATAAGGCAGAACAACGAACACTCGAAAGCTTTGAAATGTGGTGTCGGGAAAGGATGCTGAGAGTGAGTTGGATAGAACATCGTACCAACGAAAGCATACTCAGTGAAATAGATGAAAGCAGAGAGATTCTCAAAACCATCAGAGCAAGACGATGGAACATGATTGGGCACATATTGAGGCACGAAAATGAGCTAATCTACAGAATAATAGAAGGGAAAATGGAAGGCAAAAGGGGCCAAGGGCGTCCAAGAACTTCATTTGTCAAACAAATGATTTCCGATGCTAGACTATCAAGCTACGCCGAACTGAAGAGGTTAGCTGGGAACAGGGAAGAGTGGAGAGCACATGTCCAACTGCAAAACCAACCTTAAGGGTTGAATACCAAGAGAGAGAGAATACCAGTAGATAGGCCTGGAAAATGGTGCAGTCATATTGTAATAGTTGAGAAATCCAACAAGAAATTGTGTATTTGTCTGGATTCATTAGAATTTAATAAAATTATTATTAGAAAATATCAATTAATACCTACCATGGATGGGATTAGAGCAAGTCTTAGTAATAAAGAGTGGTATTCATTATTTGATCTTAAAAATGGATTTTGGTAAATTAAGCTAACAAGTAATTCAAGTAATATTTGTACTTTTAATATGCCTTTTGATACTTTAGATTCATAAAACTTCGATTTGGGCTGTCCAGTGCTCCTGAGGAATTCCAAAAACAAAATCAGAAATGTTTTGGTGATATTCCAAATGTTAAAATTAATTTTGGTGATACACTAATTACTACTGAGGATAAGGAATCACATAATGTAGCAGTGAAGTGAGTCTTTAAGAGTCTTTAAATATAAAATTTAATCCTAAAAAGTTTGTTATTAAACAGAAAGAAATAATTTATCTGGGAATGGTATTTAGTAAAAATGGAATGAAAGTAGACCCTGATAGAGTTGAGGCTATAAATAAATTGAAAGAGCCAAAAAAATAAACTTGAGCTGCAAAGAATAATTAGTACGTTTAATTTTCTTAGACAATTTATACCTAATATGTCTCAGTTGAGAACCGAGACATTAGGTAATCCACTAAGAGAATTGTTAAAAAAAAATGTTGGACATGGATTAATACTCATACTGGAAGTAATAGATAAGCTAAAACATACAGTGACTAAACTCACCAGTTTTTCGTGATTTTGATCCAGAAAAGGAAATTAATATTCAATGTGATAGTTTCCAACACAAGCTTAGGATGTTGTTTATTGCAAGAAGGAAAGCTTGTGGCCTTTGCTTCTAGAAGTCTAATGGAGTCAGAAAAACAGTACCCGCAGATTGACAAAGATGTTAAGCATAGTTTTTTCTTGTCATAAGTTCCATAATTATGTATATGACTACCATGCTAAAGTCTGTACTGATCACTCGCCACTAAAATCAATTTTAATCAAGTAATATTTAATAGGTTACAAAAGACGTAACTTAAACTTTTGATTTATGATTTAGAAATTAATTATCTGCCAGGAAAAGAATTGTATATTGCAGACTTATTATCTAGAAATTTTATTGACTTTAAATTTGAGAATAAAATTAATATTGAAAGTGGAGTTCACTCAGTTGAATATAAAAAAATGAATTTTGTTGAAAATAACACAAGTCGCAAAAAGTGATTCAGTATTAACTAAAGTTCTAGTGTTCTATATTAAAGTTTGACCTGTTAGTAAAAAGTTAACTAGTGGAGAGGTTCAGGATTATTAGAGTCTTCATGATATTGTAGTGGTTAATGATGTTTTTTATTACAATATCAAAATAGTTATGCCTCATGTGTTAAGAAGTGTAGCTTTGTGACAAATTTACGAGGACCACAATGGTGTAAATAAAACCTTGCTTGAAGCTAAACAGCTAGTTTATTGGCCTGAGCTAAATAATGAATTGCAGTAATTTGTATTGCTATTCCACATATTGTGTCTAAACTACCCTTTGAAGTTACAAGTACAGATATATTGACCTATATGAGAAGGATGGGACTATATTGTAGTATTCAGTGGTGTTTTGGCAAAAAAAACTAGAGGGTATATGCACATTTAAGAATTTATGACAATGACTATTGTGATCAAAACTTATCAAATTTTACTACTCAAAACAAAGCTCACGAGTATTCAAGTCTTTTCACAAGCATACAACTTTTATATCAAAAAAAATATTTTTCAAAATAATTTTATTTTCACCGTCATTGTCAAGAAGTCTTGATTTTAAGTTATTTTCAATGCTTGTCAAATACTGATTTTTATTTATGCTTATCACTTTTTTGCTTGAAGTTAAATCAATATTTTTGAACTTCATATCTTTTATTGCAACTACAGCTTGGTGCATATAATCACCATTATTAGTTTTAAAAAACATTTTAACCTTAAACATCTCTTTATAGATTGTTCAGCTTGCATCAATGTAATAGTGCGAAGTTCATATTTGAAGTTCAATTAATAAGTTGAATAATTCCTGAAGGACATCACACATAATAGCTAAATCATTAACGAATTCAGGGCTAGCTAATTTTTTAAGGAATCCTAGGTATTTACTCTTAGTTTTAGAATCTCTATTGGAATCATTGGTTGCAGTATACAAATGCTTATAAAGTGTAGGAAATATTTTCCATACAACATTTACTGCTCTTCAAATACTAGCAACCCAACGAACGCTAAGAACCTGACCAATTTTTAAAAACAAAACATCTAAATCATGACAAAGTTCTCTTAATTCCGTTTGATTTTTAGGGGATGCATTGTATAGAATATAAAGTGAGTTTATAAAACATTTGAAGTGATTTATAACACTTACATCTTTGAGTGAATCATTAACTGCTAATTTAAGATGATGATTCAGGGCCAACTAAAGATAAGTGGGTACTTATCCTTGAGTTTTTTAGCAACACCACTTTTTTTACCCAACAAAATGCTTGCTCCATTACTCTAGAATGGAGGATAAACCCTAATTTTATACCATTTAGTTCCTGTAATTGCACTAGTTTTAAATGATCATCAAATGGACAGTTATATTTTGCTATATAATAAGCTGTACGGAAAATAGAATGTGTAGCTTAGTTTATCTGGTAATCATTTTCTTCCATAAGCTTGGACAACATATTTTTGTCTTTATTGTCTAATATTTGAACAGCAGATTTGTGTGCGTTGGATTCAAAATGTTTTTTAAGTTTATTTTTTAAAACAGTGAGGCAAGTTTTCTTGTTAGTATTTGTTCCTCCATCAATTTCACATGTTACCCATTCTTGAGATATTTCAATCTTTTGAGGGGTTTTTAATTTACTCACTTTTCTGCATATATCACATCCAATTTTTCCATCAGTACAGTAAAGTCCTTTAAATTTTTCTTTTTTTTCTGTCCATTGCACTGATGTCCACTCAGACAGCCACAGTGAATCTTGACAGTCAGCTTCAGAAGACTCAACACTATCTAATTGAATAAATAGAGAAGATGGCTCGGAAAACAAATTTTCATTTACCTACATCAAATAAAACCATCCAAGTATATAATTAGATCTAGTACCATTCAGAATTTCCAGTATCTTGAATAAGAGATATTTGTCACTAATATAATTTTTTATTAAAAATAAATTAATTCAAATTATTTGACAATGGTTGTAACTTTTAATAAATTACCACAATTAATAATCACGAAAAAGAAAATATTAAAATTGTGGTTTCTAATTTGTATATGTAGTATAATATACAAATTAGGTTAGTACAGTAGGTACTACTTTAACTCAAATAAATAATAATTGAAATGTAAAGTGTTTTCTATTAACTTATTAACTTAAATTCTACCGAACGGTTTTAACCCTTTACTGCATGCATTTTTAAAATTAAAACAAATAATAATTTTTAAATTACTTTTTGTTCATTAAGTATGAGAAAAATAATTAAAAATGTAATTTTAATTTTATTAAGTCTCAAATATGCAACTATATGTACCTATATGAACTACCTAAGCATTTTATAGTACTAGGAGTTTTTACATTTTGGTATAGAGCAATAGGTACCTATATTGTAAAAAACAAAATTTAAAATGTACTTTTCTATAAAAATGTATACCTATTTTAAAAAAAAAATGCATAACAATCGAAAAAGAATATAATTTTTATATAAATGTGAAAAACATTTGTATGAAGTAAACAAATATAATAACAATATAGTAACAATTATAAAAAAACAATTGTATGAATATGTCAGAGTGTTGTTATATTATAAACAAAATAATAACAAATAATAGAAAAAGAAAATAATATACCTTATATCCTTATTTGTGCAATAGATGACAACAATTGAGCTTCTACTTCTTTAGACGCCACCTAAATAGCTCACAAGTAAACGAATTAATAAAATAAAGACAATTTAAAATGTATTACCTTATTAGTTTTTATAGTTACTTACCTCAACAATTTCTAAACGGATTTTTTTATTTGTATTTATAGAAAAATAAGAAAATAAAGTTTTTTTTTTTGTGTGTGTGTGTAGAATCCATATTGTCAACACTTAACATTTCACTTCAGAAGCCACAGGAAAAAAAAAAATTATAAGTAACAAAATGTAAAATAAATAATAATGGAAGACGAGCAATACCGCAGGAAGTCAGCACTTGGAATAGCACTCAACACACTGTCTAGAATATTCTTGTATAGAAACGTCCAAAGGCCGCTTGTGGATATTATAATTTGATACCTAATGAATATAGCTAGGCGATAATCGATAGCTATAAATAATAATTAATTATCAATGTTATTATTAAGTAATATTAACCTACCAATAACAAATTTTCTAAAAATAAACGTATGCTCTATAGATTTACTCCTCATGTTTATAATTCTCTTCATTGTTGATAATGGTTTTTTTTCTATTTATTAAGTAGGTATACCAGCGTATACGTGCGTATTGGTGTTACTTTTATAAAGTATACGCTAAATCACTAAGATGGTTCACGGGTATACGTCGTGTACCCGTGTATACCCTCCAAAACACCACTGGTAGTATTTGACCACTACTCTAAGTGGTTAGAACTAATTAAACTCAATAAGAAGACAGCTAGAGAAATTATTATGCACTTTCGAAGTGTTTTTAGCACATATGGTTATCCAAAAATTAGTTATTCTGACAATCAACCATTTAGTTCTAGTGAGTTCAAACATTTCTAAAATGTGTATAATATAAAACTTATAACGTCTAGTCCAAGGTATTCTTAGTCAAGTGAGATGGCAGTAAGAGCTTTTTTTACGGCTAAACAAATGTTGAAGAAAGCAAACTTTCAAAAAACGGACATTTTAGACACATTGCTTAAATATAGATGTACACCTATTCCACACTTTGTGAGCAAGTAATGAGTAAAATACTAAAAAAAAAAATTCCAATCAGTGAGAGTAATTTGAAACCCATGACACATAATAATATTGACAGTAATATAATTAATTGTCAAAAAACTTATAAAGATTATGTTAGAAAAACTCTAAATGAAAGATGAATTTGTACTACGTGATAATGTAGTAGTAAAAGAGGGTAATGTATGGACACTGTAAAATTATAGAAAAGATAAAAGACTATCCTAGATCATAAAAGATAAAGTTACAGAGTGGTATAGTGGTCAAACGTCTTATCATTTGCATCACACAACTAACCAAAGGTTTAAGGAATACTATGTAGATAATGATGATATTCTGCATGGACAGGATAGACAAAAATTTGGCGGGGAATGAGAAAATTGATGATACTGATGAGACACTAAAAGGACAAGGGTTAGAAGAGTTATTAGAAAACCTATTAAATTAGGTGATTATGATTTATGTTTATCGTGTTAAAGTGTTTGTTTAAAATGATAAATTAATATATTGTTGTTTCTTTGTGTAAGAAATTAGTGTATATTTGCAAATTTGGTATTATTTGATTATTCGTTATGTACGTAATGTTATTAAAATTATTCTCATAATTGAATTTTAATTATTAATGTTTTTCTTTTTTGTTATATAATATAATATGTTAGAATTGTTAAAATGTTAATTTTAAAAGCTTTAAAAAGAAAGGGATGTTTTATAGGGTAACACTACTTTGTGATATAACCCAAAAGTTATAGTCTTACATTGATATGCATCTTAGTTGTTACAACCACGACCATAATTAACCTACGTGTGTACAGCATATAGTGTCAGTATAAATTAAAATATAAATATACCTATAATAAATAAAATAACAGTTACTTATAAATTAACATAGTGTTGTCATTTCACAAATAGTATTTATAAATTAAGAATTAGTAAAAACCTATTATATCATTGCAAAACAAAATTTATTAACATAACCAAATTAAGGCAAAATACGTTTGCAGTTAGTTAAACAATTTAAAAATAGATACTTAGTCAACAATTTTTTAAATTATACAACATGCAGATAAAATAATACTGTTTCTTATTTATTTGAAAAAAAAAAATGTATAAGTAGGTTATTTAAATAAACACAAATTGTTTTCTAAAAAAATGAATAGATGTTTCGACGAACACATTTTGTTTCTTTTTTGTTTGCGAGTTTATTATTTTTAAGATTTTGGCAAAGACGTGTTTACAATTGTATAGCCTTAAGACAATTGAGACTATTTGTGCCTCCTATATTTTGGTGATAATCAAAAAAAGTCATCATTTATTTGTATAAATCTCCAACCGCCCTTTAAATGCGTTCCTAGTTTTTGAGCACTCAATGAAATTGGGAAAATCCGACACTCATGTCTGTAAGCAAAAATTGCTAAAACAAATTTAAAAGGCCATAATATTTACGATTTTCATCAAAATTTGATAATAAAACCATTATGAAAAAAAAAAAAAATTACATTATTACTAAAAGTTTCTTAAATAATATAATTTCCATTATTATCCCATTGTCACATTCTACTGTCTATATAGGATTATATCAGGTTACCTCTGGTTTTCCTTGTAATCATCAGCATATACTATATATACAAATATTATTATAATATAAATTAAGAAGTTGTTCATATGTTATGGTACACATTATACAAAATTGTACAAATAATTTAGTTTTCTTTTTAATGACTTTTAAATTTAAAGTACATGTATATAAATATATTGCCCTAATCTATATTACGATTAAATTAAATGGTACATTATGTTTATCCTGAGTAATATTGTCCATTATATAAACAAAAGAGCTCTAGACTGTAGAAAAAAAAAAGCCTGATATTTAATTTGAATTATTCTTTTATTTTTATTCAGGCAGATGGTAATTTGAACAAGACTTTTAGATTAGGATAAACTTAAATACCAGTATTTTTTTTATCAACTAAAATAATATAAATTACTTTTTGGACTACTTATGTCCAGACAGTATTATCTGGATTTAAATAATAAAACTATCAGTATGAAAAATAATAAATCAGAAACTACTTTGTATCACACATATTTTTAAGTATGTATTAATTATTATGCTTAGGCAGTTATTGGAATTTATTTATTTTTTATTAATTTGTTTAAGTATGAACAAATAAATTTAAATTAAATGTATAAATTACGTACTAAAGTATAGTAAATACAATTAAAATAGTTTATACTAATACATAATACACCCATACACAAATGTCATAGTATAACTTATAATATGAACTCCATGTTAAATTTTCAAGCGTTTTTATGAAGTCGAATAATTATATTCACATAGTACATAGTATAGTTAGGAAAATGGTCCGAATGCCTACAGTAGATCAAATAAGATATAAATTGTTGGGGAAAAAGTATTTTACACTGATTGATCTGAAGAATGGATTCTACCAGTGTAAATTGGTGGCTGAATCAAAAAAGTACTGTGCTTTTGGTACACCATTTGGAATATCTCAGTTCAAAAGATTACTTTTTGGTCTAGTAAATGTCCCAGCAATTTTCCAACAACTAACTTATATATATATATTTTGGAAATATCAAAAATGTTTGCATTTATTTTGATGGCATACTAGTAGCTAAAAAAACTTTAGAGAAACATAATAAGATATTAAAAGAAGTAGTTGATTAAGCAAGAAATTTAAATACCAAGTTTGATCATCACAAATTACAGTTTGAACAAAAAGAAATGAAATATTTAGAAATGGCATTTAATGTAAAAGGAATAACATTTAATGCAGATAGGGTAAAAGCAATTATGGAATTAAAAGTGCCACAGAACATTAATCAATTGCAATCAAATTATTAGGAATGATAAACTATCTTAGGGTATTTATACCTAATATGTCGGAACTGGTTGAGTCATTTCGCTTGTCAGAAATTTCATAAGCTCATATATGGTCAGAATATTATTACAATTTTTACAGATCATCAATATAGTAGAATGTTTAGTGGAAATGAATACGCAGACAGGAACAAAAAAATGTGTGAAAAGTCTGCAGCAGTTGAGGGAAAAAAATGTCTACTTAATGAATCTATTTTCATACAAAACAATGGGCTAAAACGAAATTAATAGGTAAAATTAAGTGGCCTAATTCATACTTGATCAAAGATCACGAAGGAAAAGTTTTATGGAGAAATACATTGTTTATAAAAAAAAGTTTAAAGTCTGTGATTATGATGATGACACAATTAAAATTGATTTTGAGGAAAGTAAAATCAAAGATAATGGTAATGTTAAAAAGGAGACAATAGAGGAGAAAAACAAAAAGAAACATATTGGTGGAAAGGAAGCTGATGGAACTAAACGTGCAAATAGAAGAAATATAACTAAAAAAGGACAAGTGAGTCATCAAGTCATCATCCCCTTTTTCGTTATTATTATTATTATATTTTTTTTTCTACGAGCTCTACAGAATTGTTTTATCTTCGTTGTAATATTGTATCATAGATAATGTAATATTATTTAATATTCTTACATATACATTTGTAATAGTATTCTTGTACTATCTATATCTATGTATTCTAGTCACAATTACGGTTTAAAATATACGTATTACCCTTGACTACAAATACTAAAAAAAAATAGTGTTTATAATCAATGGTATGACGTATGTATATCTTAAATCACGGTTATAATTTCACAGTCCGGTTCATACCATAGTTCAACCAATCAAAATACGTAGATGCACGGGACATGGTATATTGGAAACTCGGCCAATATTAATGACCACAACCATAGTTTAAGATTTCGAAAAAACGCGTTCACAAAGGAACTTGTTGACAGAATGAGTATGTTTGCGCATGCGCGTTAAACCAAATTCAAACGCTCGTTATTTAATGTTTTGGTTATCAATTTAATATTTTATTTAATAAATATAAAGACTAAAACTACCACAGTCATTTTAACTATGCTTCTATTTTCCTATTTTTCTATTGTCATTATAATGATTTTAGAACAGTTTTATTAGTTTCGACAATGTGTTTTAGTTCTCAAAGAAGTTGTTTATAGAATATAGGTACAAGGAATTGTATTTGAGTTTTCCTATACACGTCATGGCGTCAGTACTCGACTTGAATATCGATAATATAATCGATGAATATGAGTTGTCTTACAAAAATTTTAACGATAATTTCGTTGAAGAAATTACACAACATATTAACGAGCAACTGAAAGAATATGAAGAAAAAATAAAAGAACATGTCAACATTTTAAGTATGTATCTGGTGGTTTTTGTTTTATTATAAAAGTAATTATTTGAAATGCAGTAGATTTTTATTTTTCACTTTTTGTATTTTCTTAGAACAAACCACCGATATTAATAATAAAGTATCTGAAAACCGTGAACAACTCAAAACCTTAAATGAAAAAATAGAATCTACACGTCAGTTGTTGCAAACTGAACGTGATCGCTTGGAAACTGAAGCTGGCCATTGTAAAGATTTAGAAGTAGAAGTAAACAAATTGCAAGATATGGTTAACAAGAATCAAATGGAACTTACTCAAGTATCAAAAGGTATACTTTTAAATATTAATATTATAGTTTGTGTTTAGTTATTTTTTTTTTTATCTTATATTTATCTATTTTTATATTGTTTTGTAGAGAGTAAAAAATCCATGCAAAAACTTAAGAAGGAAATTGACTTATTTAAAAACGGTGTGAAAAAGTTTGAGCAGTATTTACAATTGAGTATGAATATTGAAAATAACAATGAACAATTTGCTGTTGTCACTGTTTCCATGAAAAATACAAAGAATCGCAGTAATTATAATATTGTTATTGAGGACAATAATAACGATTATAAAAGTAAGTGTATTCATATAATGATTGATTTTAGAATATTCTGAAATCAAACTTTCTATTAATAATGAGAGGGGGGTCTGGATAGTGTTTGAATAAAATTGTATTATGTATCTTCTATTTAAATACAATTTCTATGTGGTGTAATATTTTGTATATTTTACACATAAAATTATCAAAGAAAGTACTTATTAGAGAAATGCATGCTACTACAATGTATGATCTACATACATGTTTCTGTTCAGACGCATGTTCTAAATTTACCATGTATATATTATGATAAACTATAAATATAAGTAATAATATAGTATGGAAAATATGTTATTAGGATTACATACTTGTGTTGCAATGTTTTTGTTGTGGTAACTATTTTGTTTATCTATAATTCTATAAATAATAACTTGAATGATAACTGGTGACTGATTTATTTTATTATATTATTGTTATTATTATTAGCCTGTTTGTAAAAATAAAATGAATTAATTTACATTGAAACTTTAACTTAAAGATTATACTATTCAAAATAATTTACTGTCATTTAACATATTTTTACGTTTTAAGTACTTGCCTATTTTCAACAATTTATTTTTTATCCAGTTATAGATATTGCACCTAGAGACGAGAAAGCTTCTAAGGCGACAGAATTATATTATCAAACTAAAGACATCCAAGGCATGTTAGCTTTCTTATACATGACTAAAGAATAGTAAATAATATATGTACATATAAATATTTTATGATATCAGCTGTGTATATTGTATATTTTATGAATGTTTAAAACTTTTACTTTTTTTTTTTATTAATTAAATGAATATCATTTATTTTTTCTAATTTTATACATTGTTTATTTGTGTTTATTTTCCAATATTTGTTTATTATTAATTTTATTCATCATGGCCTAGTAATACGTCACTACTATTAATAAAATATTTAACAGTTTTTTATTTTTTGGAATACTTGTAAATAATATTATTTATGTCAGTAAAGTTTCTTTAAAATTACCTTATAGTTTTAATTAGTAAATACTGTAGTAGATTTTGTAAGTAATATTTTAAATCCTCTTTTAGTTTCAGAAAATAACAAATACTCATCTGTAAATAATACTTTGGTTTGATTATGTTAAATTTATGTATTATAAAATATATTACAAAAATATTTATTTTTTTTTGATCTTTAGTTTTAAATACACTATTTATGCTCGATTAGTTTTTTGGATTGTGAACAGACAGGAATGTACCTATTAGTTTTATCATGTAAACCATAATTTAGTGAATTTTCAACCAGAAAACTTATTCCAGTCACCAACATCACTGATGGTTTCTGGTAGGAAATTTTGTCTAGTCAATGCAATTGAAAGGTTACTTTAACAATGGAGTTAGAACGGAAATATTTTTTGTGTAAACTTTCTACCAGAAATTTCGCTCCCTAATCAAGTATAACTTATTTTCTGAAACGAAATTTTATCTCCATGGTTTAGTGAGGTAATTTTTGTGATTTTCAATCGGTTTTCATAATAACTGAGAAAAACCTGGATAAAATGTCGGAAAATTAAAAATGTACGAAATGTAGGTATTAGTAAAAAATATTACGGTCTTTTTTTTTCTGTGTACAACTTTTTTACCAGCAGAAATTCTCCGAATTATAATAATAGCACTTTTTCCTGAAAATAAATCTGATTGGGAAGGTCCTAAAATGGAGGTTATTTTTCGATTTTTCTAAGAGGGAAAATCGATACAATATTAAACAAATATTATTAAAGAAAACATGTAATGCTTATTTAATTATTTTACTATAATATGACATACATATTGTTGATAAATTATTACTACCAACTGAACTGCGCTCAGAATCGTTTTTTCGTTAGCATTAGTTTATAGTTGTTTACAGATATACATTAAATTACCTATAATGATGGCTGCACCCGTATCCATTATCCTAGGACGTCTTTTTTAAATGTGTACCCATATTCTTCTTCTCATTGAATGGAAATAAATAAAATATAACATACTTTATTTCCATTCAATATTATTCGGTAATAACAATAAAATTGGTTTTTAAAATATTTTATCAATTTACATAGAATGAACCTAAAGTTGATGACCTACATTTTCATATGTACAAACATTAAAAAAATCCAACTACCTAAGTACACTGAAACAACCAAGCAGTGCCTTGTAATAGTATTTTTAGTTAGGCTAATACACACGAGATGACACCAATTTTAAAACCTTAATCATTGAAACGTACACAGATAGCAATTACAAACTTTACTCCCAAAAAAATATTTGTAAATAGTCAATAGAAATTAGATAATGTACCCATGAACCTTTTTATAAAAAAAACTTGTAGTGTAGTAGAAGATGCAGGGTGTAGAGTTAATGAATATGTTGAACCCTGGCTTTAAAATTCCTAATACGATTTCCAAAACATTTATTCCAGCGGCTTATGAGAAATGCGTGAATGAGGTTAAAGATAAAATATTCACTGAACTAGAAAGTGTTTGTCTGACGACTAATTTATGGACATCTGGAGATAAAAAAAAGTTACATAACCATTCATTTTATTAATGACAATTTCAATTTTAAGTCTAAATTATTAAGCTGCCATTCCTTTGTTGAGAACCATATAAGCTCTGAGATCTTCAAAAATGCATTAGTTCAGTTAAAATGTAAACATTTTGGTTGTTTTGCCCACACTCTAAATCTCATTTTTCAATTTGTATTAAAAATGAAACCGATCTTATTGATAAGGTCTAAAACATTTGTACTCATTTTCTTCGCAAAAGTACAAATGTAAATAATAAATTAATCACATACCAAAATACCTGTCCTAGGATAATAGGAACAAGTGAAGCTACTATTGTAGGGAAATTGAGAAGGTAGGATACAGAAGGGAATTTAATGTATATCTGTAAACAACGATAAACCATTGCTAAAGAAAAACTATTCTGAGCCCAGTTCAGTTGATAGTGATACTTTGTCAATAATATATATATGCAATGTTACAAGGGCCTCTTAAATCGTTAAATCAATAAAAATGTTCTGGCTACGTGCCTGTATGATTTGTATAAAATTGATGTTTGGCACTCTGAGCATTAACAGGTTAGATGATCATAATAACATTAAGTATTTTATCATTAATTTCTAATCTATGTATTATACAAAAATGTATACCTTGCGTACCACAAATGACACCTCTGGAACAAATGAGTTATGGAGAAAATGTATTAAAGAACAAATATTTAGTAATTAGTGAACATTTGTTCTGCAAAACACTACTGCGTTTTATTTATTATATTATACCATTTTTAGTCCGAATTTCAAGTCTCTAAGTAGATTTTTAACTAAAATTTAACAAATAATAAAATCGAAAAATAATAGAAGCATTATTTTCGTAAATTTCCTGTATTTCTTACGTTTTAACCTGGTTTTCTCCAGATATTATGAAACCGCTTGGAAATGATCTCTCAAAAGTATCATCTGGAAAACATTCCCTTTCAGAAATGGTGTCACCCATATACATGGAAGAAAAATTGCTGGTAAAAAAGTAGTCCAGATAAAAAAAAATAATAAATACTTTGTAAAACTATAAGTTTCTTTGCTCCTTTCAGAATTTAAAACGCCTAATAAAACTGAGGAAATTTAAATTGCACATTAACTATTTAAGATTTGACTAAAACTGTTCATATAACCATCATAATAAACATGTACAGAAACACAAAATTTTAAATTGCCACAGATTATACATTAAGGTGGTCTTTAAATATGAAAATGTCCGCTTTGTCACCCTTAAATTTGGTTCCTATCTAAAATAAAAAAATGTTGAAAATTTGGTTATACTACCTTAACTCTAAAACATATCTCAAGATGGTTAAAATTTTACAATTATTTTATTGTTGTTTTTATATTATTTTGAAAATTGGCCAAAATAGGAACCTCATGATGTTAGGGAAGTACATTTCTGGTGCATTATAATTTTAATACACTTTAAGAAAGGAAGAATACCTGAATAATTAATAATTAAGATATGATATAATAGGTAAAAAACAAATATTTATGTATCCTAAAATTAATAATTCTAATTGGAGCTATCCAGGAGTCCAATACTATATCAGAACCTACATGAGGAATCCTAAGCTGGAGTCTATTGATCTAAATATTTGACAATCAAATATAAAAACAAACAAAATTAAAATTCAGTGACAAGGATTTTATAAATTCAATAATTGTAAGGAGAAAAGTTAATTAATTACTTTAAAAATGTAATTAATTTACAATATTACCTGTGTTGAATTTGAAATTATGATCAGGTATGTAAAGCTTTCATCATAAAAAATTAAATTTCTGGACAAGGTTCTTCAAAAACTTCACAATAGAAGAGAGTCACCTAGTGTGAAACCAAAATGAAAAAAGCGATTAAAAATTGGGTTTTGCTTTGTGTGAAAGGCCCTTTAATATAATTAATATAACAGGTATTAAAATTTAAAATGATTATTAATTGTTATCAATTGAATTAAATCATTTATCCAATTGTTTATTATTTCGAGAGTATTGTGAATTTAATCTCTCAAAAATCTCTCGATAACTACAAATCAATTACCTAATATATGTTATTTTATTTTAGTATATGTAGCTTTCAATATATTATGTTATATTGAATAATTAATTATTATTTTTTAAAATATAACGAAAAACTACTATAAAATAAACCACAACTTTTTAGAACGTACAATGTCTTTAAAATATGGTGCTGAATAAAACTGAAAAATTCTTTGCAGAGAAATTAAAGATATTTTACTTAAGGTTTAGAATGAGAAACAATGAATGGAAGAAAATATGAAAGAAAAAGCTGGAAAAGGTTATTTAAGAACTCTATTTAACACAACTTACAAACCTAGAATAGTTATGGTGGATAGGGCCTAGTAGAAGTCCTTCAAAATGTATTACTACTAATTAAAAAGAAAAAGAAAAAAAACAAACAAGACATCATATTAAGTCTCAAATATAGTTAGTATAGGAAGGTATAGTATACTGAGATATTATAATAGTGTCATGAATAATATCTTGTTAAAAAGAAACTAGTTTATAATAAAATATTTTAATATTGGACAATCAGTACATGTACAAATAGTAATGGTACATGTTATAAGATTAAAAATGTCAAGTTTATACAATACAAATTTTTTTATCACAATTGATTGATTTATTTTTTAATCTAGTCTTAAAAGAACTATATTCATAAATAACAAGTATGTACTTATTGGCTATTTTTACTTTTAAATATAGATGGTATCAAGTAAAAAAAAAAATGTTCACATATCTCTATGATTAGTATATATATGTATATATTTGTGTATATATATATATATAAATATACACACTCACACACGTACAATTAATGTATTCATCGTAATGGTAAGTAAACCCTGTCTGAAAAAATAAAAAATAATATATACACATATAGGTATAATAATATATAAATAAAATGCACATAGCTTGAAATACAAGCAATGTTTTAATATTACATATTGTAAATATATTAAATAAGAACACTATTCGCCATAAAATTTTTTCCAGTAGTTATAACTTCTTGACTTAGATTTGTAATTTTCTTCACCTCGATAATCCCTATATTCTTTATAATCTTTGTCTTTGTAGTCTCTGAATGTATTTACTAATCTGAAAAATAAAACAATTACTACTATGGAAAATCAATATGAAAATAAACAAAATAGTCAACAAAATTATAATGTGAAACCCAAAACATTAACTTAAAGCATTTAAAAAATCAAAAATACATTAATAATTTAATAGGTACCTTATTACAGTACAATTAATTTCTAAATAAAAATGTACACCTAATAGTTAACATTTAACACACAAAATAAATATTGAAACTCACTTAGATTTATGACGACGATAATCTGAGGAACTAGAAGAAGCAGATGATGAACTTGAATATCGTTTACGGCCTTTGTTTGATTTTCTATGGTGTTTATGAGATCTTCTATCAGATAAAGATTTTGAACGAGAACGATCATGGCTAAAATTATACATAGTTCAAAAATAAAATTAATATGTTTTGTAAATATTATTTGAATAAAATTGTTGACTTTGAACATAATATTTCAAAATAGTAAAGGTTAATTTTGTTTCATTGGAATTTTATATTTGACTTGTTATACTTTTTAGATTTTGCATAATGTACTATCTACATCCATTGACTGTCATGAACCCATAATACTTATTGAACTATTATAATAGTTATTAATTATTTACTATACTTAAAATCATTTTAAAGTTTATCTCAACCATAGACCTTATACCAATAAATGGTGCACCCAGGATGCAGATAGATATATCGCTATAACTTGTATGTATTTTAGTAAGACTACTGGAATACCACTATATACAGACTACATAATATGCTCCGTCTATAGATTTTACATAAAATAATATATTTTGACTCTATCATATAATATTGAGAGAACAAATTAACAGACTGGTTTTGACCTGTCATACAAGAAGAATCAGTAGCAATTAGAATGGTAATGAAAATAAACATAAGAAAAAGGAATAACGAAAAACAGGTGGTTGGATAGACTTTCAAGAATATACAACAGCAACAGCTGGTTTTTGTAAGAAGGATGTGAAGGATTATATTAAGTTTAGGATGAGGGTGGCTAACCTCAAATAGTTTGGATAAGGACATAAAAGAAGAACAATATAATATTATTAAGATAATACATTAAATTATAACTACAGTATATTAATTTTTTCATAGTATACAAAATGACAGGCTAATTCAAAAGTAAATAAAAATGTTTTGTAATTTTTTTTTATCAATGTATGATAAAATTAGTTAAATTCATCAACAATTGTAAAATATTTCTGTCACAAATAAATTAAATTTGATTAAAAAATGGAACTAAATTTCAATCAGAATAGGTTGCAAACAGTATATTAATCAAATTACTTTAAACATTCAAGTAGTATCTTTTTTATTGAACTTTATTGCAATTTTTTTTTCTTTTTTAATAGGTTACTAATTATTGATATTTTTCATAAGTCAAAACTCTGTTAATTAGGTATTATCTTCTAAATTTAACTATATGAAGTACTGATGTCATTTATAAGAAGGGGACATCTTCAAATCTGTTTACATCGTGCAATATATGTATTTCATTTAAAATGTGTGTATTCGTGTCACTGTCAGGAAAGAATATCTGTGTATTATACCATAGTATAGAGACTATTGTATTTTATTGGAATAGATATCATGCATGGAAGAGACATACAGAATAAAATTGCCTTTTCAATTTGGTACAATAAACTAACACCAAACTCTTTGAATTTAGATACCAATACTCAATAAATAATTGTAAGTTTATAAATAAATAAATTGTTTTTACTTTCTCTTTTTTGATTTCTTTAAGTGTCTTGGACTTCTACTTCCAGACTTAGTTTCTGAAGGTGTTCTACTTCTACTCCTCTTTTTAATTGGTTTTCTGTAAAATAAACAAATAATTAAACTGATATTTTAATCTGAATAAAGACAAGACAAATAAATACTTGTTTGGGGTGGTTGAATCAATATTCTCTTGAACAATGACAGTAGTGCCATTACTCGTAGGAGGTGTTACAACATTGATTTGCATAGTATTAGCAACAATGGTTGCTTTTGCTTTTTCTCTAGCATGATCATACTCTTTCTTTAATTCCTCCACTCGTTTTTCCAAGTCTTCAGTAATGACCTGAAATAAAAAAAGAAAAATATAAACATTGAAAATACATTATAGTTGTGTACTAACCTTTGCTCTAAGATAAAGTTTAAGTATTTTGCGACAGATGTCCTGAATATCCATTTCGTTTGCATTGAATAACGAGTACCAAGCTGGACTTTTTGGTAATGGTATATGTAATTTCCTGGCCGATAAATATATACAGGCACAAGCAATAGTTTCTGGATCATATTGTACAAATACGTCTGTTTGTAATGAATCATTCATGTAGTTCCAGGACATCTGCATTATTGATTGATGTTTTTCAAATCCCAGTGCCTGTAGGTACATGACAATGAGTTTATGTGGGTGTTTAACATGCACGCAAAAGCCAAGCTCCTTGAGCACACGTCGTTCCGCTTTTATTACCTGCGTCTTTTTCTGTACATAATTCTGATCAAGTACCAGCGGCGAAATCAATCTGCAACAGGGGCGGGGTATTTTTGTGGCTTGTTTTGGACTAGTGATCCATGGGTAAATAATAAATAGTATGATCAACCACAACTGACTAAATTGTTTATCAATTAGTGTGAAGTATTAATAATTGTAAGTATGAAAAGTATGAGGATTTTAATCAAAAATTATATTTAAAAAATAAAATAAAATAAAGCAATCAGACGATTATTTAAATGTATTTATTATAAGTCAAAACTAATAGTTAATTGAAATTAATTAATTTGTTTAACGTAAAATAAAATTATTTTTTTTTTTTTTTAAATTTTCATAATATAAAATGTACACTTAAAGCTAACAATTATAAAAATGTTTTAGATAATTCATTAATAATTTTTTTTTTTGTTATTTTATGAATGTTAATGTTTGGTCCCACTGAATATTTATGGCAATCAAAATATATTTAACAATGGTTAAAATAAATTCCACTATATAATTTTATTTTAAAATTTAATAAAAATCTGAAATAATCAGCTTGAATACAGATAAATATAGCTAAATTTTGTTATTAAAATTCTTTTAATGGTCATTGTAAAATAATTAAATTAAAATAAAAATATAAATTGAGCAATTCTTTTAAAATGTACTTCTTGTGAATTAATGAAATCTTAATTAACAAATAAATAAATATATAATTTGATTAATAGTTGATCAGGCGGTTATTGACATTATTTTGGTAGAACCCAGCAAAAACTTACGAAGTTTGTTTATTTTCTGTAATTATATTTTGTAAATAAAAATATAATGTCAAATGCTTAATTTTAAATATACCATTTTTGTCATAAACCCCTAATCCAAAACATAAATTAATAACCTAAAAGTACAAGGATTAACAATTTATTGTTAAATGTTTTCTGCTATTAAATGGTTTGAATTCTTGACTTGATTCCACGCGCATTTAAAAGTTCACTAATTAAAAACTTTAAGCATGGTTTGTCCATATTTCATTAACTGTTTAAACAATTAACATTCACCTTCAAACAAAAATATGAAAATCAAATTCACTTCAACGTTCTGAATTTATCCAAATTCTGTTTATAAACGTCTACAAATATAGTTGTACCTTGTAGGATGTAGAATAACCAACAAATGGTTCATATGGCATCTTCAGAAATTATTTGCTATCTTGAATTCCCTTTGTGTAGGACACTGTACAAAAACCATTACCACGTTGTCTGTAAATTTTGTGTTCGCTTGATACAAAACTTTCATGGTTAAGTATAATCACTAAATTAGAGCACATAATATATTATGCACATTGGTTTATACTATACCTCTTAGTTTGGTAATTTTTTATATTTTTTTTTTTATTATTATTATTTTTTTTTTTTTGACAGACCCTAACATGTTTTTGGAGGGAAACACAATCTCATAGCATATTTTTGGTTAAATCATGTTACAATATAATTTTTAAGGGGTCCAAAAGTGTTCTTGACGTGACGACCATCAATTTCAGTTGTCCACCACGTTCGCTTTCCTCTCCACAATTCAAACCGAGGGCAACTCACCCGGCGGTCAGCTGTGGAAAGTATCTGCGAAAACGCAAGTTATAAAATAAATCTGTGCTCTATATTTGCGCTTGGATTAACATTAACAACCACTGAATTTGTTGCATTAGACAATTACAAATAAAAATAAATAAGAACAAAATAAATTGCAACAAAAACAATGGAATTTTGTTCACCCTACAGTCATCGCATAAAGTTTATACCACATTATGAAATTTAACTAAGTTAAATTTAAATATAAACAAAAAATAATTAAGTAGAAATATTTAAAAAAATTAAAATCAACATTTAATATGAGTACAAGTTATATTGATTTTAGGTTTGTATGTGAGATAATTTTTTTACCAGAATTCAAGTATGCTTTTGTTGAATATATATATATACAGGGTGTACAGGGATATTTAACAATTGTAATAAATTTCTTTCAATTGAATATTTTCAAGATTTTTTTAAAAAAAAAATGTATAATTAAATCTTGGCACTAAAAGTTACTTTTTAGTTAAATATTAATATTTAAGAATTCAAAATAAATTAATCTTGGATAATATAAAAATAATACATAAAAAAATATAATGCAAAACTCTAATAAGTAATTATTAAAAAAAAATAATAATAATTGAAAATATAATAGAAAAAAAAGTTATTACTTACATTTGTTAAATAGTACAATTACACACTGTATATACACATATAACTTTTTTTTACTTTTGATTAAGTCTTACAAATATAACTTGTACAGATATATATATATATATATATAATATATATTTTATTTTATTTTTATATAATGTAATAAAAGAAATATTATGTTTCTATATTTTACAAGCGTTACAGAAAATATGAAATTTTAACATTTATGAAATGTGTATTTTGCGACTACTGTAGGATATCTGAAAGTAATTAAACATCTAGTAAATATAAGCAATATTTACTAATATTGAAAATATTAAAATTATTTTTAGATATATATATATATATATACATCAAAAAAATACAAATAAATTAGAACAGGAAAATAAAATGTGTGTATAAATACAGCTCCCAGTTATATGTTGACTTCTTTATTTAGGCTTTAAGAAAATTCTACCAATCTTGCAACAAGAAAATTAATTTTCACACAATTTGTATGTATACACACCAAGGAAAAGAAAATTATATTGAATAATTAGTCATATGTAAAATTAAATAGAAATTTTTTTAAGCTAAAAAGTAGATTTATTATTTAGATGTTGAAAATTTTAGAAGTAAAAAAAAGTATATTTTAAAAAACTACCTTATTCAAATGAATAATTAATATCAGTTCATTTTAATACTTAAATTTTATACTGAAAAAAGTTTATATCAATGTTAATAATATTTACATGAATAAGATAGTACAATAAGTCTTATAGGATACATAGGGAAATGTTTTTTTTTTTATGAAATTGGACAACACTAACTTACCTTAAACTTAAGTTAAAAAAATTAATTATCTACTATTTATCTATAGATATATTGAATAGACATATAAAATGTGTTCATAAAATCTACAGAATTACTTTCTGGTTAAAAAAATAAAATTAGTTACCAGTATAACATTAGTAATTTAAATAAATTGAAATAATATTAGGTGGATTCCAATATTAGATGTATATAGATCAAGGTCTAAGATAAAAATAGGTTTATTTTAATTTCAGAAACAGCCCAACAGATTAGTCAGTTGTGATTAAAAATATTTAAACAATTTCAAATTTTTTAAAAATATAAATAATAAAATCACCGCAACTTACTTTTGATTTAAAACTTGACGGATATGATGAAAAACATTGATAACATCACGAATACGTCGTGGTGATTCCTCAACTTTAGAGGCTAGACATGTACATGCCATTGCTGTTATTTCCATTGGATGGCGTACAAATGATTTAGTATAGTAAAAACGTTGAAATAAAACTTGCCCAGTTGCCATTGCAACCTAAAAATTAAATTAAAATTAAATACTTATATACCAAAGGCACTTACTTAAATTGTATCTTTTATTTGGTACAAAATAAATAAAATAATTTTATTCAATAAGCCAAAACCTTCAAAAACCTATTTAATTTGAACATTCAAAATCAATCAGAAAAAAACTGTGACCCAACCTCCTAGGATATACCTATTTTACTTTTCTGAATTAATATCAAGGTATGACAATCGTTTAAAAACATTAGTTAAGTATATCTATCAAAACATGTTAAATTTTAATGCCTACTTCTTTATAAATAATATTTTCCAGTCAAGTTTATCAAGATATGAATGATTTACTATAAATAATGGGTGTTTATTTTAGAAATATATGGATGGCTACTACAATATTTGTATTCAGAAATTGCCATGTGACTCAAAAACCAAAACATCAACAATTTTATAATTCTTTAGTTTATAGCTATTTAGCACATTATGAATAAATATATATTTAATATGATAAAGTAGTTACTATCATGTGCTATAATAAAAGAAAATATTAATGTGGTTTAAAATTTTATTGGTTTTACAATGTTTATTTTTTTTTTATGTGAACAGCTTTTCTACACGAAATTTTACTCAGATTTTTAATTGTAGCACTTTTTCTGTAAGGAAATCTGACTAGAGTAGTCCTCTAGAGAAATTACTTTTCAAAATGTCTAGAAAATTTTCTAAAAATATGGGAAAAACGGAAAAATGTACTTTAAGTATAATTTTCAAACCAAAAATATTATAACCTTTCAAAACATCTACAAACAAACTCCCCTCAAAATTGTTTTTCGATAGCAATGATTATTCTTTGTGTAAAGATATACATTAAATTTCCCCTCTATCTTTCCAACTTTTCACCAAGAACAGTGGCACTGTAAGGATCTAAATTAGTTTAGTGTAAAAATAAAGCCTTACCAAATTTACTAAAAATCTAATAAGAATTTTAAATATATCACAATAAAAGGTCAGCTCGACATCAGTATGTAAAATATAAGCTATAGATTATAGTACGACATTGATGACGATAACTAATTAACAAGGTAATTAACCCAGTAATTAATAACAAGAAGTTATCTAATAAGTGAAATAATTGCGAAATGAGTTGTTACATAACAATTTAGATACATGTTAATAGTATAAAACTGATTCGATAAAATGAGAATTTTCCAAAAATCACGATAACCGAGAAATCGTATGGTCGCGGAATGTATGGTTATCATAATGACCCCGTCGTCGCACCATACTAACAAAAATAATAATTACACTGAAATAAAATACGACGACAAAACAATACTATAATATGTCATAATTACAGACGTGAGTTCGTGACAACCGAGTACCTATGTGCCGATAAAATTACAACAAAATATACCTAACAACAACAATAACAAAGGAGAATCGATAAGTGATTACGCATATTTACCTGGGGCAACTTAAGTAGTATACCAGCGGTTTGGATCCATTCACATCCGACGATCCTTAGGTCGACTTCGGTCTCGAAATCTAACCCGTCGATCATCGACGGGGTGGACGTGAGTTTCTCTTTGGGCAGTAGAACATTGCTTAACGTCAATAACACTTTGGTCGGTTGCTTTAAAATATGGCGGTCGTGATGAATGTCCGTTGACACTGTGGTCGTTGTAGCCGTAGTCGTCGTAGCCGTTGTTGTCGTTTCCATCTTGCACATTACGCGGGTGTATTAAAACGTAACGACACAACACGAACGAACTGCGATATCAATTAAAATGGACAATCCTCCACAACACGACGAATGATTACGACTATTACAGTTCATTAAACGCAAAATAACATGTCCTAGCCTAGACAACAGCGCTTAGAGAAATCGTACGAAAACCGTACGGGAAACGTCAGTAATTCTCTCTCTCTTTTAATTCTTTTTATACTCTATGGTGTTCAAGTACTCTACTCTCTCTCACACTACGGGCCAAATGCAAACGGTTGTAAACAACAAAGATGGCAGCCTTGACGTCATGGCCTATCAGTACCACCAACCCCGCGGTATTTATTTAATATTACAAAATAGGGTTGTTACCATAGAATTATTTTTTCATAAACATAACATGTATAAATCTGTGATGTAGAACCACAGATATATATATATATATATTTATGTAACAACAATGTATTCAATAAATTATGATGCCCAACGCCATTTGTCACTTGGCAATGTTTACATCCTGTTATCATTTTTATGTTGTCTTAATCACAGATAAATTTAATAATTATGAACTATGAACCTATGGCTATACTCGCAATATAGAAAAGATCCTCTCTGGTCTCTACATCGTGCTTATATCTAAACTCTATGGTTAGGCAAGACAGCTAGCGCTTTAAGGCAAAATAGTTTAAAAATCAACTAAAACCAGTGTATACTGGTGGTGTAGGGTATGTAATAAATTATATAATATCTATTCTATAATAATTACTATTATTATTTATATAAATTTGTATTTACTTGTTTCCCACTCAGTGGCGTTCTCAGGAATTTCAAATGGTGGGGGGGGGTAATTTCTAGAAAAATATATAAGGGATTATCGGCACACATTCCTCTAGTTATGCCATTTAAAATTATTTTAAATTCTAAATGGAGCGAAGAAGCTTATGGTTTTACAAAGATGTTTATATTTTTTTTTTTATATCTGTGAGCAGCTTTTCTACCAAAGAGCATGCTCTGATTTTTACGTGTAGCTCCTTTTCTGAAAGGAAATTGGTGTAGGGAAGTACTTTAAGAAGATAATTTTTCAATTTTTTCAGGAGTTTTCACAGCAAATGTGAAAAACCGAAAAATCTGAAATAAAACAGAAAAATGTACGAAATATATTAGTAAAATTTTAAGTATAATATCATCATTCATCACTCAACGAGTTATCACAATAAGAATACAAAATCATTTTAAATATTATGATAAATAATAATGGGAACGGTCGACCGAAGTCATCCCAACAAATTTACTTAATGGATAATTTGATTATTATTGTTTAATAACCAAACTGATAACAAAATCTTAATTTTTGAATGATAATATTTTTTTAAGTAAAAAAAACATAAATTTTCGTGTTTGGGTTTAGAAAAAATAAAAGAACAAGAGAAGCAATCTTGTGTCTTAAACTTATCATAGGAAAAATGCTCAGAATAATTAATAAGCTCCTGTGTGTAGCCTTTGTAGACTTAGAAAAAGCATCCGATAATGTTAGATGGGAAAAACTTTTTCATATTACGGATAAGGTTGATATAGACTTCAAAGACAAAAGATTAATACATAAATTATATATTAATGAAAAAGCTGTAGTAAAAGGTGAATTTGATGCATACGAAGAGGCGAAAGTTCAAAAAGGGGTAAGGCAAGAGTGTAATTTATCACCTACATTATTTAACTTGTACATTGAGCAAGTGCTAAAAGATCTGAGATATGAAGATATAAAAGGTATCAAGATTGGTGGGATTCTAGTTCAAATGCTACAGTTCGCAGAAGATATTGCTATGATAGCAGACAGCAAAGAAAACCCAGAAAAAATGCTTCAAAAAATGAACAACACACTTAAACAAGAATATAATATGAATATTTATTAGACAAAGATATTAGTTAGTAGCAGACAGCAAGTAGACACCAACGTAATTATGGAAAGTATTGAGTTAGAAAATGTAAATAATTATACATATCTCGGAAGCAGAAAGTCACTAGTGACGAGAAAAGTGCCACAGATATAAGGCGTAGAATAATATAAGTTAAACAAGTGTTTTTTAAAAAGAACAAACTTCTAACCACAAACGCAATAAATATAAACATTAGAAAAACAATGATAAAAACATTTGTATGGAGTGTGGCACTACATGGAGCTGAATCGTAGATTCAGGTAGTACTCCCTGTGGACTCCCAATATTTTACTTCCAATTGGAGACCAAATGGGACCATAACGAGTAAATTAGTACTTTCTCGGAGCTCCCGTAGACTCCAAATTTCTACTTCCATCCGGGAAGCTACTGGGAGACTCCTGTATGGCTTCGGGACTCCCAGTGTTGTTAGGGATGTACCAAATATATATTATATTGTAAACCTATTTGGATTTAGGGTTTTTAAATAGTAATTAAATAGTAAAAGTATATTATTTGTGTTCAATTTATCCATATCGGTTATTGTAAGAATATCTGATTGCAGTTTTTGTAGTAGTAGGTAAATATTAAATAAATATTTTTTTCCTCCTGTGGTTTTTTCCTCTGGTCAGGGGCCTTTTTTCCTAATACCGATAGGTTGTGTTATGATAATTTGATTAGAATATGAAAAAGAGTAATGATCACGCAAGGTTTATAGATAATTTAGTATTATCTAGTATTATCTATAGACCTTGATGATCACAATCAATTATCAATTATAATTGTAATATTTCTTATCAAATAACTTTATATTATGCGTGAGAAAATGTCATCAACACGAGCATACAAACCACAGAACATTTTACAAACATAGAAAAAAATAATAATAATAATAATAATTACATAAATGTAGGTAGCATAATGTAAATAGTATAATTTATGTCTTATTTTCAATATGCTTAAGAAAACCCATATTTTTCGTTCGTCATCTATTATTTGTTTTCTTACGTTTAATGTTGGTTTATTTAATCGTTGTTCTTCTGGTATTTTTAAACGAAGTTTTTAGTTGAAGAAGATCGCAACTGTTTTTTAACATTTTTATTTGCTTGTATTTACATTTAATGAAACAGGAACGTTAGATTCTTGCTCATATAGCATTTTTAAATTTGAGTCTAAGGATAAATTAATTTATCTACTTGTGTCACAAGCATGCTATGAAATTGCTGAATTTTGTTTGCAATGCTAACTACAGTTAAAGCAATAATTTGCTGTATATCAGACATGTTTATACAAATTTAATCTGTATACATTGGGTTAGTATAATCATGTTCGGCTCTAATATCATTGTCATATAAAATATTAATTTTCACGGCATGAATATATTTACCCCTTTTTTTTTATTGTGTAGTCGTATTATGTACACGAGAATAAAATAATGTACACAAATTCGTGTGCAGGTTATTTGATAAAAAATATATTATAATTGATAAGGAATTTGCTAGTGGGTTGTTACCAGATGCTCGTGTAATAATCGCGACGGGAACATTAAGAAAAGAGATTATACCGGTATAAAATATTTAACCCATGTCGTGACTCGCGAAGCAGGTCAGAAAAACTATACCACTACCTATGACAAATATTTTGAACCGGTATTAGTGTATCACCAACGAATTTCTTTATTTTATACCGGTATTATTTTTAAGGGGAAATTTATACCGGTATGACCAAATTAATTTCCGTACTATTACGAAAATAAAATGAAATTATTAAAATTTCTTTGTTACTACCCGTTCGCTAAATACGGTGATTTTTTTAATATTGCTCGTGATGTAACAACCTCCGCGGAGGCGGCCATATGTGATACATGGCAATATTTATCGGTTTTTGGTTTAACGTAAAGTAGCTGTTAATGAAATTATTTTTTTTTTTCTAATGAAATTATCAAATGTATTAAAGAATACTTTATAATCATTTTATTCATATAATTATATCACATTTTGGTTGTGACCACCCACTTCTGATTTTTAAATAACAACCTATAAATTAAAAATTTTAAAAATAGACAGTTTTAGTTGCAAAATTATGTTGTTGAAACCCCTTGATGGATTATTCCATTATCAAATTTTGGTAAGGGAGATCATTTGTGCAGCGTGCAGTGTTTGAATAGTGCTCCACTACTCTCCCATTACCTGTTCTTAAAAGAGGAATAGGTATTTAACTCTATTATATCAATACCAAATATTACAAAAAAAAATATAAAAACCATTAATTATAACAAATAAGTATTAGTGTTTTTACAAGTTTATACCATAAGTATACAATTAATAATGCAGTACATGTTGCTTTTCAAGTATCAATTTGAAATGTTTTACTACATTTAAAATAATCTATATATTAAGGTGTGTTTAATAGCAATTACAACTTGTTCAGAAACTTTTAAATTTTAATTTCTTCTATATTTGTGATATCTTCTTATATGTTCAGTTTAGTAGTACAAAAAGAATTTGTTTAAGTGACTTAAAGACTTACATTAAGTATCACAACATCTTTAATTGCTTCACCAAGTTAAATAAATTAACAATTGTTGTGTATTAGATAGGATCCAAAGGGGAAATAATCCAGACCCTGTAATTTCTTTGGGTTAGAATTAGCTCACCCTGCAGTTGCGCTTTTAGCTTAGTCCACATTATTTCTATATTACGTTAAAGAGTTGATTCATAGGTAAATATAAATCAAATAGATAAAAAATAAAAAAATTTAATTAACATAATTCATAGACAACAATCAACAAAAACGTAAAAAATAAACGCATAACAATGTTTTTGTAATTTATTATGCATTAAAAAAATGAAAGAATTATATAATATGAAGATTCCAAATTAACAATGATAGAATTAATTTGGTTTTAGTGGAGTATATTGTCATAGCGCATGTAAAACCCGTATGTGCGAAAATCTATTTTTCCGTTTATAAAAATCTGATTAAAAATGAACCAGTAAATTTCAATTCCGTGAAAAACAAATACTGAATTAGTATTTTGTTTAGTAGCTTTTAAATAATAATATCTTTTTATCAAATAGTTTTATATTTTTTCTCCGAACAATAGTACTTACCAAAAATGTCATATCGGTTAATTTTGTACATAAATAAAATATTTTGCACACACAACAATGATATCCACACAACACCAAATTCTTCCTTTTAAATTATTTATAAAAAAATATTTTTAAATAGTTAACAAATAAATAACTAACATATTATATTATAATAACGAAAATGAGATTATCTTTGTATAGATTCTTCTAATGAATTAGTCAACTTCTGCCGTAAGCGTTTGTTATTTTGACATACACAATTAATAACAGCCAATAATTGTTTATGTGAGTATTCCTAAAAAATGTTCAAATACATAGGCAATTCGTGTTTCTCTTATATCAATTTATTTTATATTACTTGATGATCCCTTGTCCATGATTCTAATGATGTTTCGGGTAAGTAATAAGCCTTTATGTAAACTTCAACAAGTTTTTTATGTGGTAGTGGATTAATAGGACAAGTTGAATTTATTTGTGACATGAATTGTGTGAAATCGAGTTGCATTAATGCCCGACCAGCATTAGAACATTTTTTTGCCAATGAAAATCTGTATAATAAAATTTAATAATTATAATATAGATTGTAACTAAATTAACATAAAGAAAATATTATACCCTTCAATAAAAACAGATGATACTAAAATACCAATAGCTTCCCAAATTGAATATAATATTTTCTCATTTAAATACAAATTTGATGTGGATGTTTTCAGAGTTTTCAAAAATGCTCGCAGTTCCTGGAAAAAAAAAAAATAAGTTCAAAAAAAATAAATTAACTGTTTTAAAACCAGTACAAATTTACTTGTAGGAAGTAATCAACATATTGGCTGTGTTCACACATAATATCTTTTACTTCCCAATTGACTTTAGCCATCATCCCAAGCACTTGGTTATAATCAATAGCTTTACAAATTACACGGCCATATACTGGTTTTCGTAAATCTATAGCCACTTCTACAGTCTTGAACAAACAGTTGTAAATTTCATTATAACTATTTACTATTACTACTAAATTTAAGAAAAATTAAAATCAGGCTAGAATACAGTGGCGACTTGACTATTTTTTATTTGCCAATTAAACAAATGAAAACTTTGCTTTAAACTTTAAAAAAATATGTTAAATAAGTTTTTTTTAGGTTTATGCTAATATATTGTTTCCCTTTAAATATTTTCTTATTTATTCTTTTTTGTTAAATATATTAAAGAACTTGTGGAATATTACATTATTTCTTCTAGATCAGTAATTTGTTCACATTTACTACAGATTACTAGCCAAAGTTCTAATAACTAAATACAAATTTTGATTTTATTTAATTTTTTTTTTTGAAAATTAGTGTTAATATTTGTGATCATAAAACAACAGTTGTGTACATAATATGATAGTTACAAATATTTGTATAAAAAATATGTCAAACATTTTACACATAATTATTTTGTACTATATTTAACGGAAATTTAATATTATCTACTTCTGGTTTGTATATCAATATTTACATAAAATTCTAATTTAGCCAAATAGCAATGGTATAGAATTATAATAATTAAAAAGATAACAAATTATTTATAATATCTTCTTTAAAAATATTAAGACTTTAGGACCAATAACTTTTTTGAAAAATATTTAAAATTGTTATGCCTGTAAAATATTCATGTTTTAAATAGGTTTTGATATATTATATAAAATACTAATCCCTGTAAACTTAAATGAAAAAAAAAATAAATTATTATTTCTTATAATTTTCTAGATTAGATATACAGAATAGTTAATTTGACAACCAGGTCGCTACTATTATAATACAAGAATAACTGCATACTTGATTATAAAATTGCTGTAATGAATAACTGCTTGTATCTGATACTAATAGAGTGGTCAAGTATGAACGTAATAATTTGTATTGTTCTCCTAAAAATACTAAAGATTCTACAGCAACAATTCGTTCAGAAATACCATATAAATTGTTTATATCTGATAGACTTAACATGTGCAAAGCCACAGGTTCTTGAATCTAAAATATATTAATATATAATATAATATTCACACAAAAAACAACATGGCATAGCTCATAAAAAAATATGTATATATATATGTTATGGTAAATGTTATTATATTTATATATAAACATAATTTATAATATACCTGTATTTTAATATTAGAGTTTATTGGTCTGTTATCAAGCTTAAAGCTGAAAATATTTTTTGTGTATGTATGCTAGTTTTTTTTTATATTTTAATTTTTAAATGAGATAGCATGATTTTAAAATTGTAATATTTTAGATATTTGTAACTTGCTTAAAAATTCAAATATCCAACGTTGTGTTATGATAATGTTAAAACTAACAGCACACAATTGGTTTTAATATAGAAAAAAAGGATAAATATAATATCATTTGTCAATTTTAAAACATTTACTATAACATATGTATATTATACACATTATTATATTTCAAACACTGGGATATAAAAGTAAATAATTTAGGATTTTCTATCTACTTATATTTTAATTTTGAAGTGATAGTATAGAGTATAGACTTAAGAAAGTGCCAAATTATAGTTTTATGTTACTGTCTACTGAATGGGCAATATAGTATAAGTGTGTTTTTGTATTTCCAATACTCAATAATACCCAGGATAAAATAGACCTAAAACAAAAACTATTTCTTAATTATTAAATTTATTTTGTGTAGGGATTTTTTGATATATTCATTAAACAAAAATGTTAAAGATAAAAGATATATATTTTTAAAAAGTTTAAAAGAAATAGGAATCAAAAAATTCCCACATGAGAGCATTATAAATGTTGTAGTCTCTAATTTGCTTAAATAATTTTCGTTTTATGATTATTAGATCCTCAATACTATAGGAATTATTTTTGCTATATTATCTGTTAAATCACTGGTTCCCAAACTGGGGGGCATATACACATTGCTGAGGAGGCGCAAGCAGTTATTACGAAATACAACTTTTATTGATTAAATTATTTTTATTTTAAAACGTAAAGAAAAAAAATTAATTTTCCGTTTTTTTTTTATCCGTTATTGAATATAAATAACAAATAACCGATAAAGAATATTAATGTTTGGCCACAGCGCATAATTAAAACGTTTTATGCCACGTTATCTGTAAATTAATTGATACGATAAAAGGATGTCAGGGGAAAAAGCTATTAGATTAGTTTAGACTCAATTTAGTTTTGTTTTGCAGTTGCATAGTGCACATAGTGTCATAGTACGTAGTCGTTGCGAGTGTACATACTTAAAAATAATGGCTTCACAGAAATAAGATTGTATGATTCATTTTATAGGAGAGGGGGGAACACGAGATTTTTGGAAATCTACAAAGGGGACATAGCATAGAAGAGGTGGGGAATCACTGTGTTAAATAGACAAACAGCAAATATAACCTTGACGCCCTAAATACTAAATATCTATTATCAAAGATGAAAATGAGAATATTTTTGAAAAAATAAAAATAATCATAATTTTATATAACTTAATATAAGTAAGACATAATAATTTTTTGGATTAACTTAAATAGTTATAAGTATTTTGTTAACATCTCAAAAATATTATTATTTTCAAATTTGTCAACATGTATTTAAACCTAATGAATCTTATAGCATTTTTTGTCTATATTACTTGTTTACAACACATAGGTACTATGTAAGAATTAGGTCTTATAAAAATAAAAATATGACAATGAATTAGAAATGATTATGCAATTTATATTAATTTTTAAACTAAAAAGAAATAAATTTAAAAACACTCACACTAAAATCTTGGCCTGTTTCATTTTCATGGTTACGTTGGATCAAAGTGTTACATATCCTTGTTATTACAGATTGAAGTTTTACACTATTTACACCCAAGCATATTTGAGGCTAAAAACACCATATGATAAGTCCATGATTAAAAATATTACAGTATGCAATTTTTGTTCACACACCAACACATCAGAAGTGAATAACAAATGTACAGAGTATAAATAATATTCAAACAATTGACATAAACATGTGACTACATCTTCTGATATTGATTTTAAAATGCCACATATTTTTAAATACTTTCCACAGTGTCTCATCACTGTTAATGTTGTATTTGTTAGTAAAGGTGGCCGATCATAATTCTCTGCTTGAATATTATAATTGTCTACTTCTTCATAACTGTTATTGGTGTCATCACTACAAACACTATTTCCATCTATCTAGATTTTTTTTTAAAATTCATGAAATTTTTAATCATTACTATGCAAATAATTATTTGCATATTATACTACCTCTGTATCCAATATATCTTCATTATAAACAGTGCTACAATCATTGTCAAATGGTGATTTATCTAAAGAAAAATGAAAATAATCACTAGTGCTAATAGAACTACTATCCATTGATGAGTTTCTACTATGAGTCAGATGGGATGAATCAGCTTTTTGAATATGATTTTTAATTGTTCTAAATTCCTTAAAATAAAAATAAATGAATTATTTAAATTCAACAACAGAAAAAAAATAATAATAATAATGAAATGTAATTACTTGCAACTGAAATAAATTAAATTCACGCTTTACCGGACAAGGAGTCCAACTTTCATTTTCAAAAAATATTGTAAGCTCATCTAGACAATTTTTATGAAAGGTTTGAAAATAAGTAATACAAGACTTTTTTGTATCATTTTGTAGCTGTTCAGATTTACTGTTACAAAATTCTTCCCCGATTTTAATATGCCTAAAATTAAATATTATAAGCTATTTAAAAATGCTTATATTTTATAGTATAAGACTAATACCATTCGTAATAAGAAGTTACTTAATAATGTAAGTTACTTTATTTAATATACCTACTACTACATTTTCTTAATTTAGTAAAAAGAGAATGATAGAATTTTGACATAAAATAATAAAAAAACAATTAAAGTTTTTTAAAATTAGTTTCAGTGTCAAAATGTTTTAAGAATTTAGATTTTTACCAGGCAAATTAAAATAAAATTATGGAAACAAAACAAGGAATTAATGTCAATCCAAAAGGTATTGTCAATACTGTCCACCAATGAAATATTTTACTATTTAAAATATGAGATCAGTATAATTCAGTGTTTCCCAACGAAGGGAAAGAGAAATTTCCCCTAGAGAGGAATTTAGGTATTGCTGGGGGTAATATAGCAATGATAAAACTTTAAGAATAAAATATGAAAATTTACCATATTTAAACCCCACTAAGAACTATTTATCTCATATTTTTAATTAATACGGGGAGATATTAAATTTTTGAAAATCTGTAAGGGAGGTGTAGAATAAAAAAATTTGGAAAATACTGGTATAGTTCATTATAACATAAACAATAAATACTAAATGTATACACAAATTTGCAAAACACATAAATAAACTGTAGTTTTTGGTTTAAAAAATATATTTGTAATAAAATAATTTTGAGTACCTACTTATTTAATATAGATAATACTTGGAGAAAATCATCAAATTTAAATTTTGTTATATTGGAATTGAATACTAGATTAGAAATTTTGGTAACAATGTCACCCCATAATCGGGTTGGCCCAATTTCAAATTTTTTACTTATATATTCTTGATTTACATATTCTTCAATATCATCTGGAATACAAAAATGTATCAATTCATACATAACATTGTGATATGCATTGTGAATATTAATAAATAATAATAACAAAGTTTTAAATTTATATTTTAAATGCACAAATGAAAACAGTATACCTTCACTGTCAGCAGTTACATCTTTTAATTCTCTATGCCAATCTGCAACTTTTTTATAGCTTTGCAATATGTTCCAAAATATTTTACTTAATGCGATAAGACAAGGAATTAATTGTTCATCTGGAACACACTATTTTAAACACCACAACAATAATTAATTTACAACCAAAAAGTACTCTAATAAATAAAATGTAATGAATGGTAACCTGACACAAAAGAGCAAATGAATTTTTATTATTTTCCACCCTCTCTGTATCTACAAATAGATTGATGGTATCAAATGAAGCACTATGGATCGCTGATGTATAATGCATATGTAATTGATCAATAGCAATTCTTGTTTTACCTAGACGTCTATAAGCTTCTTGAACAGCTGAATACTTTGTGTGGTCAAAATTAAAACACATCTAATAACAATAAATATTATAATTATCAATTTTTATACAGGATGATTCATTCAGGATGATTCATGCTCATCCTATTTTTTTGGTTAAATTTCGCATACATTCAAATTCTGATTTTTGTAATTTGTAAGTGTATTTAAAGCTGATGACGAGACATTCCAATTTTAAGTTTAGGTAGGGGGAATAGGGGGTTTGAAACCAACATTAGTTTAAAGTAATAGTCCGTCTGTAAATGTTTTTTTTTTTAATATAGGTACTTAGTTGAAAAACCTTAGTTGGCATTGCCACAGAAAACATCTTAAATATTGTGAAAAATCTAAGTAATCGAAAATATCAGCTTTAACTACACTTAAAAATTTCAAAAATCAGAATTTGAACAAAAGAAAATGGGGTGAGCACACTTTGTGGATTATCCTGTATATATATATTCCTTATACCTATATATTATTTTGTATTCAATTTATAAAATTATAACTAATTATTTAAAATTGTCTGCTTTATAGAATTATTAAAATATTAGTTGAAATTATACATACATTTGATAAAACAATGTCTAATTGTTCTTCCGTCATAACTAATGCATCTTGAAGTTTAACAGATAAGGCGGCTATGCAAGTAAATTGTTTAAAAGCGGAAGCCCCTTGTATACATTCCAACAATAAAGCAATTCCTTTTGCATAGTTTGCTTTAGACACTAATTCTTCAAGTTTTTTTTCAGTTTGTAACTGAAAATAAATATTTTAAGTTAAGTCACTCATGAAAACTAAACCTTTGTTAATAAATTAAATCTTACCAGCATTTTTATATTGTTTAAACAATTTAATAAGTCAAGGATCAAAGACTTTTTTCGACAATTACCCAAAAGACCTAAGCCAGCTGTAGTGATTTGCCGTTTTGCTAATTTTAAACGATTTTTAGCATGTTCACAATTTTCTAAACTACATTTCAAATCATTCTGTAGCATTCCAATTCTATAAGTAAAATTTATCAACTAAAGTTTTTTTTTATAAATATGAACATTTAAAATTATATAATATAGTGTACTTGTCTAATTCATCATCACATGCAGCTTGGTTTTCTAAAATCAACTGTAACAGCTGTTTTTCAACAATTTCATGTTGTGCTCTTAATTTTTTTATATCATTTGCAGTCAATCTCTTATCAAGGATTTCTGCCAATTTCTAAAGTTATAAATATATAGGTTATAACTGATATTAAATTTAATAAACAAAATTGATTGATAGATTAAAAAAAAAAATGTTTTAACATAAAAGCTGATAATCTATGGAATAGGTATGAAGTTAATGTTGTTACATATATATGTATCAACAAATTATAATACTAAGAATTTAAAACCTACTTCTAGTTCAAATCTAGCAAAATCGAAGTCAGAATTATTAAAATACACTTGATCTATATTTGATATGATTTCTGCATCACATTTTTCAAAAGGTTTTTCATGTTTAACAGCTTTCAATAATAGTGAGTCAGATTTTTTGTTAGAACCATCCCAAAAGTCTTGTGATCCTATCAGTGGAACTTTCACAGTAGTCTGTAAAAATAATACATGATTAAAATTGTACTGTAGTATAATAAAAACATTTTAAACATTATATAAGCAGTTTTATATTGAATACAATTATTTAAAAATAGCTAACAAAATAATTTTAAATGTCTCAACAGAATACAAGTTAATTTATTATTCATTGTCTACCATAAAGAGCAACAGTCACATTTGGTGACTGTTGCTGTGACACCAATGATGATTACTTTGATATAAATATGTATTTGTTTTGTAAATATTAAAGTAACAAAATTAACCACTAAATTATGGTTCTTAATAATAATATAATAATAACTAATAATAATAAATATTATTAGTCTTAATTTTTATATAAGGTGTGAACTTACTTTCGTATCTAACAGATTCTTTAGTTTTTGTTTAAATTCGGCCATAATACATGTATTCTAGTAATAGAGGTTGAGATTCGTAATTTCATTTACATATTTCTATTAATTTTTAAATCTTATTGAATTAAGAATATTACAGCATTAGCAAAACATTTAATATTTATGTGCATTCATTTTCAACTTATATAAGTTATATTGATAAAATTGACTGATTATAGATAAGTTACAATTTCATGGAAAAAAAATAGGACGAATAATTTTTATACAACTTCTAACACGTTTTGCCATGGTTTTATCAATAAACTTGTTTAGACTTGAAACATCCTGTCATTGCATGCTTGATGATTTAAGTTAAGCTTTATAATAGTGACAATTAAATTAAATAGGTTATACGAGTGTTATATAAAATGAATACCATTAAATTAAAAACAGAATTAATAGAGGTGATTGACATTAATTTATCTATGTATAGTTAATTTTGAAATGTTTTTTTATATACAATGTACCTGATAATTTTAACAAACATTTATAGAGTATTGATCCTGACGCTAATACTGAATCACTACCCTCACATTCAAGTGAAGACTCAGAATCATATTCTATTTCTGAACATTTAACACAAACAGGCAAACAAATTAATATTGATGACTATCCAGGTCAACTTAATTTCAATTTTTCTTTAGATTTTACAGAAATTTCCAAACAACATTGGATGGTAATGGTTAACGCCTTAATTGAAGGTCTATAACAACTATACTTGAATTTTTTTTTTTAATGCGTGATTTCTGTTTTAGTATTCTATTACTTTGAATAAAGCATACATTAATATGAATCGAATACTGCCCATTCAATTTTATTGGCAGTTTGACAAAGCTGATTCATTGGGAATAAAAAATCTTCGTATACGAGCATTACTTGTTTTTGCTACTCCTGAATTTCGTCAGCTATCCATCAAACGCTGTCCAATACATATTGTGCTAGATAGAACCAGTAGTATGCATATATTCATATAGTTACATTAATATGCATAGGTACCTACACAAATTTGAAGTGAATTAACTTTTTAAATTTAAAATTAAGACCCCACACAAGTTGAACACATTATATGGTGTGAACAAAGTGATGCTATATATGAACAAGATCCAAATAGCCAAAGATACAGTGTTGTGGTTCCTGTTCATAATTCTGATCCCAGTTCAGGTTCTAAGTCTTATGATATTTTATACAAGTTTATGTGCAAATCATTCTGTAGCACGAGTTTTAACCGAAGACCTATTTATGTAATTTTTACATTAGAAACTACAAAGTAAGATTATTAAGTATTTTATTTAATTATTATAATTACATAGTTAACCTTATAATATTTTGTTTTAGGGGACAAGTATTAGGTAGAAAAAAACTTGGTTTGAAGGTGTGCAGTGTTCCAAAAAGAGATATGTTAAAAGAAGAAGCTATAGAAAAAAAGAGATTGAATGGAATACAGAGTTTAAAAAAACATTCATTTGAAATTAGTCAAGTTACACCTATGAAAAAGATAAAAATTGAAAATGATAATGTCGTCAATGATGATAATAGAACTTACCATATTCCAGAGGTACCTATGTAATTTTGAAAATAATGTATATTTTTTACATAGCCATTAAATTTGTATAAATACTAAATATGCTTTTTTTTTGTTATTTCAGTTAACGATTCCAAATAAAAAGTTATATTTTAGTACTTTAGAACTATTGCATAGTCATTTTTTAGGTAGTGCTGTTAGGGATGATAATGTGATAAATTTACATCCTTTAATTAGCACGGTTGGTGACCTAATAACTCAAGAGAATTCTGTAAGTATTGCAATACCTTTATTGTTTAAAACTGTCTAATAATTAATTAATATTAATTTTCTCTAGAATGATAACGCTCATTCAGAAAATCAACATTCTTAACTAAATAGAAGGATATAATTGCTATAAATTATTTAATTTATAAATGATAATGTAATACTATTTACCAAATTGTTCACTCTATTATAATTAAATAAAGTTTTTTTTTTATAATTTAAATTTTGAAGTTTCGTCGTCTGTGAACCCTTCATACTTTGTAATTGTGGAGATACTCTGAAAGTATACAAATTAAATATTCTCATTTATATATTTATGTCTAAAATTAAATTATGATTGTCATAGTCATTTGAATATTTGTATATATATATACAAATTGTTGTACTATATTCATAATGTCAACTGTTTAAAGAATAAATAAACTAATTAAAGTATTATAAAACAGGTTAGGAAAGCACACTCTTCGAGTGTGCTGAATTTCTAGTTTATAAACTTATTTTTAACAATAAACTATAATTTCACATACAATGTTTAAAGAATTTGATAACGTAGTATATTATGCTTATGTGTAGTAACCTAAATAAATTATTTACATTTATTATTGAACTAATAATAACACTTTTATTACAAATAATATCAAAAATAAATATAATATATATACACACAGTAGGACTTTGAGGTGTTCTAAACCTATACTTAGCAATCTAAACGTATATTTTATGGAATTACAAGAGAAATTAAAAACGACTTCTGGCGCACCAACAAAACAAAAATTATTGCCAGAAATTACCCCTAAAGATGATTGGAGCAAAAGTTGAAAAATGTTCCAGACAAAAAAAAAACATTTATACACACTTATTACTTAGGATTCATAAATTATATTTTTTAATTTTTTTTGTATATAATAGTCACCTGAATAATTAATATAGCATTAAAAAAGTATCTTATTGATGCAATTGAGTTTATTGTGTCAGCTATTACTGAGAAGCAACCATTTGGATAATATTTTGTTATGTCTGTTTGTTCACAATCAGTGAATGCATTGCAAATAGTATTAGGTAGGCAACAACTACTAGGTGCAGCTGGTACTATAAATTTCCCATTTTCCTGTGTATATCTTTAAACAAGTTTTATTATAATTCTGATTGGATATTTACACACATTTTTTACTTTTGTAGTAGATAAAACGAAGATAAAATTGGTGATGCCCAAGGTGTTTGGAACCAATCAGTACTTTGCGAGCTACCGCAACAAAAATAGTGTTGTTGAAATTGATCCCAAAATGTTCGCCACGCTGTATTTGTTAAATATTTACCAAGACTAGTGTCTAAGATGTATTTTACTTCTTCAGAGACTGCTTGTAGGGTATATTGTAAACTAGCACAAAAACATAAGAGAACAATGACTTCTACTGCTGCTACTATCATATACGACTTTTGGATTACATTATGTTCTGGTGATGAATTTTTCCTACAAAAAATATGTTGCTTGTTATAATTGTAATTAAATACATTGTTAAATTATTTTATAAATTAAAAAAAGAATTTTAATAGTTAAATTATGATTTTTGACATAGTACTTGGAGACATCAACTATTAATATTTTGTATTCATTAGGTAATTATAATAAACATTAATGTTTCTTTTTTGAATATGATGCACAGATGGTAGTTAGTTGAGGAGGTAGGATAAATTTAATTTAATTTATACACTGAATGAAACAATTGATCATGATTTTGAGTGTTTGGGTTAAAAAACATTTTTTTTTCTGATTTTCTTCTATTAAGAAAAATAAAAAGGTATAAAGAATAAACAACTAACGTTAAGTTGGCAGAAGACGTAGAGATTTTCTTTCGATACATGGATAAACCCAAAATCTTTGTTTTCTATTAATTTTGTTATGGTAATAGACAATAGTAATAATTTGTAATAATTATTTCTTCATCACTGAAATGATCCATGGTGTTGAAAAATGGTGATGCAGGTCCTATTTCCATAACCAAACAATCAACAGAATAAACTAGCGACTTCGATCACTTCAGCACTTTTAATTAAGATATCTTCAGTAGGCTCGTGTACATATCTCAGTCATCAATGCGCTAGTAATCGATAAGTAATTTAAATCACGAACCAGTTTAGTTTTTTTTTAGTAGCTTTGTGTGTAGAGGACCATACACATTTCGACATTCTGTGGTATGAGGGCTGTATCTACTTTTTGATAGACTTATTAATATATCTATATAATACATGAATATCACGCACAAATATTTTCTGTGATTGCTATGGTTATAAAGTATAAACAATGGACGTATAAATAATTTATTTATAATTTAATTTATTAATATGCCTAATCATTTGTCTATGGTTATAGCCGACTCCACATACAATAATTATGATGACCAGCTGCCAGCGCCATTTGTCACTTGAGCAATGTTTACAAATTCTTTCGTTGCCAAACAATATTTTATGTTAACGCAGTTCAAGGTTATTAAATTTCAATAATTATTATTATATTATGCTTAGGTATGTTCAATTTATTTGCGATTAGGATAGCATAAAAATGATAAGAATTTGTAAACATTGCCGGAGTGACAAATGGTGATGGGCGTTATAATTGTTAAATTGTATACGGAGTCAGCTATGTAGTTTTAGATTCTGAGTGAATCGAAGAAGTTTAGTTTTACGAAGATGTCTTTTAAAGAACGATTTTTTTTAGTAAATTTTATTGGTAAATAGTCGTTTTGTTTTTCTTTATTATCTATCTTTTTTTTTTTGCTTAATTTAAAATAGGTTCTATTGTACTAAAATAATTCATTATATTTCAACAATTAATTTATGATTAATCAATATAAGCTTATAAAACGTAAGCTATAAACTTATGCTATTCATAGTTCAATGATAGGTAACATGTTGTGGCCCAAGCATAGTCTAGTGCAATGGTATGCAAAGATGTCTATTTTATTATTATTTTTTTTTTTGATATCTGTGCGCAACTTTTCTACCAGAAGACTTGCTCAGATTTAAGTGTAACAACTTTAATGAAAGGAGTCGGTGTTGGGAGGTACTTAAAGGAGGTCATTTTTCGATTTTGTCAGGAGTTTTCTTATCAAATTTTAAAAACCGAAAAAAATAAACTGCGGAAAAACGGGAAAATATGAGAAATGTAGGTATTAGTAAAAATATGTTACGGTCTTATTTTTCTCTGTACACAACTTTTCTACCAACAATTTTGCTCCAACTTATAATAATAGCGATGTTTTTGAAAGGGAATTTAACAGGGAAGGTACTTTGGGGAGGTCATTCCTCGATTTTCCTAAGTTTTCCCAGCAAATGTGAAAAACCGGGATAAAACATGGGAAAATCGGTACAACATTAAACCAATATTGTTACAAAAAAGTATATAAAGCCTATTTAATTATTTTACTATAGAATCACATATATATTGTTGACACAGCATCATTATCAACTGAACTCCGTTCAGAATCGTTTTTTCGTAAGCAATGGTTTATCGTTGCTTACAGGTATACATTAAATTATCTATAAAAGTGGCTGCATCCATCCCCATTATCCTTGGACGTCTTTTTATATAATATAGGTATCTGTGTTTAAAACCGATTTTTCAATTTACCGTGCATAAATCTAAGTATACTGATTAGCTGTACGGTTTGGTTGATACCATGTACTATCTGGTTAAATCGATCAGAATACGTAGATTAATGCACGGGAAACGGTGTATTCATAGGTGTAGGTTATGTGTATTCATAGACCTATGGGTGTATTGGAAACTTGGCTTTATGCATAGATTTATAAATAAAATTATTTTCGATATCTACAGCTTTATGATTTCAAATCGCTGTTTAAAATCCTCAACTCTAAGACAAACATAATATTATTAATTATTATGTACCACGATCACAAATTAAGATATACAGGATTCTGAACGGAAAGGTCTTATCAATGTTTTTCTGAGTCCGCCGATTTTCACTGTTTGGTACATAGACATATTAACATATGATTTGGCATGACAGCTAGTGCTTTAAGCCTTTAAGGCGAAGTTGGTATAAAAATCAATTTAACCAGTTTAAAGTTTTGACTAGTGGGGTAGGGTATGTAATAAATTGCATAATATCTATTCTATAATAAATATTGGTATAGCCTGAAAAGAGTAATCTAGATGGTGTTATTGGCCTCGCCAAAAGTGAGAAGCACGATTAAACATACACCTTAATCTTTAATCGTAGTGTGAAGGTTCGAACTTTACTTATCAGTTATCACACGTTCGTTTGGTATCCTGTAAATCTTAATTCGTGACCATGATTATAGATAGAATCTATCTATGTTCCATATGTTTAATATCTACGCATGTAACTTCAAACAAGTTTTATCATTATCAACTTGTTTAGACTTGATAAATCTTGTCATTGCATGATGTTTTGTTGTTTGCAATGTTTGTGCCTAGTATTTAACAATTCAAATCAAAAAGTGGTTCAACTGTTATAATATAGTATATACAATGAATACTGTTAAATTAAGTACAGAATTATTAGAGGTGAGTAGTTGATATTTTACTATCAATATTTGTTTTTTTCTAACAATGTACTGATTTTCCCATACATATTTATAGAGTATTGATCAAGATGGTGATACTGAATCATTACCCTCACACTCGAGTGACGACTTGGAATCATATGCTTTTTCTGAACATCAAATACAAACAGGCAAACAAATTAGTATAGATGACTATTCAGGTCAATTTAAGTTTGATTTTTCTTTAGATTTTGTAGAAATGTCCAAACGACATTGGATGGTAATGATATTATTTTAAATACTCTGTTACACCTTAAAACCTTAAGTGAAGGCCTATAAAAACTATACACAAATTTGTTTTCAATTAGTGATTTATGTTTTAGTATTCTGTAGCATTGAACAAAGTATACATTGATATGAACCGAATACTACCTATACAATTTTATTGGCAGTTTGACAAAGCTAATTCATTAGGAATAAAAAATCTTCGTATACGAGCATTACTTGTTTTTGCTATTCCTGAATTTCGTCAGTTATCCATTAAACGTTGTCCAATACATGTTATGCTGGATGTACCCAGTAGTATGCATTTTTCATAACATTACTACATACATTAAATTAAAATGTATATATTTGAAATTTCTTAATTAATTTTTAAAATAATTTTAGATCCCAAACAAGTTGAACACATTATATGGTGTGAACAAAGTGATGCTATTTATGAAAAAGATCCCAATAGCCAGCGGTATAGTGTGGTTGCTACTGTTCATAATTTTGATCCTAGTTCGTCTCACAGATCGTATGATGTGTTATATAAGTTTATGTGCAAATCTAGCTGTAGTACAAGTTTCAACCGAAAACCTATTTATATAATTTTTACTTTAGAAACTCCACAGTAAGATTATTAAGTATATTATTTAATAATTATAATTACATTATTAACTTTATGAAATTTTATTTTAGGGGACAAGTATTAGGTAGAAAAAAACTAGGTTTGAAGGTTTGTAGTTGTCCAAAAAGAGATATGTTAAAAGAAGAAGCTCTAGAAAAAAAGAGATTAAATGGGATACCTATAAAAGTAACAAAACCCAAAAATGATGTCATCAATGTTGATTATAGAACTTTCAAAATTCCAGAGGTACTTATGTATTTTTTTTTTTATACAAATTAAAGTTCTTAAAATATTAAACGGACAGTTATTTATTTCAGTTAACTATTCCAAGTAAAAAGTTATATTTAAGTACATTGGAACTATTGCACAGTCATTTTTTGGGTAATGCTGTTAGGGATGATAATCTGGTAGATTCACATTCTTTGATTAGCATGGTTGCTGACCTAATAACTCAAGAGAATTCTGTAAGCAACAATACACTTTTATTATTTATAACTGTACTTATTTTTTAAAACAGATGCACAATGTATAATAAATATTAACTTTTTTTTAGAATAACAATGCTGATTCAAAAAATCAACAATCTTGACCTAATAGAAGAATATAATTGCTGTAAATTATTTGCAATTTTATTATTTTAAATGATGCATAAACCAATATTTTTTTCATGGGATGAAGATAAAAATAATTTTTAGAAAACTATTTTTATTTACATAATTTTTTTGTATTATTGTACAGATATAAATATTTAAGAAAAATAAGGTGATCCCTTCCTCCATAACCTATTCTATCACCCTTGTACATCATTGACTAAGTTGTTTTTTTTTTTACTACTGCAGAGACTGTTTACAAATTGTATTATAAACTAGTATAAAATCAAACAAGAACAATTACTTATACTGTTGCTACTATCATATATGATTTTTGGATTACATTATGTTCTAGTGATAAGGTTTTCCTACAAAAATTATTGTATCTCATACTTGATTTATACACATTTTTTATTTTTTTATGTAAATATAAAATTGAATTTTAATTGTTCAATTGTAATTAATTTTCATTATTTATACCTATGCTGGTGACACACTGGAGTCGTATCAGTGTTTCAAGATTGATTAGTAAATAGGCGTTTTGTTTTTCTTTATTATCTATATTATTTTTTTTGTTTAATTTAAAATAGGTACTATTGTACTAAAATAATTCATTATATTTCAACAATTAATTTTCGATTAATCAATATAAGCTTATAAAACATAAGCTCTAAACGTTTGCTATTTAAAGTTCAATGATAGGTAACAAATGACCCATTTTTTTTACCATGCATTTTTTGCAACCATGTCACCTTTGTTAGCTATGATGAGCAAACAAAAACAAGCCAAACTTGCTTAATGTCTTAATATGCCACTAGAAGTGCTATTTTATAACTGAATAAATAACAAATTATATTTGTATTATATGTAATAATAGTACGGAAATTAGTGCTACTATTTTTACGTAAAAAACTACATCTCGGCTCGGTTTTACACAATGCAATCCCCAAATCATTTTCAGTTTGAAGTCTATTTCTTTTTGACATAGGTAGCTAGTAGTATAAAGTACGTATAATGTTATTTTTTAGAATAAGTACAATTTACCCAAAATAGGATTGCGACCCACTGGTTAAAGGCCACTGGTCTAGTGAATTTAAAAATTAATTATTTAACTGTTAAGTTATTATTAATATTGTGCAATTGTACATTAATAAAACATAAAAAAAATGGAAAATAATAAATTATAAACTAATTTACAAATGTAGCATCAATAAAGACATTCTAGGATGATGAGGACAGGTGAAGCCTCTGTAAAAGTAATTTATTGCAAGCAATGATAAACTATTGCTTACGAAAAAATAATTCTGAGCGGAGTTCAGTTGATAATGAAGCTTTGTCAACAATATATATGTTTTATTTTAGTAAAATAATTAAATAGGCTTTATATACTTTCTTGTAATAATATTAGTTTAATGTTGTACAGATTATTCCAGTTTTCCCATGTTTTATCTCAGTTTTTAACATTTACCTGGACAACTCTAGGAAAAATCAAAAAATGACCTCCTCAAAGGCCAAATTTCCTTTTAGAAACATTGCCATCATTATAAATCAGAGCAAAGTTGCTAGTAGAAAAGTTGTGTACATAAAAAGATTCATAAAAGTCATACTAATACCTCTATTTCTGATATTTTCCCGTTTTTTTTAGGTTTTTCAAATTTGATAAGAAAATTGAAAAATGACCTCTATAAAGTACCTCCTCAGTTAGATTTATTTATAGAAACATTGTTATCATTATAAATTGGAGCAAAATTGTTTACAGGAAAAAAGTAGGCCGCAATATATTTTAACTAATACCTACATCTATATTCAGTGATTCCAACTATGTTTTACAAATTATTCTATAGCTGTTAATATTAAATATTTTCAATTTTTTTTTTAATCGGTTTGTCTTCAAGGAGGACATTGATTTGGAAAAAAATTTAATTTGTATTTTCAACCACTAAATACAAAAAAAAAAAAAAATTACATTTTAATTTTTCACTTTACTAAATTTTAAAAATAGCCATTTTATAAAGATATTATTTATCATATATGAATGTGTGGTACATTAACATTTTTAAAATTTTGTTTTTTCAATATTCATACAGGCAAAGCCGAGTTATTCAGATAGTTTCTATGTCTTCCACGGTTTTTTATTTCGGTTTTTCAAATTTGATGAGAAAATCGAAAAATGACTTCCCCAAAGTACATCCCAACACCGATTACCTTCCAGAAAAGGCGCTACTGGAAATCGGAAACAGGAAACTAGTAACTGACGACCACAGTTTAAGATATACCTTCAATCGTGCTAACAACTAGAAAAGTAAAAAGATCAGAAAGTATCAACAATAATAATAACATAATATTCACAGATAACAATTCAAGACTGTGAATGGGTGTCTTTATCAATAAAAGATAAGGAGCACGAGGAGCTCGTGCAATTATCAGTGCACCGAGTGCAATTCACCGGTAAAGTGCGTGTAGGTAGAACACGAAAAATATTGCATTGTGCGCTCTAGTGTTCGATAAGGATTATCCTGAAATTTTGCTGGACCGTTGAGATTTTTTTTTACAGTAATAATAATCGCGGTATTGAAACTAACAAAAAAACAAAATATATTTATCGCCGTGTACTGTATCTACGCATATAGTTTTACTATGATGTGTGTTTTAGATTCTGAGTGGAGCGAAGAAGTTTACGGTTTTACAAAAATGTTTTTTTTCTTCTATGTACAACTGTTCTACCAGAGATCTATTTTGCTCAGATTTACTAGTGTAGCATCCTTTTATAATAGGAAATATTACTGGAGAGGTACTTCAGAGAGGTCGTTTTTAGATTTTCTCGAGTGTTCTCAGTAAATTTGAAAAACAGGGGAAAAACATTGGAAAACCGGGAAAACATAGGAAAAACGGGCAAATCGATACAATATTAAGCAAATATTATTTAAGAAAATATAAAGTGCCCCTATTTAATTATTTTACCATAATATGACACATATATATTGTTGACAAAGCATCATTATCAACTGAACTCTGTTCAGAATCGTTTTTTCGTTAGCAATGGTTTATCCTTGTTTACATGTAAACATTTAATTACTTATAACAGTGGCTGCAGACGACCCCATTATCTTAGGACGTCTCTTTTTTGTGAACTTTTTTACCAGAAAACTTGTTCCTAAGTTTTTTGAAAGGTAATTTTCTCTCGTTGGTACATTGGGTGGTTATTTCTTGATTTTTCAAGGGGTTTTCGAAATAATCGAGAAAACTTAAAGAAAATTATAGGTAAAAAAGAAAATATTTACTGCGTGCCGCAGAGTTACCTACCGTTTTCATTGCTTTTATTATGTTAACACAATGTTTTCTACCAGAAATATTGCTCCAATTCAAAAATGAAATGACATCGATTTTGTTCCTTATAATATTTCATCACTGATAAAAGTAAGTCGTTTTTCGGTAGATAGATTTTGTTCCTTTGAACACTATATATAGCCACTGACAAAGAAATTTGATTTTTGATTTTCATTTTGGTTTTATTAATAATTATGAAAAAAAACGTAAAATGAAAACTGAAAAATTTACAGCGTTACTTTATTATTTTAAATTTTTACCACTTATATTCTCTACCATAAATATTGCGCCAATAAAAAAACATTCAGATTTGTTTTCGGTTGAATTTTTAAACAAGTTGGTGAAAAAGAAAGTCGTTTTTTGATTTATTTTGTAGTTTATTTTAATAATGTCGTTTAGGTAAATTATAAACAAATTAAAACCAATAATAAAATATAAGGAACGATTCATTAAGTACGTTCACCGTAATTTTGATTAAATTTTGGATGTATTCAAATTCTGATTTTTGAAATTTTCAAGTGTAAATAAAGCCGATATTTTCGTATATTTATAGGTTTTTCTCAATATTTAAAGAGTATCCTGTGGTGACATCAACTTTGGTTTTTCAAATATGTTATTTTTGTTATCATTTTTTTATAATGTCAATAAAAAAAAAAAAAAACCGTAGATGTTTAATAACAAGGGGTGTGGTATGAAATAGTTCAAGTTTTTGCTGTAATAAAGTATAAATTCTTTCTATTGTATCTATTTTATGTTATGGCCGACAATTTTTTTTTTAAATTTTAACTAAAATTAAAAAAAATATATGTATCCTGGTATACATGAAAAAGTCACAGAATTTGTTAACTCGAAAATTGTGACAACCATTTAATAGCTTAGTTTGCTATCAAGCAAACTATAGTTATAAAATAAATAATATTGAAATTAATTTAAATTAAGAATAGGTTTTTTTTTTCAAGATATAGTTTAATTACTTATTTAGTACTTATTCATAATCACATTTTAACCACGGCGATTATCGACGCTACAATAATAAATAAAATATTTGTAATTAAAATTATACCTATTTAACTATAGGTACCTATAGTTTTTTTTTGCGACACGTCATTAATTGCGACAACGTTTAATGTCTAACCCACTGAAACTAATTCTGAGACTAATATTCTGATTTCGCCAAAAATTATAAATAATTTAAAAAAATCAAAAAATGTTACTTTTCAGCCATTTGTCAAACACAATATTGATTAATTTTGAAAATGCTATTTTTTAATGTCTACACAACAACTTTAAAAGTATGATAAATAGGTAAGTTTTCATCATTAAAAACCACACATTTTGGAAAAAAAAAAATTTGAATTCTGAATGGGTTGGTAGGTATTCTTTTAAAAAAATGCATGTTATGGAATAACGAACTTTTCGAAGTTTTCACCGATAACTTCCAAATAAAGTTCGTCCGCATATTATACATTCTTATTGTACGTGTGAAAACACATTTAAGAAAAAGAAAAAAAGCAGCTAGGTTTCAAAGAATTATGTCCATTCCTAGGAGACTTCAGGTAGGTACTGGAAATCGTCTAGAATCATGCTAATTTCCCCTCATCTATGTATATATGTATATGTTTTAAGATTATAAAATGATATAATGCCTGAGCAATTGTTGAAGGTTCTGGACACAATTATAGATTGAAATAGTACCTATATAATAGTCGATACAGTACTTACCTATTATAGTTCCAATGGGTTTTGTAGAAATTTATGATAAATGATAATCTATAATTCGAAATTTAAGAATTTAAGCAAGTGATTTATAATATTATAATATCCTTTATCTCGATAATTTTTACTTTGTTACACATTCAGGCATAATTAGATATTAGACAAAAAAATTAATAATTTCATCTAAATACATTTTTTTAAAAAAATTCAGAGGGAAAATGTCCTTTTCGACTGAAAAGTGACATTTGTCCCCCGGACAAATAATAATATATAGTTATTTACAGTATTCTGCGATACAACCAACACCACCATGGTGGATGTATAGGTACATCAACCTTGGGGCTTGGATATAACTTAGTACTTACTTTCCTAATTCCCTACACACGGTCTATCGCCCGTGTAGATTGATAGTCTTTCGCAACACGTAAAACCATAGACACATTAACTAATAATATGTCTATGCGTAAAACACGTGCATCCATGAGATATTGGCACCACTGATAGCACCCAAAAGCATTGTTTATCGGATTGCGAGTGGTCTTCGGTTATCATGATAACGATTTCCATCCTGTTATTATTGTTAAATGATATCGGCATAGTAATAATTTTGTTATACATATTGTTTAAACTTTATGGTATTATTTTTTCACACGGTTAATATTGTACAATATTCAAAGGATTATGGAGCGGCCTCGTTGTATCAAATAGTTAATGAAATTTGAAGATTTTCTGTAAACCATCGTAATAAACTGAAATTCGCAATAATTGGTCTGAGAATCGTAACTAAGTAAGTAACGTATATAGTAGTTCCGTTGTTGCTTATTAATAGGACGTTTTTTATAGTTCAGGACATATTTTTAAAGCCATTATAATTGTTTCACTCTTATTCCAACAACCCTCTGTTGAACATTTAATTCGTTTTGCCGATTTCAATGTTCACGGTTTCGTAAATGTTTTTCTATACATGTTTTTAATATTAAAAAGTTCATTATGTCTAAAAAGATAACTAACTCTATTCTGATGGGTATCTTAATCGAAACCATGTAGGTACAATTTGTACATATTGAGATTGATTGGCGTTTGTTGTATGTACAAACATTACATCAGTGTTGAATACCAAAATCATATGGGTTTTCAATGGACAGTATTCTTCAAGGCTATTTTTATTTATTTTTAAACTTTATTTTCCTTGATGTTTGTATTACATTCTAATAGAATAAATAAAATATTCAATTATTATTAAATTATTACCCATGTACCTTTTGACTTTTATTTTGATATGTCGAGCTTTTGGCAAATAAGTTACTTGAGGATTGTTATGTACGATTACCTACATTTTTAACCATGAGTATTAAAACCATATTGTGAATGGGATTCTTAACCATCTAGCCAATCTTTCAATTTGATTTTGAACCAATTCATGTGTTGATCGAAATTTATTAATTGTAATAATATTTTAGTTTTATCATAAACAATACCTATTGTAAAGTTATTTATACAAATGACTGAAATGAGTAATGTTTATATTTTTAGTATATTAGTAAATAAATATTTAATTTGACTTAATATTGTTATTCATATTTGTATAGTTCTGTATTATTAGAACTAGGTATCTAATATTACTTACTTATTGTGCCAAGAAGCACATATCGTAAATATTATTAAAAAACAAATATCTTTAGTTTTAATTTATTTTTTAATTAATAAATGTTTTTATTTTATTTTAATTTCAGATGTGCTAATCGGGGTTAACATTGTGAATAATGAAACATAATTAGTTTTGTGATCAAAAATTTTCAAGTACCTACCTATACAATTTATTGATCATGGCTGATACAAAGAGATCTAATTTATCAGCATTGAATGGCTTATCATTAAATGCGGCCTTGAAATCCAATCCAACTAAAAAATTGGTTGTAAAAAATCTTAAACAAAAACCAATGTTACCAGATAATTATCAGGAACTAACATGGACGAAATTACGTGAAGCTGTTATTGCCATACAAACTTCAACTGCGATTCGTTACAGTATGGAAGAACTATATCAAGCTGTCGAAAATATGTGTAATAATAATTTAGCTTCTGCATTGTATAGTAATCTTATTGAGCTTAGTGAAGCACATGTTAAAAAATTGTTATTAAACTTTAATGAAGTAACTAATGATAAAATTATATTTTTGAAAAAAGTGAGCCATCATTGGTCTTCACATTGTGAACAAATGTTAATGATTCGCAGTATATTTCTTTATTTAGATCGAACTTATGTTCTTCAAAATCCTAATGTTAACTCAATCTGGGATATGGGTTTAAATCTATTTCGCCATCATATTATGTTAAATACTAATGTTCAGAATCGAGCTGTTGATGGTTTATTATTATTAATAGAAAAAGAAAGGCAAGGTGATATGGTAGATAAAACATTACTTAAATCATTGTTAAGAATGCTTTCTGATTTAAAAATTTATCAAGATGCTTTTGAAGGAAAATTTTTACAGGCAACTGAACGTCTTTATGCTACTGAAGGTTTGCGATTAATGCTTGAGCTCGAAGTTTCTGAATATTTGTGTCATGTTGAAAAGCGTTTAAATGAAGAAAATGAACGACTTATTCATTACTTAGATAGTTCTACAAAATGGTCGTTAATACACACAGTTGAAAAACAGTTAATAAATGAACATATAAACGGTGTATTACAAAAAGGATTGGACCAATTGCTCAATGAAAATAGGCTGGACGATCTAAAGTTAATGTACAACTTGTTCTCACGTGTAAAGAAAGGACTGACTGAATTGTGTATGCATTTTAATTCCTACATAAAAAAACATGGAAGAACTATTGTAATTGATCCAGAAAAAGACAAAACAATGGTACAGGAACTATTAGACTTCAAGGACAAAATGGACATTATTGTTTTTAATTGTTTTCAATCAAATGAAAAGTTTGGAAACAGTCTTAAAGAGGCATTTGAACATTTTGTTAACCAAAGAACCAACAAACCCGCTGAACTTATTGCCAAATTTGTTGATTCCAAACTAAAAGTAGGTAATAAAGAATCTACAGAGGAAGAGCTAGAAAAACTTTTAGACAAAATTATGGTTGTGTTCCGGTTTATATATGGAAAAGATGTTTTTGAAGCATTTTATAAAAAGGATCTGGCCAAAAGGTTACTACTTGGAAAATCTGCCAGTGTAGATGCTGAAAAAAGTATGTTGTCTAAATTAAAACAAGAATGTGGTGGAGGGTTTACATCAAAACTCGAAGGTATGTTTAAAGATATGGAAATTAGTAAGGATATAAATGTGGCTTACAGACAGTATTTAGCGCATGTCAAAGACTTTAAATTGTCTGGTATTGATATGACAGTTAACATATTGACTATGGGGCATTGGCCAACTTATGCTGTAATGGAAGTGACAATGCCTAATGAAATTATACAGTATCAAGAATGTTTTAATAAGTTTTATCTTGCTAAACATAATGGTAGAAAGTTACAGTGGCAGCAAACTCTAGGTCATTGTGTTCTACGTTCTCACTTCAAGCAGGGTAATAAAGAGCTGCAAGTTAGTTTGTTCCAAGCCATGGTGATGTTACTGTTTAATGAATATTCAACAATTAGTTTCAAAGATATAAAAACAGCGACCAACATGGAAGATTCAGAGTTAAGGAGAACACTTCAATCATTGGCGTGTGGAAAAGCAAGGGTATTAATAAAAGTGCCTAAAGGGCGGGATATAGGCGACACTGATCAGTTTTCTGTTAATAATGATTTTGGTAATAAACTCTATAGAATTAAAATCAACCAAGTACAAATGAAAGAGACTAATGAAGAGCAAAAAGCTACTGAAGAACGGGTGTATCAAGATAGGCAATATCAAATGGACGCAGCCATTGTAAGAATAATGAAAATGCGCAAGTCACTCATGCATAACCTTTTGATTAGTGAATTGTTTAATCAGCTCAAGTTTCCTGCCAAGCCTGCTGATTTGAAAAAACGTATTGAATCTCTCATTGACCGGGACTACATGGAGAGAGACAAAGATAATGCTAATCAGTATAATTATATTGCATAATTTATTTTTGATTTCGTTATATTGTTTTATTATAAATATCATGTCCATGTATATTTTTAAAATGTGTACATGTGCCTATAACATATTATTATGTATTTGTTTAGAGAATATATGCATACAAGAGAATTTTCGGCAGTTTTTGATATCTATATATTCTTTTATAATGTATTGCAATAATAATGTAATATATATCAAATTACATATATTGCACGGTGAAACAGTCTACTGTTAGATCATTGTACTTATCTTGTTCTATGTTAGTAATGAAATACAAAAATGTTTAACCTTTAATTTTTTTCCCTAAATTTTAATTTATGATCTAATGTATGTGCGTGTGACTTGGTTAATTAAAATTTTCTTTTTTTATTATTTATATATAATTATGCCTTGTGCTATGTGGTAAATTGTATTAAGGACATCAACAAATATTTTTGAAGTACACTGTACATTTTTGTGTAAAATGTATTTTATTTATGCAATAAAATTATATATTTAGTTTAAATTATTTTTAAAAATATGGTATTTTCACATTTTTGTTAAAAATTAACTTGTCTACTGAGATGAACTTGTCAATTTGTATTTGAGTAAATTCTACTAAACAAATTATTTACATACCTCATTTAATTTTGTATAAACTAGTGTTTTAAAGAGTGATACTTTTAATGAAATATTAATATTGTGGATAGCCAACTTATAGAGTCCAAGTGGAGTTGTTCGCAAAAATAAGTTTTTGACTTTAAAGTATAAAGTAAATTCTTTTCTTTAAATTGTAAAATGCCTATAACTTTTTAATTTGTATTGATTGAAAACAAGTGATATACACTAAAAATTACGTGCTGTACTTTATTAAACATCCATCTAAAATGATTTCAATGTCATTTGATGTTTTTAATTGATTGCCTACAACATTATTTTACACAATTAATATAATTTTATACAAATATTTATTGTTTACATTTCTACCCTTATACATACACCAAGAATAAGTTTAGTATAATATACTTAAATATAGAAATAAAATCATAAAACTAATCAAATTTATTTGCTTTGATTAATATTATTTTAAATTTTTATTAACAAACTGCAATTTGTATGAAATATTTTGATTATAAATAAATCATATTAATAGTAAGGTCCTTATAATTAATTTATATAAAACAAAAACTATAGGCATTCCAATGTATTTCGACCTGTCTAAAAACGGATTATTTCTTTTACGGACACGGGCAATAATAATTTTCGATAACTGACCAGGCACGTACTCAGGATCAATTTTCGGGGGGGGGGGGGTTAAAATATTTTTAATGAAATAAATTATACATAGAGTTTGTAGTTAGTCTTTGTTATATTATAAATATATACCTACTATAAAAATTTCGAGGGGTGTTTGAACCCCTAACCCCCCCCCCCCCTGGATACGGGCTTGTAACTGACCACTATCTTAGTTTAAATCAAATATATTTCAAACGTTTACATACATACCACGCAACAGCCTCGTCGATCTATTTCGACTATGTATCGATAATGGCAGATTACGCGTGTGATAAAAAAGATAAAGTTTATTGGGAGGACGAAAATAACTATTCACTGTTTATTCCGTATAACTTGGCTATTAGGCCTAAAGCCATTGCGATGTACATTTTTCTCTGTTCGTTTAATTTTTTTCTTTGAACTCCCGACTCCCGTACCAGTCTATTGCGGACACCTGTTTATAACGGACATTTTTATGATCCCGTAACTGTTCGTTATACAGAAGTTCCACTATATATTATGTATAACAATATATTATTTATATTTGTTACAATTAAAATAATTTATACATTTGTTTGTTGTGGTGATAAAAAAGGCATGACATATCGTTTACAGTTTTAAATGGAACACAATTGAAAACAAGTAACGCATTGTACCGTTTTTCCTGGTTTTCCCATGTTTTCCCGGTTTTTTATATTTGCTGGGAAAATGACCGCTTTAAAGTACCTCTCCAGTCAGATTTCCTTATATAAAAAATGCTATCATTGTAAATCGGAGCAAAATTGCTGGTAAAACGTTGTCTACAAAAAAAAAAAAAAAAACATTTGAAACATTGAAACTACTGAACGCAATTTCTATAGTTTTTTTTCTGGCTTTTTGGTTTAAAACGTCATATTCGTCCATAAAAATGGCTATACCTTTTCTCATTAAATGGGGGTATCAGGTAGTAGATTAGTGGAAAAATCTTATAGTTAAGAAAGTCTTTAAATGTAATAATTTTTTTTCCAAATTCCACAAGATTGTAGAAAAATTTAGAAAACCGTTACCAATTCCATTAACAATAATTAATATTAACGGCTTACTTGAATTGCGAAATGATGCTTTCCGTAAAATCGGCAAAGTCGACAATAGAAACCGAAATCACCAAAATCGAAGCTAATAATGTCTGTAAAATGATTTTGGACAAACATTCTTGAATAGGACTCGGCAATTGGTTTTTCATTTTCATCGCCAATACTAACTTTGCGATGGCACAACAAGATATTAGACATCTTAACGCAAATATGAAAATTCCGAAACGCTTAAATGACGATTTATTCATGTTTATTGTTATTTCAGTGTTTGGAAATTATCTAGTGAAGGTAAATTAATTTCGGGATTGATAATTATAGAGGTACTTATAGGTATTATACGTGATCGGTAAACGTGTTGGCTACGAAGAGGATATTGAAAAAAAATATTCGCGTGAAGGAGTTAGAAAAAACAAACCAAAATAAACTGTCCCAATAGGCAGGTAACCAGGTAACGAGGCATAACCAAAATCGTGGAAAAAGAAATAGACCACAGTAGAAAAACTATAATGTCGGGTCCTTAGGCAACACACATAAATTAGTTTGTTGGCACTTTACCTTTATGAACATGGGCGCATGTGCACTCTTAAGAAAGGGTAAGAATGGTAAGGTCACCATGGCTGAAGCGATAATTAAATTAGATTAGCATTTATTCAGGCTACCCGACATTTCTTCCCCATAATAAAATACTATTAAAACTAAACCACTATTAATAATTATTATTTTAAGCAATATTTCGTTCAACTTTTAATAATTATACACCTATAATAAGTACAATTCACCTTAAAAAAATTAAGCAATAATACGAATCGAATCCTATTAAACCGGTTGCTAGAAAAAGTTGCAAGGGAGATGCAGTGCGTAGAAGGCAGTCAATTAACAAACATTTACAATAGTTTGTGAATACTTGGATTTGTAGATGATCAGGGTACAGGGCTGACGCATTAATAGACATAGCCAACGGCTCAAGAGCATTGGAAAAGGCTGCGGGAACATTGGCTGAACAATAAGCTCAAACAAGCTAAAACTAATGTAACTACGGTGGTGTAGACTCCAGCAAAGAGAAGGGTTAAATTTTGAAAAAGTTGACGAATTTAAATATCTAGGAACAACATTGAGCAACAAAAATGACTGGTCTAAAGAGATAAATATTCGCATAAACAAATCGGGAAAAAACCTTCTATGCACAATTTAAATTTCTCAATTCCAAAACGAGATTATAAGTGTCATTATAAGTGGCATACAGATGTGAATCTTGGTCGACAACGATGATTATTAAATGTTATTTTTTAAAAAAAAAAAGCCCAGTGGAGATTATATAGAGGCGTAAAGTCTAGAATTTATATTTACCGAAAAACCACTAGGTAGTTTTTCTGTTTCCTGTAGCCGGTGGTTTTAATTGCTCTGGTTCAAATCCAATCGAGAGAACTGTATTATGTTTAGAATAAGAACGCCCAGGACAGCGGATTAAAATCGGTCCGTGTGCGCGCATGTCTTCACGAATTAATTATTAATAAGTAATAACCAATGACAGACCATCTGGCGCTGTCTGGATGCGCGGGGCGGTGCGTTCTTATTCTGAAACTGGTATAGAGTCGGATCGGTTGAGTAATTTTGCAGTGAATGATTTTCGTTGATGACCGTCAAAGGACAGCTAAAGTCTGTTCTAACTCTGTTAATTTAAAGTATTCAACCGGATTTGCTACAGGTGCGTATACGATTTGCGAACCCAAGCGTGTCGTAAATTACGACTCGTAATGCGCGATATGGACACACGAACGACTAGCAAAAGGTTTCTGAAATTAAATTAAAACTCGTAAATAATAAGTAAGTACAAATGTACAATACATTTTAAAACTAAAATGTAATTTAAAGTGCGAGTTCTGTTCAGTAGTCGAATTTCCAGAAAATCTCTCTACATAAGTACTTGCCTATCTAATCTGTATTTCTTTTACGTTTACTGTGATATACTTACTCCTAGATTGAATATTCTTTCCCGTTTCCCATTCATAAGGGCTAATAGCTTAAATATTTGGAGGAGGAGGCTTAAAACCTCATAGTATTGATTTTTATTGACTATGTATACTTAGCATTTATTTGATAAGTATTTACTTTGGAGGCTCACTTACATAGTATAGACAATTAAAATTTAGGTACTGTTCAAAACCAGAAATAAACGTATAGGTACGTATAGGTTAAAAAAAAAAAATTACAAAAAGTCAGATAATGTACGTATAATCTTATTATCTGAAGTCCGCTGAAATAAAAAAATGTATAACATATTATTATTGTGTGTGGGACGTGGCAGCTTGGTATAGTCCGTGAATAATATCAAACGAGTGGATACCGTGGGCGAAAATCCGTTGGTTTTTTTTTTTTTTTTTGGAGGATCAAGGGATTTATATTTTTTAAATTTACCAGGATATAATAGGTAAAGACTCCACGCATAGTTCCGCATTTTCATTAAACAACGTACTTTAGAAGGGTATATATATTTTTAAGTTTCACATTAAACAAATAGGTAAGTATTTTTTTTCTGATTTAGATAACTATCTAAATCAGAGTTGGTCAATTAATAATAATAATATATTTTAGTCAAATATAAGTCTTTAGTAATACTCGAACGTGCTAAATTTGTATTAATAACTGAATAATTAAAATAAAGAGTGTTTTTAGTTGTTCTAAGTTTTTGAGTTTTCGGGTCTAGTTTGTCAACAAATAACAATGTACCTACAATATGCACATGCTTACATTTTTATGTATGTGTTACGCTTATTTCATTTGGAATTTAACTAACCCTTTATTTTATAGCTTTAAACAACATACATTTTAATAATCTATTTGAATCTATTAGATTATGTGTTCTCAAACACATTTCAGAGAAGAACAAATGAATTGTAATATTTACGTTCCTATTGCTAAAAATAAGGAATTAATTCACGTTTCTATATATTTTTCAAAAATAACGGAATAAATTCCTTCATTTCCTCTAAAAATGAATGAATTCCAGGAATCACATCTTTAGGAACGCGTTCCATAACAACACTGTTTACAGGTGTATGCGACTCTACTCGCGCGTAATATACGATTATTTTCTATTTTGTCTTGTGTTTTAAAATCTTCAAAACTACCTATATGCCATATTTTTAATATATTTTTATAACGAACGCACATCATATTTATACAAGTACGATGTGTACAAAATATTTATCTCATTTATAATAACTGAAATATTTTATATCATACGAGTAGTATATTGCAGTATTCTCGTTAATTTCACAATTTTGACATTCAGTTCACGGAAGGACCGTGATTTCACCGAGCTGATGGGACATTCCTATTAATATACTGCAAAATATAACGTCTTGTAGATACAAGCAACGAGGACATTTTTAAGAGGGGTGGAGATATTTGGCAGTACAAATAAATAACATGTCATACATACCTCTACGTATAAATAATATATATATATAGATACCTAACTATTCACTAAGCAATCATTAATAGGAACACCCGAA